CCTTTTTGGGTCTGAATAAGTATTAATGAATTTTTTGGGATTTTTAGGGCAATCAGGAAAAAAATAATTTTTTTCCACCTATATGAGCCTACTGCATTGCGTGAACCGCCGATTTTGAAAATCTAAACGAAGAGTTATCTATCAAATCTGACATCAAATTCTTCCTTTTTGGGTCTGAATTAGTGCTCATGAATTTTTTGGGATTTTTAGGGCAATCAGGAAAAAAATAATTTTTCCACCTATATGAGCCTACTGCGAGCCTACTGCATTGTTTGAACCGCTGATTTTGAAAATCTAAACGAAGAGTTATCTATCAAATCTGACATCAAATTCTTCCTTTTTGGGTCTGAATTAGTGTTCATGAATTTTTTGGGATTTTTAGGGCAATCAGGAAAAAAATAATTTTTCCACCTATATGAGCCTACTGTATTGCGTGAACCGCCGATTTTGAAAATCTAAACGGAGAGTTATCTATCAAATCTGACATCAAATTCTTTCTTTTTGGGTCTGAATAAGTATTTATGAATTTTTTGGGATTTTTAGGGCAATCAGGAAAAAAATAATTTTTCCACCTATATGAGCCTACTGCATTGTTTGAACCGCTGATTTTGAAAATCTAAACGAAGAGTTATCTATCAAATCTGACATCAAATTCTTCCTTTTTGGGTCTGAATTAGTGCTCATGAATTTTTTGGGATTTTTAGGGCAATCAGGAAAAAAATTATTTTTCCACCTATATGAGCCTACTGTATTGCGTGAACCGCCGATTTTGAAAATCTAAACGGAGAGTTATCTATCAAATCTGACATCAAATTCTTTCTTTTTGGGTCTGAATAAGTATTTATGAATTTTTTGGGATTTTCAGGGCAATCAGGAAAAAAATAATTTTTCCACCTATATGAGCCTACTGCATTGTTTGAACCGCTGATTTTGAAAATCTAAACGGAGAGTTATCTATCAAATCTGACATCAAATTCTTTCTTTTTGGGTCTGAATTAGTGCTCATGAATTTTTTGGGATTTTCAGGGCAATCAGGAAAAAAATAATTTTTCCACCTATATGAGCCTACTGCATTGTTTGAACCGCTGATTTTGAAAATCTAAACGGAGAGTAATCTATCAAATCTGACATCAAATTCTTTCTTTTTGGGTCTGAATTAGTGCTCATGAATTTTTTGGGATTTTCAGGGCAATCAGGAAAAAAATAATTTTTCCACCTATATGAGCCTACTGCATTGTTTGAACCGCTGATTTTGAAAATCTAAACGGAGAGTTATCTATCAAATCTGACATCAAATTCTTTCTTTTTGGGTTTGAATTAGTGCTCATGAATTTTTTGGGATTTTCAGGGCAATCAGGAAAAAAATAATTTTTCCACCTATATGAGCCTACTGTATTGCGTGAACCGCCGATTTTGAAAATCTAAACGGAGAAGTATCTATCAAATCTGACATCAAATTCTTTCTTTTTGGGTCTGAATAAGTGTTTATGAATTTTTTGGGATTTTCAGGGCAATCAGGAAAAAAATTATTTTTCCACCTATATGAGCCTACTGTATTGCGTGAACCGCCGATTTTGAAAATCTAAACGGAGAGTTATCTATTAAATCTGACATCAAATTCTTTCTTTTTGGGTCTGAATAAGTATTTATGAATTTTTTGGGATTTTTAGGGCAATCAGGAAAAAATAATTTTTCCACCTATATGAGCCTACTGTATTGTTTGAACCGCTGATTTCGAAAATCTAAACGGAGAGTTATCTATCAAATCCGACATCAAATTCTTTCTTTTTGGGTCTGAATTAGTGCTCATGAATTTTTTGGGATTTTCAGGGCAATCAGGAAAAAAATAATTTTTCCACCTATATGAGCCTACTGTATTGTTTGAACCGCTGATTTCGAAAATCTAAACGGAGAGTTATCTATCAAATCCGACATCAAATTCTTTCTTTTTGGGTCTGAATAAGTATTTATGAATTTTTTGGATTTTTAGGGCAATCAGGAAAAAAATAATTTTTTCCACCTATATGAGCCTACTGTATTGTTTGAACCGCTGATTTCGAAAATCTAAACGGAGAGTTATCTATCAAATCCGACATCAAATTCTTTCTTTTTGGGTCTGAATTAGTGCTCATGAATTTTTTGGGATTTTCAGGGCAATCAGGAAAAAAAATAATTTTTCCACCTATATGAGCCTACTGTATTGCGTGAACCGCCGATTTTGAAAATCTAAACGGAGAGTTATCTATTAAATCTGACATCAAATTCTTTCTTTTTGGGTCTGAATAAGTATTTATGAATTTTTTGGGATTTTTAGGGCAATCAGGAAAAAAATAATTTTTCCACCTATATGAGCCTACTGTATTGTTTGAACCGCTGATTTCGAAAATCTAAACGGAGAGTTATCTATCAAATCCGACATCAAATTCTTTCTTTTTGGGTCTGAATTAGTGCTCATGAATTTTTTGGGATTTTCAGGGCAATCAGGAAAAAAATAATTTTTTCCACCTATATGAGCCTACTGTATTGCGTGAACCGCCGATTTTGAAAATCTAAACGGAGAGTTATCTATTAAATCTGACATCAAATTCTTTCTTTTTGGGTCTGAATAAGTATTTATGAATTTTTTGGGATTTTTAGGGCAATCAGGAAAAAAATAATTTTTCCACCTATATGAGCCTACTGTATTGTTTGAACCGCTGATTTCGAAAATCTAAACGGAGAGTTATCTATCAAATCCGACATCAAATTCTTTCTTTTTGGGTCTGAATTAGTGCTCATGAATTTTTTGGGATTTTCAGGGCAATCAGGAAAAAAATAATTTTTCCACCTATATGAGCCTACTGCATTGTTTGAACCGCCGATTTTGAAAATCTAAATGGACAGTTATCTATCGAATCTGACATCAAATTCTTTCTTTTTGGGTCTGAATTAGTGCTCATGAATTTTTTGGGATTTTCAGGGCAATCAGGAAAAAAATAATTTTTCCACCTATATGAGCCTACTGCATTGTTTGAACCGCTGATTTTGAAAATCTAAACGGAGAGTTATCTATCAAATCTGACATCAAATTCTTCCTTTTTGGGTCTGAATTAGTGCTCATGAATTTTTTGGGATTTTTAGGGCAATCAGGAAAAAAATAATTTTTCCACCTATATGAGCCTACTGCATTGTTTGAACCGCTGATTTTGAAAATCTAAACGGAGAGTTATCTATCAAATCTGACATCAAATTCTTTCTTTTTGGGTCTGAATAAGTGTTTATGAATTTTTTGGGATTTTCAGGGCACTCAGGAAAAAAATAATTTTTCCACCTATATGAGCCTACTGCATTGTTTGAACCGCTGATTTTGAAAATCTAAACGGAGAGTTATCTATCAAATCTGACATCAAATTTCTTTCTTTTTGGGTCTGATTAGTGCTCATGAATTTTTTTGGGATTTTCAGGGCAATCAGGAAAAAAATAATTTTTCCACCTATATGAGCCTACTGCATTGTTTGAACCGCTGATTTTGAAAATCTAAACGGAGAGTTATCTATCAAATCTGACATCAAATTCTTTCTTTTTGGGTCTGAATTAGTGCTCATGAATTTTTTGGGATTTTCAGGGCAATCAGGAAAAAAATAATTTTTCCACCTATATGAGGCCTACTGCATTGTTTGAACCGCTGATTTTGAAAATCTAAACGGAGAGTTATCTATCAAATCTGACATCAAATTCTTTCTTTTTGGGTCTGAATTAGTGCTCATGAATTTTTTTGGGATTTTTAGGGCAATCAGGAAAAAAATAATTTTTCCACCTATATGAGCCTACTGCATTGTTTGAACCGCTGATTTTGAAAATCTAAACGGAGAGTTATCTATTAAATCTGACATCAAATTATTTCTTTTTGGGTCTGAATAAGTGTTTATGAATTTTTTGGGATTTTCAGGGCAATCAGGAAAAAAATTATTTTTCCACACTATATGAGCCTACTGTATTGCGTGAACCGCCGATTTTGAAAATCTAAACGGAGAGTTATCTATCAATCTGACATCAAATTCTTTCTTTTTGGGTCTGAATAAGTGTTTATGAATTTTTTGGGATTTTCAGGGCAATCAGGAAAAAAATAATTTTTCCACCTATATGAGCCTACTGCATTGTTTGAACCGCTGATTTTGAAAATTCTAAACGGAGAGTTATCTATCAAATCTGACATCAAATTCTTTCTTTTTGGGTCTGAATTAGTGCTCATGAATTTTTTGGGATTTTCAGGGCAATCAGGAAAAAAATAATTTTTCCACCTATATGAGCCTACTGCATTGTTTGAACCGCTGATTTTGAAAATCTAAACGGAGAGTTATCTATTAAATCTGACATCAAATTCTTTCTTTTTGGGTCTGAATTAGTGTTTATGAATTTTTAAGGATTTTTAGGGCAATCAGGGAAAAAAATAATTTTTTCACCTATATGAGCCTACTGTATTGCGTGAACCACATCTAATACTCTCAAGATACATTTACGGCGTTTTTGTACTGGAAAAAAATAACTTGCGTCAACTTTTTAAACAAAACTTCTCACAACTGACCGTTGTGACAGTTTTCTTCCACAGAAATAGTGCCAATTGATACAAATTCGATAACGACGTAACTTACATCTAGGGGCCAATTATTTTACTACAATTTTGACGATATTTTTCCAGATAGAGTAAACTTCTCTCTACCTGCTGATGGGCATAACTCATTTTTCAAAAAAATTGAATTTACGTCATTATTATTCTGGAACGGCGATATGACAAATCTATGAATGATTTTCACTGATTATTTTTGGTGCAGGGTTCGTGATGAATATCTACAACTCGCCACAGAGGCTTCGATTTTTTTTCTGCCATTTTCAACAACGAACTTTTGTGAAATGGGGTTGTCAGCTTATACAGCTTTCTTATATTGTCATCATTTTTTAATATTATGTAACTCATTTTGTTATCATTCAAGACTAAGCTATTATCAGGAAAACAATCTTACCTATGAGGGAGTTAAGCCACAGCAGCGAATCCAAGTTCCGTGAATCGCCTTCTTCAGGTTTTTCATGCTGGTCGGGGTCGGAATCTTTGGGAAGTCTCGATTGCTTGTGTTTGGAAGTCTGAATGAAGTGATAACAACGATAACGAAATATACTGACACAAACACTGCGACATAAGTTTTGGTATCATATGGCTATTCGTGAAAAATATTACTGAACGCCTACCGACTGCGCCATTTCCAATGAATCTATCGAGAAGTTCCTCAAAACAGTGAATTAAGTGACTAATTTATTCCAGTTGTCAAGTTAGTGCATTATTTAAAAAAAACCGACCAAATAATCAACTGGTTATAATTTCACGAGAAAATATACACCTCAAATTCATCCAAATGATATTTACCCTTTCTACTAAAGTCCAAAGCTGACATGTGCGAGAAACGAAGGAACATTGCATGTAAAACCGATAATAATTATTAATGGAACTATTATTTTCTACAATACATATATTATGAAAGATCATTCCCACCATGAAATCGATTCAATTCTACTTTTCAGTATGACTTTAATATCATCGACAGACTGTCTTTTTAAAATATGTTTTCAGATGTGACATTATGTTAAAATGTACCTTACAGCATGAGAGATACAGAGAGTAATTGTAATTTTGCATATTAGAATCCTACCGACTGCGCCAATTGTGAGAGATCGATGCAACTATCCCATAATTGCTCACAAATTCGAATTTAAATATTCATTTTCCATCATATCTCGTGATATTCATCTACATAACACAATTTAGTCAGTGTATTTACCTTGAATATACTCATGTATTTCAAATACTGGAGTTCAGTCTGAGCTGCTTCAGAAAGTGTATCTGAAACAGCATCCCGAAGATCTGGATTGCTGGAATCCGTGGAAACAATGGTGGCACTCTTGTGAGTACCAGTACACAACCTTCTAAACCAGTCTTCTTTCTCTCTGTCAGTCCGACCAAATAAATAGATTTTCAGAGGGTTTTTCCCAGTCTACGAAATTTTCATAAACTAAGGATTTGTTACAATTTTTATTCAATTCGAATTGGGCACAACAATCAATGTTGAGCAAGCAAATCAATTGACTTACATCTTCAGAGGGTGACAACAATAATGAATGATTAGCTGAGCCATTCACATCATCTTTGCTGTCTAGTAGATTTTCATCTTCAAGAGTTGGAAAATCTGCAACATCCTAAAAAAAATCCAAAAATGTTGCATTATAACTTGGTGTGGTGAAATAACGACCTACCGATATTTCAACAGAAGGTGTACTCGCTCTAGAATCAGAATCTAAATCAAATTCCTCATCCTCGGTCAATTTACTGAATCTCTGAGCCTGAAATCAAAAAAAGGAATCAGTAAAACAAAATTTTCAATTTTTGGAATAGAGGTACCAATACGGGATATTCCTTATTCTTTCTAAACTTCTTGAAACCTCGGCAAGATTTATCCTTTTCTGATGGCGAAACCGCTTTATCTTTCTCCATGTGTTTTTGTACCTCCAGATCCAAATTGGACAATATTTCTGGATCAAAACTCATTTGTTCACTGGACAAAGTTATACAAATAGGGTATTTCTTACTCCAGAACCTGAAATTCAGTAATAAATACAATTTTGCTACTGAAGAATATTATTGACCTCATTATAATTACCTCTTTCTAGCCAGTCCCTCTGGCAAAAGAGATATTTTTGCTCCAATCAAATTGTATATTCTATGCCTGGTGAAGCTGGCCTTGATTTCTGGTTCATTGAACATCGCCCTTCTAGAGACCTTATTTTTCGAATGGCTTATTCTCAACAAGTTACCCTGCAGTCTCAAGAAAACTGACTGGGTTTGGAAAATGTGGTAAGTCTCCGGACTGTATATGTCTGGATATTCATTTACCCATCCCTATAAAAAATAATTGATTTTTTTTTTTGTGATAAGAGATAGGTAGTGAATGAACTTTTCTTGCGTTATTAGTTGAATATGCATGTATTTTTTGCAGTAATCAATTTATATAAAAAAGAAAGTCCAAAATGTGTTACACTATTTGTAACCCAAGAACGGCTAAGCATAAAATACTTTTTATCCCTGTGAATTCAAGATGGCGGATTTGGGATTATGATCCGATTCTATTCAAAATTGGTATCTGGGGGTTCTGGAGATTTGGGAAGTCAAAATGGCGGATCTAATATGGCGGACAAGTTTCGGGGCCGGAGATCATTATTCTTTCGTTAAAATTCAGGCGGAATTTGGGATTTCGAGACGGCGGAAGAGTTTTGTAACTATAATCCGATTCTATTCAAAATTGGTATCTAGCGGTTTTCGTGATCAAGGATTATGATTCCTTCGCCAAAATTGGAAAATTAAAGATAGCCGATCCGAGGTGGCGAACGAGTTTTGTAATTATAATCCGATTCCTTCGCCAAAATTGGAAAATTAAAAATGGCGGTCCAATATGGCGGATGAGTTCTGTAATTATGATCCGATTCTATTCAAAATTTTTAACTGGGGTTTTAGTCGGATATTATAATTCTTTCGTCAAAATTGTAAAATTCAAATTAACTAAGGAGTAGAAAATAAATGGTAGTTTGAAAAACTAAAGAAAATGCTTTCATCAACAGCCAAACAATCTATGACCATACTATAAAGTAGAAAATAAAATAATAATGGTAGTGTGTTGATGAATATTCAACTGAAAACATATTTTCTAGAAAAAATGTATAGTGTATAGAGTAAAACAACGTTTACGGGGTCAGCTAGTACTGAATGAATTTCCTTGTTTTTTTTTCAATTTTTTATGGTGAGTTTTTAAAGGAAATTAAGAACAAGAACATTTGAAATTGTTAATATACTTAAGACTGGAAAAAAATGGTTTTGGTTGCTTACTTCATATTTTTGAAGAGGCTGATATTCTTTGACAGCTTGTATTTCAAAATAATTGCTGGATTCTACGTCATTTGTCAGTTCTGTAACTTTGTTCATTTCACTTTTCTGGTGCAATTTCGTGTATGCAACAAAAATTGTGTAAGACAAAATTATTCCAGCTGCCATTCCTGCCGAATATGGAGAATATCTATATATAATGAAATAAACCACTACAGATACACCTAGGATTAGGAAGGGCCTAAAACATAGAAAGAAAACAGTCAAATAAAGGATTTTTATTAGTTTGGAAAAGTAGCACATTGTATTTCTGTATATTTTCTTCTTCAAGGGGCATAGAAAGTGGCTTCTTTCTGAAACTCAGCAGGCAGGAAAGGTCTGGGTGGCGGAAATTTGATCGAAAGACAAATGATAGAAAAACATTTGATAGAAGTCTTTTGATCGAAAATCAAAAAATAGAAAGAACTTTTCACCGAAAATACATTTGATCGAAAATAGATTTGATAGGAACATAAGTAAATGATAGAAAATACAATTGATAGAAAGAATATTTGATAGAAAATTCAAGTTAGGTCAGTTCGTTTGTGGAGATATGATCCTTCCTCATATATTTGAGAAGAAGGAGCTAGAAGTTTGTGGTGTCAATAAATTCATAAGCTTCGATTCCCATCTAGCTCCTTCTTCTCAAATATATGAAGAAGGATCATATCTTCACAAAACGTACTGACCTAACTTGAGCGTAGCCACGTTGAATTTTCTATCAAATGCTGTTGATATCAAGTGTATTTTCCATCAAATGTATTTTCTATCATAAAACATTCGATCAAATGCATTTCTATCAAAAACACTTTCGATCAAAAGACTTCTATCAAATGTAATCATTTGTCTTTCGATCTTTCCGCCACCCGCTTTCTCTGCCTAAACAGGAAAAGTTTGTTGCTATGCAACGTTCCAAGTTACTTGAATGAAATTGGTAATCATAACTGACACTGACATGGGTTGAATACAACATGATGAGTTTTCAACGAAAAAATTTCACAAAATTGGTTTTAAAACATTTGGAGAAAAAATTATGTTTCACACGGCAGTAAATCTACCACTTTTCTGCCTAGATGTTGTCAGATTTGATAGTAATAAATGTTCACTTACAAGTAGTTAGTTGGAGGACATATCTTTTTTGGACGTAAATCTACGAACCCAGTGGGTGCAAACACAGTTTTCACTGTATCTTCATTACAATCGAAAAACTTCTCTTTCAGCTCCATTCCACTCACTTCTCTGATATCGACAACATTATTATCACCAATTTCTAGATTGTCTATTTTCTGACAGACAGATTTTAAAACTTCAAGACTAGCAACTTTTATTGTTGGTGTATCAGATTTTTGATCTGTTTCTTCTAGAGCATCCACTGCACTTTCTACCCCTGCCAAAAAATGCACTTTTTCAAAATTCGACCAACCTACTCATGGTCAAGAAATGAAACTTATTGGAAATATCATCTATGGACAATTGTTTTTAAATGTCATAGGATCAGATCAGGAAATATAATGTGTTAAAGTCACGACGAGCTTGCACTATCTTTATATCGAGAATCAGTCGGGAGAAATCCATGAAAATGTGCATGCTTGTATTTTAGAATACGCACTCTTCATTGAAGATATTTTCGACAATGCAGTGTTGCCACTTCTAGTAGAAAGTAGTAGCAACATTGATATTTCAAATGGAACACCCTGTAGTTTATCGCATTTTTAGATTCTCCCTGGAGAGCTGATTTCATCGATATATCACATTTGGGGTCTAACGAAAATGATTACAGAGATATAGGGTGTTCAAAATCGAGATTTTTCAACTTTAGCATTTTTTTTGTATCCAAACTATTCATTATCGGTCGAGTTATCGGTCGAAACGGCTTACATGTCCCTATCTCAACTTTTGATTTACTATCCACTGATATTTAATCGGAACAGATACAGGGTTGTTCGAGATTCAGAATTCTGATCACCCTGTATCTGTTCGAATTAACTATCAGTTGATTTACAAAAGTTGAGACAGGGACATGTGAGCCGTTTCGACCGATAATGAATAGTTTGGATACAAACAAATACTTAAGTTGAAAAATCTCGATTTTGAGCACCCTATATCTCCATAACTTTTTTTTCTCTTTCAGATGATATGTCGCAGTAATAGGTTTGTGTTGATAACAACGGAGTTATCGTCATTTATAGAAAAACAAAAAAATATTCGGAAGCCGCCATCTTGAATTTATAAATTTTAACAAAAAAATCATGATCTCCGGCCTCAAAAAACCCCTACTTACCAATTTTGAATGGAATCGGACCAAATCTTGTCCGCCATCTTGGAGCAGCCATTTTTTTTTAATTTCAACAAAAATTCCATAATGTATTATCACCGAAATTATGAACACCTGCCAAATTCCAAGTTAATCGGAGTTATGGAATTTTTGTTGAAGTTAAAAAAATGGCTGCTCCAAGATGGTGGGCAAGATTTGGTCCGATTCCATTCAAAATCGGTAAGTGGGGGTTTTTGAGGCCGGAGATCATGATTTTTTTTTGTTAAAATTTATAAATTCAAGATGGCGGCTTCCAAATAATTTTTTGTTTTTGTATAAATGACGATAACTCCGTTGTTATCAACACAAACCTATCACTGCGACATATCATCTGAAAGAGAAAAAAAAGTTATTTGTAACTAAGTCATAGTGAGCTATGACCTTCATTTGAAAAACTAAAGTTGGTGCTGATATCTCAAATTCTAGAAGAGTTGGTATAAATTTCATATTTTTTTCAAAATCACTTTGAAAAAACTGCCATGAGAATGTGAAATTCCTATTTGAATATTTTCATAAATAAAGAAGTTACGGAGGAGACATGAAAATGATCAAAATCTGTTTTTTTTATCAAAATATTTTTTCACATTATAGTTGGCCTTGACAAACTCCACATTTGGTGTCATTTAACCGACCTCGTATCTCTCACCGTTGAAAAAATACCCAGTATATTGTTAATTTCTGAACAAAATCAACTTTTCCAGAATAAATAAAAAACATGTTGGGAAATGCAGAAATAGGGTTGGAACTACTGGGTCATTATATAATTTGATATAGGATATATTTTTTTATCATATATGAATTGAATAAAACTAATTTTTGTCATTCAACTTTATTATTATACTACCTTCAGAGTCTTCTGGAAGTGCTTGTTCGGCAGATTCAGTGTTGATGTTGTAAAGTTTTGATAAATCATTGACTTTGACAGTTCCCTCTTCCTGATGATGTTTTTTAAAAAACCGAAACCTGTGACGCACTCCACTAGATGCCTTTTCATTGTTTTTGTCCTTTTCCAAGGACGACGTATCTTCGTCACTAGACATCTCAACACCTAAAAATAATACAGGGCAATTGAAAATAAAAGTGGAATGTATTTTTGCCACTACCTTCTGTTGTGGAAATTATCCCACAAGTTTTAGAGATACTGCTTTCTGATAAATCTTCAGAATCAGATACACTGGAATTTTCTTTGCTATCTCTTATTGTTTTCAGATCAAGCTTTGATTTGTGGTGTGGGGATCCTTCCTCTTGGCTTCTAGCTTTTATTTCCGTTAATTTTTCTTCAACACTCTTTGTGATTTTACCCTAAAAAGTGCAAGTCTTAGGCAGAAAAAATGACATTGAAGATATTATTTTCTAGAAAACGACTTTTTTTCGTCAAATTCACCTACTTTAATGTCTGAAAAAAATTTCCATGGATCAGAAGGGGGTGACGCATCAGATGGATGAGCACTGGAAACGTCCACACTGGTGGATCTTTTACTGAGCCTGTTCAAATATTTCAGAGGGCTGCTATCTGGCTCTCCTGGAAGCCAAGACTTTTCTGTGAATAATTTTCTTTTTCTTCTGAGTACATCATTTTTGTTCATTTTCAAGTATAAATATCAATAAACAATGGCCATGTAATAAAAATATGCACCAATTATGTTGCCAACAAACCAATGAAATACTATTTATCTATATTAAATTATTTACTGAGCAAACAATGTAATCAAGTTAGTATTTAGTTACATTGGTTATTGTCACCACAGACCACAGATGTTCCATAAAATCAATTGTGTATATTAATAAATCCAATGAGTTTGAATTATTCAACGATACTTCCACAATAATAGTGACAATAAAAATAATTATAAGAAAACTATCTATACAGTGTGTCCCACTTACCATGCTCACCATGGGTATCTTTTTAACGGTGAGAGATACGAGGTCGGTTAAATGACACCAAATGTGGAGTTTGTCAAGGCCAACTATAATGTGAAAAAATATTTTGATAAAATCTATTCGTTTTTGTTTTATACGCAAAAAACAGATTTTGATCATTTTCATGTCTCCTCCGTAACTTCTTTATTTATGAAAATATTCAAATAGGAATTTCACATTCTCATGGCAGTTTTTCAAAGTGATTTCGAAAAAAATATGAAATTTATACCAACTCTTCTAGAATTTGAGATATCAGCACCAACTTTAGTTTTTCAAATGTAGGTCATAGCTCACTATGACTTAGTTACAAATAACTTTTTTTTCTCTTCCAGATGATATGTCGCAGTAATAGGTTTGTGTTGATAACAACGGAGTTATCGTCATTTATACAAAAACAAAAAATTATTTGGAAGCCGCCATCTTGAATTTATAAATTTTACCAAAAAAATCATGATCTACGACCCTCAAAAAACCCCCACTTACCAATTTTGAATGGAATCGGGCCAAATCTTGTCCGCCATCTTGGAGCAGCCATTTTTTTTTATTTCAACAAAAATTCCATAACTCCGATTAACTTGAAATTTGGCAGGTGGTCATAATTTCGATGACAATACATTATGGAATTTTTGTTGAAATTTAAAAAAATTGCTGCTCCAAGATGGCGGACAAGATTTGGTCCGATTTCATTCAAAATTGGTAAGTGGGAGTTTTTGAGGTCGGAGATCATGATTTTCTTGTTAAAATTTTCAAATTCAAGATGGCGGCTTCCAAATATTTTTTTGTTTTTGTATACATGACGATAACTCCGTTGTTATCAACACAAAACTATTACTGCGACATATCATCCGTAAGAAAAAAAAAAGTTATTTGTAATTAAGTCGTAGTGAGCTATGACCTACTTTTGAAAAACTAAAGTTGGTGCTGATATCTCAAATTCTCGAAGAGTTGGTATAAATTTCATATTTTTCTCGAAATCACTTTGAAAAACTGCCATGAGAATGTGAAATTCCTATTTGAATATTTTCATAAATAAAGAAGTTACGGAGGAGACATGAAAATGATCAAAATCTGTTTTTTGCCTATAAAACAAAAACGAATAGATTTTATCAAAATATTTTTTCACATTATAGTTGGCCTTGACAAACTCCACATTTGGTGTCATTTAACCGACCTCGTATCTCTCACCGTTAAAAAGATACCCATGGTGAGCATGGTAAGTGGGACACACTGTATAGGTACATAATCCAACATATTATTCACATACATTATTTATACAGGGTGTCCGGAAATTATGCGCAAAAACTCAAGGGGATGATTCTACATGAGAAAATAAGAAATTCATTCCACATGTACGTGGGTCCGGAAATGCAAATTTTTCAACATACAGTGTGTTGAAACTTCTAAAAAAGATCGTTTTTTTATAATTCACTGATTTTCTTGAAATTTGGCAATGATATTTTTTGTCATGAGGGGCTGCTACAGCCATAATTCAATTTGAATTATGAGATCCAGTGGCGTTCCGGAGGGCAACCTACCGAATATTATTGTCAATAAAATGTGCGCCACTGATTTTTTCAATTCTGAATCTTCATAACATATTGACCAACTAAAAATACAACATTTTGGTGTCCTGAATTGTTTTGATAATTTGCTTTATTCCCATGGAAAAAAAATAAATACCAATTTATTACATAAAAACTGGGGTTAAAATAAATGCATGATCAATGTCCATAGAATTGGTGTTTATTTTTTCCATGGAAATAAAGCAAATTATCAAAACAATTCAGGACACCAAGATGTATTTTTAGTTGGTCAATAGGTTATGAAGATTCAGAATTAAAAAAATTCGTGATCGGTGGAAGGATATTTGAGATATTCATAATAAACTGATATTTTCTAAAAAGTTCAACACACTGTATCTTGAAACCAATGCATTTCCGGACCCACGTATATATGAAATGAATTTCATGTTTTCTCATGCAGAATCAACTCTTTGATTTTTTGCGCATAATTTCCGGACACCCTGTATAATCATTGGAAAAAAATCTCATTATTCAATTAAGTAATTTGCAAGCAGAATTTCAGATGAATATTTTGGTGTACAAGTGAAAGTTATAAGGAATTGAGGGAAATTAATATTAGAGAATTTAAGGGAAAATGTGTGAATTTAAGAGGAATTGTGGAAGTTTAATATGGAAATTAATGAGAATTGGTGTACAAAATCTGCAATGGTGAAATGCCCCTAGGTAATTTACCATTTCTGCATTGTTTTTATACTTACATTAGTATTATTACACAACTAAACAGAGGAAAAAATTCTCATTAACAAAAAACAAATTTGAAGCTACTGAATGTGAATTTTGTACACAGGAATCTTCCAAGAAAAATCAATCTGTATTAAGGTGATAAAAGTAAAACATCAATGAATATCTTCAGAAAATTGGTGAATCATGTTTTGAAATAATAGAAGAAATGCAATTTGTATCTCACCTATAGTGAATGGGACACTAGGAGCAGCTGGAGATTTTTCAGATTTATCTTCACTTTTATTGGTTTCTTCTTCACTAGCATATAGCTCTTCAATTTGTTCAGCATTAGCATGAAATTTTATAGATATTGATGGAACTGATGTAGTAATTGATTTACCTAAAATAATGGAAAAATTCATGTAGCCTCATTCTTAATATAGGTACCTAAAGCAATGAACAAGATGATGTTGCTTGCAGTGTTGGTCAGTTATTCAAGCAAATGACATTCTAAGACCATCTAATGAGACATTTCCAGAAATCTCTACAATAGCTGTTTCAATTATCATATCTCAATCACAGCAAACAGTCTATTATTCTATCACCATCTCACATAGAAGTATAGGTAGTCTTTTGAGTAGGGTCATAGAAAGAATATAAAGAATTTGAGAATTTTCTTAGGTTCTTATATAGGACTCCTGTTAGGAGTAACATTTTTCTACACTTCATGGTGGGATCTAAAAATATAGCAGCAATGACTAAAACTAGTAGTTCAATAGCCAGTCAAACTGAAGTTTGCAAAATTCACACATAATATAATACCTTTTTACCTTTTAGCATGCCCAAAGTCACTTTGTTCTGGTTTTTTTCCCTACTCATGTCAAAATATCAGTATAGTTTATTTCAAGGAATAATGTTGCAGGTTATATCATTCGAAAATTGTATGCACCATTGTTGAATTTCATTAGATATCCTTATATAAAATCTTACTTTTATTTGATTCCATGGTTCAATTCAAGAGTCCATTATTGTCACACACAACTCAACTACACACTAATCAAATTTTTTTCATGGATAATTTGAGTGTTATTAATGAAAATGTGGAAAATGTTATCTAGTACTGAAACTATTTGTTTGCTACGCAACTTCTCAATTTTGAATGAGTTTTAAATGTTTAATTATTGCTATTTGAAAACAACTTTTCGGTGAATTCAGAATAATATTCAGATGTCAAGTCGAAGGACTCGAAGGTCGAACGAAATGAACAGTGTTGCCGACTGTTGCCAATGGATTATAGGCTGAATACTGACACGCAGGCTACAAAATCTCGAACACTTCTGAGCGGTTTGTTTTGATGAAGTGACCAATCAGCACAAACAAAAAATAAATGTGAACCAATGAAAACAGAGTAAACATGCCGCTTTGACAGCTTTCAAGAACTCCGATAGGTTGCGTACGCTTAATAGAGAGTTGAAGTAATCACTGTTCGTAGACCTCCACGTAGACGTTAACGTACGAAAAATAACGTTTACGTATTGTCGTTAAATTGAGTTGAAGTCGCCACTTTGGTCGTCACTGTCATCATAACGTCATAATACATTTTGTTTTCGGTTTGTATTGGTAATTTTTGGTTGTGTGTTTAGATTCGAACATTTATTCCTGTCAAAATTAGAGGACTCCTTGATGCAGAACTCGTTGGTGATCTCGAATTTGATAATTTTGACTCATCGGCATATTTCGAGTACAGTTTGGTTAACGTACGTTGATATTTAAGGTATACGTGAAGGAACGTGAGATAACGTACACCCGTAAGCCCACTAACAACGCAAACGTGAAGAATTGGAAAATGCGCATGCGTAGCTGTCAATTTCTACGTTTACGTTAACGTTCATGACAACACTTCAACTCTCTATTATTATATCATGTTAGTGCTGTTCTTTTCTTGGACTCTTGGAGTTGTCGCACCTTTCGTGTAACGTGTATTGCTCACTGTGATCACAATGAATGATGTTGAAAATTGCGATTGTTAATTATTTACAAGACCAGTGAATCCGTGCAAAATCCACACAAAACGTCGATCAATACTGCATTTTTACTGCAAGGCGATGCCAATACGTGTAAATGCAGTAATTACGTGCACATTGGCATCACTGGAAATGAAGTCGTCAAAAAAGTTTTATGTCAACTTGTCAGTCGTCACTTTCAACTTTCAATTTCAGTGCGTTATTCACACAGAAAGCACAGAACAACTAAATCTCTCGACTGTCTCAAGTTCTGTGGCTACGACTGATTCGTTTTTTGTTGGTAGAACTGAATTATAATTAATCGACAGTTCTACCAACCTCGAAAATAAACAATTCAAAAATTCATTTTGCGCGCTATGGATTTCAATTATATCAACAGCGGAACAAGCAAATATTTCTAAAGAATTCAATGAATGTTTTTTTCGATAATTTTGATAGATAATAAATAAAAGAGCATTTTCGCAAATAAAACAGCGGATATTTATCCTCTCTAATCCCCCTAGCAGCCAAAAGTAATATAATGAAAACGAAATAATTCGCAATCAATTACTTCAAGTCATATCTTTCGGTCTGGAAATCTCAACAACTATAATCGACCTCCTATGCCGACAAAATGATAATAATGTATAACACTTGATCGCAAAAGGAAGGCAAACCATAGAAGATAACTTATCTACTAAAAACGATAAGATTAAAAGCAGCAGAGTGTGAGAAAATGCGACTAATGCGACTGTATAGTGGTGACCGGCAAATAATAATGACGATTATTGTTAATTTACATTATCTCAATTACATTATAAAACACACGCGGCGACGAAAATCAATAAGGACATTCTCTCCAGCCTGACGTGGTCTTTTCAAATAGGTTATTAATGAAGTGTGTATTCCTGTATACCTACGCAGCTTACTACCTCTAATTCAAAGATTATTTGACGGTGAATCCTGAATGAAAGTGGACGCTTTTGCTGTGAGCAATAAAATTTCCTGAACCGCATTATAGCAGGTACAACTATTTTCGGAATATGATTTTGAGTTTATTGTCTTTCTGCAAAAGCACGTGTGACACTGGATATACAACAGGTAGGAAATTACGACAAAAAATGCAGTTTTTAATTTGTTCACTACACTCTGTGTAAATTATATCAGAAAAGGATGCACTGCTTGATAACAATGTGGATATTATGTTTCACAGCAAAATAATAAAGGGGAAGAACTGGTTTGTAATTTTTTTTTCTATAGTATATATACTATACAGGGTGAGTCATAACTATTGGGACATAGGCTAAGAAATGATTGTTTGAACCAAAATGTGGCGATAGGACCGAGTAAATGCCTTAAGAAAATATTGTTGTGGAAAAATATACGGGGCATTAAAGTTGAAGATTTTTTCTCGTTTTTTGCTAGTAATTTCACTATACCGGGTGGCTACGGAAGTATTGCCTACGGAATATCTCAGTTATTGTATGAAGTAAGTTTGTGAAATTTGGAGCGTCGATATAATGACATAAGAGCTAGAATTTGAGCATATTGACATGTCGAAGTTAACTTCCGGTCTGACCGGAAGTAACATCAACTTGCTTATTTTAAATAGAAACCCTATTTTTTTTTTCGCTTTATTCGGCATTCAATTCCCTTTATAATGACATATCACAAGTTTGTATCTAACCAGAAACTAGATCAGAAAAAAATTATTATTGAAATTCACCGAGTTGGCCGTGGAAGCAAAATGAAAGCCAAAAATTGAAAAGTTACCTATGGAAACCATACGTCACTTGATAACAGTTGCTACTACTGTGATAGTGATATTTTATTTTCATTCGTCGGCGTTATAAAAAGCCGTCAAAAAAAATATTGGAAAAATTGGGAAAAAAACAATACTCTGTAGGTCCATAACTTGAATAGGAACATACAACTTCTTCTTGCCTGTACTATTCAGCATAACCATTCCTTTCTAATGATATAATAGAAAGTCATTTTTTGGCTTTCATTTTGCTTCCACGACCTACTCGGTGAATTTCAATTATAATTTTTTTCTGATCTAGTTTCTGGTTAGATATACCAACTTGTGATATGTCATTAGAAAGGGAATTGAATGCTGAATAAAGCGAAAAGAAAAAAATAGGGTTTCCATTTTAAATAAGAAAGTTGATGTTACTTCCGGTCAGACCGGAAGTTAACTTCGACATGTCAATATGCTCAAATTCTAGCTCTTATGTCATTATATCGACGCTTCAAATTTCACAAACTTACTTCATACAATAACTGAGATATTCCGTATAGGCAATACTTCCGTAGCCACCCGGTATATTCATCAATTATTATCAAAATCGGCACAAAGGCATAATTTAAATTTATACAGGGAATATTATTGTATATCACTCTGTGATAATTGTTGCGTAAATTATATTTCTTGTCAGTGAATGATTTTTCGATTGAAACGTCCTGTATCTTTTTCCACAGCAATATTTTTGGCCAAACAATCCACCCTTAGTCTATATGTCCCAATAGTTATGACTCGCCCTGTATATGAGATCTGAAACAAAATCATTCGATCAGTGCTGAAATTATTCCTGAACATTTTTAGATTATACAATGATGAATGATGATGGGGGGAAATATTAGTGGTTACTTATTATTCTCTCGTACTATATGAAAATTATTTTTTCTACTTTGCCAAGCAACTATATATGTATACAGGGTGTCCCATAAGTAATGGGTCAAAAGGAGTGGATGGTAGGGGAGGTCATTTGTAATCAACCTAACGGTATATGTTGTTATCAAATTGTTGATGGTTCAAAAAAGTTATTCAATATTTCTGAAAAATGCGACCCATTCGAAAAAATTTATAACAAAAAGGCTGTTTTGAATAACCCCATATGTTATACACTGTGGTTATACAATTTCGGAATCTGTATTAAATGGTCAACTTTTTCATATGATTGGTTATCTTCGTGGGGTAGTTTTCAGAACTGCCAGCGGCATTTAAAAATCGACTTAAATATTTCATTCGATGACGAAATTCAAGGAAAACAACATTTTTCTTACGTAATACTTGTCATAAAATTATTGCTGGTGAAAGGTATGCATCCATGTGGATGGAATGTGAAAAAGAATAAATCACAAATGTGACATAGTTTTAACGTAACTAATTCTTTTTATAGAAATGAAAAAATATTAATAACTTTTGAACCATCAACAATTATTGGATAACCACATAATTATGCGGTTAATTTGCTTAGAAATGACCCTTCCAACCACCCCACTTCTTTTGATCCTCGACTTATGGGACACCCTGTATATAATATATATATAGATCTATTAAATAGTTAAACACCCAGTACACAATACCTTGAATATGAATTATCCTCACATATGAAGAATTTGAATATTTTTGTTTCTTCGGGAAATCAGCATTAGAAAGGAATAAAAATGAAGAGACGTTATTGCCCCACAAAAATAGGAATTATTGAAACACGATGGTATAGGTAGGAAAATTAAAAAGATGTTTTGAAAAATTTACCCAAATGATCCTATATTAAGATATGATTGATTCAATTATTGTTTTGGAGCAGCAGATGAAAGGAAGAACTATATATAAAACGCATAATCTCAACTCTCAATTATGCGCGAACGTTTTTGTTATTACAAAACAGGGATCAAAGATGAGCAATTCAAGAAACATCATACCTCATCAAATTTGGAAAACATAGGCGTGCCAAAACTAAATTTAACGGGAATAAAAAATTAAACACCAGCCCAATTTCCTTGAAATGCCATTTTTGTTACTATATTTCATGTGCTGAAATGGACGTGTACACCTTAGTAGAACTTTTAACTCAAACCATGTTTATAATGATCCTTTTATACATAAATAATGATTGACGACATAATTCGATCGAAAAATTAACTACAATGTTTTATTTTTGGACATAAATAATACTACCTTCTGAAAACGGACCCTCTTATGACGTAGAAACCTCATCTCGCCATAGTTAAAAGAAAATACCAAATGCCCGACGGAGACTGAGGCAACTGATATATTAATTCTTTCAACTGTGATCTCGCGCTAATTCACTCTGTCAGAAATCATGTATCATTCATCTCTGTCTGTCACATCATCGCCTCGTTTTCAGAGGTCCGTAAAATCGGGGATTTCAATAATTTTTTATAAAACGTAGGGAACTCACAGCAAGAAACGGTTTGCGGTGGTGAGCTAGTTTGGGTGAGTTCTATCGAATTATGAAATACATTTTTTTTGTGATATAAGCCCATTTGGCGAAGATCTTGCTGAACATTTACCGCAGTATTTGATCGATTCCGTAAAATCCGCAATCTCAAGAAGCGATCATCTCTTGGAGAAGTTTTCCGGGGGCGACCAGAATCGACCCTCCGAGCGGTGCTTCCTGTTTGTTCGTACTTGCGGATTGCTCTACGAGCAGTTGCTTCATGAACTCCCACTGCACGAGCGGCGTAACGTTTACTACGTCCATCGTTTACTAACGCAACTAATCTTGCTACTTGTTCAGGATTTATTTGAGGCATTTTATGTAATTTTAGTCAATAAAACAAGAAACTTAATTAATGACACAACGACAAATGGTCAAATATGGAGGCATACAACAAATTAGTTGCTATGGCAACGGCATTTGTTTTTTAAATGTAATCCTACCAGAGTACAACCCAATCAACTTTGAGTACTAAGATCCTTCAATAAATTTAAGTGGGATAAGCGTAAGGTATCAGCAAAAAAGCAGTAATTCGGAAAATTTTAGAGATAAATCAATGAATAAAAAAACAAAATGCTCGCAAAAGAAGCCTCTTTCGTATAGGGTGCAAGCACTTTGTATACCATTACTCAATTAACACACAGGGTGAGACAAAAGTTAAGAATAAATCATGGTTCGAGTTATTCCACCACCATCAAGGAGGCTGTGAAAAAATGTTCACCTCTTTATTTTTTTTTTTGAAGACAAATGCATTACCTACCAACAAATTTAAAAAAATAAAAATTGGCCTACTATTTTTTTTTTAAAGAAGATAGGTCAAATATCAAGTGCGTCACTTTTTTTGGAACTGAGTGTATATAAGTACACGTATAGTAGAGTAATTCTGAAACTACTATTCCACTAAAAATTTATTATTCATATATTTATCGACACGATTATTCATATTTCCTGCCGTTCTATTCATATCCATTAATAGGGAGAAGTTGGCATGCCAAGCACTTATTTCAGTAATCTATTAATGTTTCGATAATAGAACGTCAACATACAACTTTCCATTGGCGTCACCGGAAAGTGAATTTCCACTCTTTTGTCCAAAATTTTTTCACGGCGGCTGGTACATTGAAATAACGATAGAATGGATTGAAGAAAGGAGCAATAAAGGAGCACTCTGTATTTCAGAAGAACTATACCTAAGGCATAAACTCTGTGTCACGTTCTTATCGGCTTATATAGGCGACATTTCCGTTTTCTAGTCTAGATTTTTATGACCAAAACAATTCCAAACAATTGCTACGCTATTTCCGAAGGTAAACTAACGCAAGTACAGTCATAATAAAACCCATTAAAAATCTCGTTCAGACGGCTTATCAATTATTAATATTACTCACTGAGAGCACATTATTCAAAACTCGTACATCTTAACAATTTAACCCCCACTACATATTTACTAAAATAATAAAAGAGATATTCATGCAAAACACATCAGAATGACATAAAATGCGTTTCCTAACCAGGTACGACAGTAATACGTACAATATTCTTTCAAATTTTGATGACATTTTAATTCATGTATGAAAAATCTCACAAGCAGCGTGATTTTGTCATTAGGACAGCGAAAAAAGTTTTCCCTAACTTCAGCCTGGGGAACCAACAACCTAGTTGAATTCAACGCCACTAAAACTCAAGCCTGTATTTTCTCTAGAAAAGCGGAACTCAGTATGCCCGACATTGTAATGTCTGGTACCACCATCCCCACCAAGCCCACCATATCTATGCTCGGTATTTCCATCAGCAACACTCTTTCATGATGGGATAATCATGTCAGATCCATCGCAAAAGCTGCTTCACAAAAGCTCGGGTTCTTGTTCCGTGCAAAAAGCTACTTCACACCTCAACAGCTTCTCATGATCAACAAAGCGCAGATACGGCCTGTTTTAGAATACTGTTCCCACAAATGGGGTTCAGCACCAAAACATACGCTGATGCTCTGCTTAGATTCCATCCAGAGAAGAGCCATTCGCCTGGTGGGTGACGCCACACTCACTCACTCTTTGACATCATTGGAACACCGTAGAAAGGTCGGCGACCTTTCACTTTTCTATCGATACTTCCACGGGAAATGTTCTTCGGAAATCTCTGCTATCATCCCTTCACTAGCAATACCAGTCAGACGAACTAGACAAGCCCAGTCAGCACATCCTTTCGTTGTCAACTTCGAAAGATGTCGAACAGCACTTTATCAAAACTCCTTCATCCATAGAACGGCTAGGCTCTGGAATTCATTGCCTGGGGAAGTATTCCCAACAACATATAATCTCCAGAAGTTCAAAAAAAAATCCAATACCTACCTCCTGTCCCTATCCTCCCTAGGGACGCACGATGTTCTTTGAACATTATAGGGATTTCCTTTCGTGCGCTCCAAGCGATAAAAAAAATAAACAAATGTTTTTCTACTACTGCTATGGAAAGTAGCGCATTTCTCATAGTTTACTTAGTTTCAAAACCATGTATTGCCCATACTGTGAGAAATATTTTTTCTCACGGCACTTTGCCAACACCACATACATTTCCATGGAGAATCAACAAAAATCGACCAATACTTGGCTGCTGTTGAATAGTTGTCACAACTGTCAGAAGAAGTTTTTTAAATTCTATAGGGTAGTTCTCATTAGTGCTTTTGATAGAAATCGCATTTTCCATCAAATATTGTTCCAACAATTCATAATAAATAATATGATGTATATACAGAGATGTGACGATTTTGATGAATACACCGCCAGAGACAGAGATAATGGAAAAAGCTGCGAAAGTTTGATTTGTTTCCAGAAATTACAAGAAATATTGTTGCACAATATACTATTCTGTGACAGAAGAAAGGACGAATCAATATTGAGAAGATATTACATTATTTTGAAATCTGAAAATTATCGACGTGAAATTTCAAGTTTTTAACAGTAGGGACACCTGCGTTGTAGGCATCTTTATCATTCTTTTGAAGTAATCAAAAGTCTGATGTCACTTCTATCAGTCTAATTCTGTGATTTGATTTCAAAAAATTGCGAATTTAGTGGTTGTTTAGTAATATACGTAACCGCGAAGTCGAATGGAAGATAAAAGGACTTGCAGTTCTTTCTCGGAGACGGTATTATTGACTCATTTTTCGGAACTATACCAAAACAAAAGCCATCAACAGTGTATATATATATGTGATATATATCCAAGAAAAAAGTACTCACTTTTTTCCCACGGGAAAAAAGTAATTTATGAAAAGTGACATTTTATAACCTGCCAACAGAGATGAAATGCCAAACTTTTTTCCCGTCACAGAAAAAAATTTTTTTCTACTATCGTGTGGAAACGTTCACTATTCCGCGAAAAAAAAAACTTTTCACTGCACTTTCTGCAGTGTGCAGTTTTTGGAGAGTATACTGACACTAGAATATTTAATAATAATAATGATGATAATAAATGTTTATGTTAACTTTTGTTTTTTTACCCCCTCGTCGGCCATCTGCAATCGCGTGCGGAAAAGGATCACTTTCCGGTTTAGGTGAACTATTTATTTTATTTATTTATTTATTGATTGAAGAAATAACTTCCAGACAGAATAGGCTCTGGTATAAGGAAGTATATAAATTATATACCTATAGGTAAACATATCATCATTCAAAATATATCAACAACTGTAAATTGACAAACAAAGAATATTTTGGTAAAAAAGAAATGGCATGATTAATTTTATCCATTACGCACAGAAATAATCAGTTTTTTCACTTCATTTTTGAATGTAACTATATTTCTGCAATTTTTTATATTGTATGTTATATAGGTATAGTTTATTGGATTCAGTTAAGGCTGAATGAGTGAATCTTTTTTGTCCACTTATGGAGCTAGCGGCGTCAAGATGAAACAAGTTATATTGTCTAGTTTCATGATTATGAATTTCAGAATTCCGTATTAAAATAATATTCGACTTCAATTTTTTATTTATGATATTATATGATATTTTAAGAGTTTCAATTCTATATATTTCATCTAGAGAATACGTATTTGTTATTTCATGCAATTGATTGGTTGGTGTATCAAATGGGAGACGATACAATACTTTCAACGATTTTCTATATAATGTTTATTTTAGTTCTTAACCAAGTGATGATATTTTTATTACTTGGTTCCCCTTTCAGTGTCTGTCCGACCCTGCTGCCTGCAGAACCATTTGTGCAAGATCTCCATATTAAATAGACTTTAGATGACTTTATTAATTTTTTTAACCTCAGTAACCTCCATTCCATACATGTGTACATACTGTAACTTTTATGATAACTTATCTTTATATCGCCTACGATGTACTTAGGTATACTTATCTAAACAAAATGATAAGAGAGCAATATAGAAAAAACCTCATTTTTGTCAATGATGATATCTCGTGGCATATTCATCAGTAATCTCCCAGCAGTGCAAGAAGAATGTTGGATGTTTTCCTAAAATAAAAATCATAGCGAGAAATAATCACGGTACACGGTCAAAATATCGACTTAAGGTTAGTCTTTTAATTTAATTGAATTGTCTGAACAGCCTAACGTACCCTCAAAACCCTTCAAACAATAATTCAATTCTATTTCATTAGTGTTCGCCAAAAATTAATAGTATTTTTACCCCTAACGAATCAAAATAAAAATGAGCAATACTTTGGGTCATGTTTTCATATGCCCCCCTGTATATTATAATAACGAAACTCGAAAGATTGAATCATGGCATCGGCTGCAGGTATTACTTATTGTTTATAAACACCAAAACCAATACCTCATTCCATATCACACGATTTGATTAGTCAGAAAACTATTATCCACAATGAATAGCGCGATACTGAATGTTTTCTTGCGATAAAATGCCTGTTGGCACGACTAGCAGCAACAGTCTTCGCTCGATTTTGCCCAGATAAAAACGAACATGGAAGGTGAGTTTCAACTTTGAAATTTTTCGATGGAGTGAAACAAAAAAAAACTATTCATCTATAGCTATTTTAGTTGAAGTATTTCCACCCTGTAGATAATCCATCGATTGAATTATTTTAAAGCTCAACACAAAATGGAACAGTAATAATAATCTAATTAATTGATATAGGAAAAATTATGTTCACAAAACTTATTTTGACCTTAAAAATACGTCTTGGATTCGTGGCAATGAATCTTGAATCCCCATGTATATTTGACTGATCAACGATAGTAAGTTTCATGACAATGCGTCATGATACTACAATCTACAAACTTTTTTTCTGTATCGCCCTGTGTAGAGTCAAATGCGCACCTGGGCAATCCTACGCCTTTTCCAGTTTTAGTTTAAAAAATCAATCGTATTTCAAAATGGTCATTTGGATTTCAAAACGCATCATTTTCATTTTAAATTAGTCAATTTAATTCCAAAAGTATGTCTTTCAAAGTTATCAATTTAATCTCAAAATGCGTTAATTGCATTTCAAATTGGTTATTTTAATTTCAAGACGCATCATCTATAGCTATTTTAGTTGAAGTGTTCCCACCCTGTAGATAATCCATCGATCGAGCGATCGATAGAAAAAAAATTATGTTATGACATTTTTTAATGCTTTTTATTTTTGAAGCTTATCACAAAGTGGTACAGTAATAATAATCTATTTAAGAAGGGGGTGTATTAATATAGGATATGTTCATAAAAAAACTTATTTTGATTTAAAAAATACGTCTTGGAATCGTGGCAATGAATTTTGAATCACCATGTATATTTGACTGATCAACGATACTAGGATTCATGGAAGTGCGTCAGAAGAGTACAATCTACAAATTTTGTTTCTGTATCGCCCTGTGTATTGTTAAATGCGATGAACATGTCGCACCTGGGCGGTGATATAGCAACACCTTTTCAAAGTTTAGTTTAAAAAAGGTCAATCGTATTTCCAAATAGTCATTTGTATTTCAAATTATTCAATTTAATTTTAAAAAGTATGTATTTCAAAATTATCAATTTAATCTCAAAATGCATTAATTGTTTTTCAATTTCAAGACGCATCATATATAGCTATTTTAGTTAAAGTATTCCCACCCTGTAGATAATCCATCGATCAAGCGATCGATCGAAAAAAATTATGTTATGACATTTTTTAATGCTTTTTATTTTAAACGCTTATATAATATATATATAATAATAATCTATTTAATTTTAGAAGGGGGTGTATTGTATGCGATGATGTAGCAACACCTTTTCAAAGTTTAGTTTAAAAAAGGTCAATCGTATTTCCAAGTAGTCATTTGGATTTCAAAACGCATCATTTGTATTTCAAATTAGTAAATTTAATTTCAAAAAGTATGTTTTTCAAAATTATCAATTTAATCTCAAACTGCGTTAATTGCATTTCAAATTGTTTATTTTAATTTCAAGATGCATCATCTATAGCTATTTTAGTTAAAGTATTCCCACCCTGTAGATAATCCATCGATCGAGCGATCGATCGAAAAAAAAACATTAGGTTATGAAATTTTTCAATGCTTTTTATTTTAAAAGCTTATCACAAAGTGGTGCAGTAATAATAATCTATTCAATTTCAGAAGGGGTGTATGAATATAGGATATGTTCATAAAAAAACTTATTTTGATTTCAAAAATACGTCTCGGAATCGTGGCAATGAATCTTGAATCACCATGTATATTTGGCTGATCAACGATACTAGGTTTCATGACAGTGCGTCAAAAAATTACAATCTACAAATTTTGTTTCTGTATCGCCCTGTGCAATCCTACACTTTTTTCAAATTTCAGTTTGAAAATGATCAATCGTATTTCAAAATAGTCATTTGGATTTCAAAACGCATCATTTGTATTTTAAATTACTCAATTTAATTTTTAAAAGTATGTACCTATTTCAAAATAATCAATTCAATCTCAAAATGCGTCGATTGTATTTCAAATTGGTTATTTTAATTTCAGAAAGCATCAAATGTATTTCAAATTCATCGAAATTAATTTCAAACACTTCAAATTCCAAAATAGTCGTTTGTATTTCCAAAAATATCAAATGTATTTCGTAAATGCATCATTCGAATTTGAAATGGAATATTTTGAAATTGAATTGATAATTTTGAAATAAATTTGATACTATTTGATATTAAAATGACTGATTTGAAATACAATTGACGCGTTTTGTAATTGAATTGATAATTTTGGAATACATTTGATACTTTTTGTAATTAAAATGACTGATTTGAAATACAATAGATACTTTTTGAAATCAACTTGACGCTTTTTGAACTAAAATCACTTCTGCAATAAGAGCGACATGTTCTTTGCATATGACTGTACATATTATTGATTCATTCCCGTATTTCGAATCGTTTCAAAACAAAAATATCTAGATGAATATCACAATATTTTTCGAATCTGATGTTTACTAAAACATTTTAAAGAGGAATCTAGTTCAATAATAAAATTATTCAAAGATTATTTCTACAAGATATAGTTCGAAATGGAAAATTTTCTGATATCAGGTATATCTACTTGCCACGATATCGTGAAAAGACTATACAGGGTGAAAAGGTCCGGAAATGCAAACTTTTTTGAAACATCAGTTTTTCGTTAATATCTTGAAAATGTCCCACCCAATTTTGTTGAAATTTTGCAGTGTAATTATTTGTATTGATGAGGTGCTGATTTAGCCATGATCGGATCAACGAGAAACCGATTCTTATAAAAATTGGAGACCCTAGCTGTATCATGAAACCTATGCATTTCTGGATCTATGTTTACATGAACATTTCGTCTTAGAATCACTAAAATAATCACCCCTTGTAGTTTGACCACATACTTAAATAACATCCTGTATTGGCCTACTTCGCTTCCTCGAAAAAAACAAAATCACTCTGTATATATTGAGTTTCAATATTTGAATTTTGATAAAATGCAGACGTTAGATACGAGATAAGGTCATGTTCAGCGGAATCAAAATATCTTCAGTGGGATTATATATGTATAGCACTTCCTTATTCCAGATTCAAAAAAGTGTATTTCACACTCTGTAAAGGACCCCGCACGAAAACACGGGAAATTGGCTCTCGGTCGAATTGGCTGAAATTAAACTATGTTGTTGTGAAAAATATGTGAGTTTGAAAAGTTTTGTATGTTTAGTTTCTGAGATATAAGCCGACAAAGTTCGTGAAAACGTCGTATCGGGGTAGGATTGACAAAGAAAAAAACAGTTTTGTTAGTATAAATAAGACAAAATAATCCAGAAAATGTATTGATCGGAACTTAAATACATGTCTAGTTATGATCACATAAATTATTGTAAATCAGGGTGTATACGAGGCACGGTCAAAAAATTCATTTTTCGGAAAAAAAAATTCAAGCACTATTCCAAAACCAACAAGTTATATTTTGGTGAGACATTATAGTTTCAGTTGAAAGCTAGCGAATTCAATATTGATTTTCATTCAGATACAGGGTGTGTTAGATTTTTCTGAAGATTAATTAAAATGTTTCAATTGAATATCTCTAAAACAGTTCCGTTAATTGGGATCTCATTTTACTCACACTATTTTGAATATGTTGACTATCATATGCAAGAAGTTTTTTCAATTTTTCATGTTTCATTTCGACGATATGCATTTCTGAGTTTACAGTATTACAGAACTTTACGGAATCCATACTGTTAAGTTTCATATTGTTATTCAATGTGGTTCGTGTTGTTTATGGTAACAAATTATTGATTTCTAACAGTTTCATAATGTAATTGAATGTTCGAAAGATTCCGTAAAGTTCTGTTGAATCGATAGTAATATCCGAGGTAATAACCCTATAATACCTGTAATACTGTAAACTCAAAAACTGATATCTCAGAAACTAAACATACAAAATTGAAAAACTTTTTGCATATGATAGTTCAACATATTCAAAATAGTGTCAGTAAAATGAGATCCAAATTAACGGAACTGTTTTCGAGATATTCAATTGAAACATGTTAAATAATCTTCAACAAAATCTAACACACCCTGTATCTAAATGTAAGGCAATATTGAACGAATGAATTCGCCCCAGCTTTCATTCAATCAACAGTATCAATCAATCCCTTTCTTTGTTATCAAACACAAGCTGTCAATTGTTTTCAAAAAGGGGTGTAACACAGAATTCTAAAAATTCATATTTCGAACAGAGATAGTTATCAAGAATCAAAATACGTTTTCGAAGCCTACAATAGACTAAAACTATGATGTCCCGCCAAAATATAACTTGTTGGTTTTGGAATAGTGCTCGAATTTTTTTTCCGAAAAATGAATTTTTTGACCGTGCCTCGTATACACCTTGATTTACTATAGTTTATGTGATCATAACTAGACATGTATTTGAGTTCCGATCAATACAATTTCCAGCTCATTTTGTCTTATTTGTACTAAAAAAACAGTTTTTTTCTTTGTCAATCCTACCCCGATACGACGTTTTTACGAACTTTGTCGGCTTATATCTCAGAAACTAAACATACAAAACTTTTTAAACTCACACATTTTTCTAATGAGCCATCCCACAACAACATAGTAATATTTCAGCCAATTCGACCGAGAGCCAATTTCCCGTATTTTCGTGCGGGGTCCTTTGTAAAAAAGTAGGTATTCGTTTTCATTTTAGAAAAATATTTATCTGATAATTCATTTTATTTTCAAGAATGAATATACTGAGATTAATTTTTGGATAATTCCTAGGCATATTTATTCTTCCTTATGGAGTTACTTATTTAAAAAAAAGACTTGATCGGTGTGTTCGCACCTGAATCAAATATAATTATTGATCTAGTAGATGTCTAATAAATGTTTGAATAATCCGGAAATATTTCATTCAAATCGGTAAAACGTTTCTGAGCTATTTATTTTGGATAAAAATTTCCCCCGTTATACGTTCAGTGAAATAGTTATTTTTGTATCTAGAGCGCGAAATGCTACTTTGGTGATCAAGGTCTGATTTTTTTTACGAGGCGTAGCCGAGTTAAAAAAATAGTCGAGATGACCAAAGTATTTCGCGCTCGAGTTGCAAACAAATTTTTTTCTACAAACGTCAAAAAATATAGTTCTAAAGTAAAAATATGCCTAGCTTGATAAAGAAAATAGTGTTGAACTGGCTTAAAAAGCCTCCCACTATCCTTCCTCGGTACGCACGATGTTCCACGAGCATAATAGGGATTTTCTTTCGTGCGATCCAAGAGATAAAATAAAGTTATTGGTGAATATTCAGAAATGAATGATTTCGTGAATGTTTGCTCGATTGGGGACCATGTGGCTGTGTTTGTAAGAGAGAAACCTTAAATAAAGTTGAAATATAAATATGTCATATATTTTGCATAACAGTGCGCGAAGTAGGTACTTCGCGCACTGTTTTACTTCGCGCATTGTTATGTGCAAGGTATCATGGTAACGTAGGAAACTGAAAAAAAGTGTCACTTCGCAATTTGTTATCAATGCGCGAACCTTGTCATTTTTTGACGTTTGTAGAAAAAAAAATCGTCACTTATGTTAGATATCCTGAGTAGAAGAAAATTCCCTTTTTGTATTTCAGATGTTTTGAGATCATCATCAATGATGCGGTGCTTTTACGAAACATCATGGAACATTACAAAAAAAGACTGATCCGGTGCCAGACCAGAGATCATCAAACCCAGAAATTGTCGGGCCTACCCTGTCAAGAAGAGAATGTGGACAACGAAACTTCCAAAGATATCGATTTTCCAGAAAAAATATCAACTTGTGAAAGTCACAAAAACGTAGATAGGAAAGCTATGAGACAAAAGAAAATCGCAAGGAAGAGAGCAGTGTGCAGAGCAAAATTTCGACACACCAACATGGAACTGTTTAAATTGGGAACGAGTGAGTATCATCCAAGATGTATATAGATTAATGGTGTGATCACTAGCGGCTTGTTGCCATATGGTAACACTGATGAAACTTATTGAATGGGCAGTTTTTCATAGAGGTTCGTTGAAATTCCAACCAGTTTTTACTAATTCTATCAATATAAATCATATGAAATCCGAATAACTGTTTGCGTTCTCTAATGAAAATTTCACAATCTACTAAAGTTGATGACTGTCATAAATATTGAACGAGTATTAAGATAAAAAAATGGTATCTCTTTATCGGTTGAATTATCACTGTTCAAGATCCAGATTATTTATTATCGTACAGATAACCCAATTCGTATAAAATTAAAAACACTCTATAGCGCTGGAACACAAGGAAATATATGAAATTATGATAGATCATAATAAGTTATTGGAATCTGAGAAGTGGTGCTGAAACGTTCATATCAATCTTATACAGTGTGTCCAACCTCGAATTTTGGAGTAGACTGACTGATTCAAATTTATTTTTCAAAATGTACTACTCAAGACCTCAATAGGGGCCCTGTATCTCTTCAGAATACCTGTTTCACCAAATAATATGATTCATCTTCCTATCGTTACTCAATTATTCGTACCATGTTTTGCATTTTTTCTTCTCCACAATAATTTCTTTCGGCTGATGATGGACACTCAGAGACAATATGAACTTCTACATCATAGTAGATTAATCTAAAATCTTTGGAAATGTTCTCATGAAACCAGATAATTTTTGACAAAAAAATTGTTTCAGCCATTTGGTAATGTCAATGTGATGTAATGTCCCACTGAAACCTAGAATTTCAAGTCCACGGGACTTAATAATAATAATTAAATTAATAATATGGTGACCATATGACATGACAACAAATCAACTGTTCGTGAAAAATCATGAATTTTACTGAAAAAAAATATAGCAGCATTTTGATGAGTAGGTATATCAAATCTCATTTATTAAGAGTATAGGAAAATAAACTGTAAAATGTGTTTGAAAACCCTAATTTTCATAAATCAAGAACTGTTGTGCGTTGAATGTTGTATAACCTGAGCAAATACCTTAATCTAATCTGATTTTGTTATCATGAAATATTAGTGCGCTACAATAAAGTGCTATAGGTATGTTTATCAATTTCATTTTCATGATAAGATTTTAAAAAATCAAAGGCCTGATGATGTGTTAACTTTTGAAGATAGAAAGAGATTCTATATATTATTATCTACAGATAAACATTCAACAGCTTATGCAAACATAAGGCAGAATGGGTTATGTCTGATTTAGATGAACCGATACAAAAATCTGCCATGCAATAAATGAAGTAGGTAATAATAGAAGACGAGAAAACAAAATGAAATGAGAGGGATACGTTTATCGAGAAAAATATATGCTGCAAAATGTTGAATTTCAAAGTATGCTTGGAACATTTCGTGAATCATCGATACCATGTTGCCAAACCCGAGCATTCGCTTTCGGCGAGGTCAAAAACACCGGAGAAAATGATTTTGGCATATACAGTGTGTCCCACTTACCATGCTCACCATGGGTATCTTTTGAACCGTGAGAGATACGAGGTCGGTTAAATGACACCAAATGTGGAGTTTGTCAAGGCCAACTATAATGTGAAAAAATATTTTGATAAAATCTATTCGTTTTTGTTTTATACGCAAAAAACAGATTTTGATCATTTTCATGTCTCCTCCGTAACTTCTTTATTTATGAAAATATTCAAATAGGAATTTCACACTCTCATGGCAGTTTTTCGAACTGATTTCGAAAAAAATATGAAATTTATACCAACTCTTCTAGAATTTGAGATATCAGCACCAACTTTAGTTTTTCAAATGTAGGTCATACCTCACTATGACTTAGTTACAAATAACTTTTTTTTCTCTTTCAGATGATGTGTCGCAGTAATAGTTTTGGGTTGATAACAACGGAGTTATCGTCATTTATACAAAAACAAATATTATTTGGAAGCCGCCATCTTGAATTTATAAATTTTAACAGGAAAATCATGATCTCCGACCTCAAGAACCCCCACTCACCAATTTTGAATAACATCGAACCAAATCTTGTCCGCCATCTTGGAGCAGCCATTTTTTTAATTTCAACAAAAATTCCATGACTCCGATTAACTTGAAATTTGGCAGGTGTTCATAATTTCGGTGACAATACATTATGGATTTTTTGTTGAAATTAAAAAAAAATGGCTGCTCCAAGATGGCGGACAAGATTTGGTCCGATTCCATTCAGAATTGGTAAGTGGGGGTTTTTGAGGTGGGAGATCATGATTTTTTTGTTAAAATTTATAAATTCAAGATGGCGGCTTCCAAATAATTTTTTGTTTTTGTATTAATGACGATAACTCCGTTGTTATCAACACAAAACTATTACTGCGACATAGCATCTTTAAGAGAAAAAAGAGTTATTTGCAACTAAGTCATAGTGAGCTATGACCTACATTAGAAAAACTAAAGTTGGTGCTGATATCTCAAATTCTAGAAGAGTTGGTATAAATTTCATATTTTTTTCGAAATCACTTTAAAAAACTGCCATGTGAAATTCCTATTTGAATATTTCCATAAATAAAGAAGTTACGAAGGAGACATGAAAATGATCAAAATCTGTTTTTTGCGTATAAAACAAAAACGAATAGATTTTATCAAAATATTTTTTCACATTATAGTTGGCCTTGACAAACTCCACATGGTGTCATTTAACCGACCTCGTATCTCTCACCGTTAAAAAGATACCCATGGTGAGCATGGTAAGTGGGACACACTGTATAACACTCAATAAATCATTCTATAAAAATGTTGATTCCTCCTTTGATTTTCAATCTTGCCACAACATAGAAAATTGGAATTTGATGTCACTAAAGTTTTGGGATTCTCTCTGGACAAGATTATTTTGTTGATTGGGGTATTCTTCCAGGTATGCCGACTTCCCTGTGCAAAACAAAACAACCCTACAACGTGTGCACGGAAAAAACCCTCCAGCTGACCTGCGAAAACAAACCCCGCAACAGCAAGAAACCAGAAGAGCCCTTGCCCAAGGAAGCCATCACTGAATTCATCATAAATTCCATAGAAGGCAACCAGAAGGACCTCTTGCCAAGATCAAAATCCACCGAGCACTCGAATAAAACCACAGGGAGACATAGCCTTCCCCAACTGGTTCCAGAGATGCCCTTAAAGAAAAAAGTTAGGTTCTCCCTAGGGCCCAACGCATCAGAAAATAATGAGAGGCAAGCCGTAGCAAAGAGAAGAAAAACTGTTATTGGAACCGAAACTTTCATGGAAACCACCAACAGTAAATTTGAAACTGAACCGAATCCAATTGAAAACCATCCATCACAAAACGTCACTGTGCCACTTCACTCAAAATCTACCGATCTGACAGCTTCTTATAAACCCTCACACTCCGAAGCTGTGACAACGCCGCACTTGCATCACAATCTAATCACTAGCCCGATTATCAAGGAACAAGAAAAAAATCACACCGATCAGAACTTCAAGGAAGGACTGGGGGAGTTACATCAGAATACAATACATCTCAGAGCAATAGCTCCCAAAGAAACACCAAATAAGAACAACAACACAATTGCTTATAAAGACCCACTGGTTGATCTAGGATCTCGAACCAATGAAGAAGAATCAAGAACAGTTGCACCTGTTGATCCATCTGTTGATCTGGGACTTCGAACTCATCAGCAAGGGGAAAGGTTCTTTCAGCCACAAGATCCTCGGAGCCAAAAGACGACAGCTCCTGGTGACCTAGGATCCCATCCCAATGAATCCTTTGAGGAAGGAACTAGACTATTCAGTTCTGGAAATAAAAGGAACAGTCACGAAGCAATTGCTCCAGGAGCAACCTTCGACGAAGGGCAGAAGTTGTTCCGTTCGCAGAATAGTAGGGATCACAGAAGGAAATATCCAGAGGACCCATCTTCTGATATGGGTTTCCATAACAATGCTTTTAAGGAGAGACCACCCATGGAGCGGAGACAGCAAAGTGGGGAAAATCAGCCAATTAACCTATCAGTGAAACAACCTCCTTCGTATCCAGCATCAAGCAAAACGGATAGTATGCCTACACAGACACGAGTGTCCTATAACATATTTCCAGAGATCAAAGAGCAAATAACGAGACTGGGGAACACCACCACGAATCGTCAAACCAAAACTAGAACACACGATAAAAAAATCGACGACTTGATAAAGTACCTAGTGGAGACATCGAAAGCGGCAATGACCACGCCCTTTTCCATTAGAAACCTTCTTATCATGAACAAAAACTACAGAGAACTGCAAATTTACTTGATGAAAACTTGTGTTTCGAAGAAAGCGAAGCTCGCCATCACAGCAACTATGAACGAACTGATATCGTACGTTAGCTACAAAATTTTTGGCGAATCAAACAACATGCATTTCCGGCTGTACACGGAAAAACTGCTGGACACTACTCTGGAAAATCACAAAGCAGAACTCGAGAATTTCCTTAATTCGAGTATTTACAGCGAAGACGACGACCGGTTCAGAGAGTTCTTCAATTGGATAGGTTTCATCAGCAGAGAAATCGCGCTTAGCAATCGACAAAGCGTTCTTTATGAAATTCCAATACAGTACCAAAATGGGAATGTGAACTACAACAGACCTGTGTTCATGGAAAACCATGGGGGCAGAGAGAAATCCAGCTTCCCATTATCGAATCCTCCGTACCTAAATTTTCCAACAACTATTTCAAATCCACATCTGAATCCACAGTTCCCAACAACAATATCAAATGGAATGTCTCTGCCAAATCCACATATACCTGCTAATACTCTGCCTTATCCAACTCCACAATTTCCTATTCCAAATTCAAGTTTGTCCACATCAATACCATCTTCAATTACATTACAGTCACAATTAGCAACATCAGTGACTGTATTAGATCCGAAAACATCTGCTAACCCAATGCCTTTACCAAATCCACAGTTCCCAAAACCTGCTCCACAATTCCCAACAATGCCTCTGCAAAATCCATATACAACTGCAAGCACTCTGCCCTATTCAATTACACAATTTCCTATGCCAAATCTGAAGTTGTCTACATCAACGACTGCATCAAGTTCACAGTTATCAACTTCTTCTCTGATTGCAATGCCCCCACAATCTTCAACATCAGTGACTGTATCAGATCCACAATTCTCGAGAGCATCTGCTAATCCGATGCCTTTACCAAATCCACAGTTCCCAAAAACAGCATCTAATACAATGCCTCTGCTGAATCCGTATACAACTGCCACTACTTTGCCCACTCCACAGTTTCCTATTCTCAAGTCAAAGTTATCTACATCAACGACTACATCAAGTTTACAGTTATCAACACCTTCTTCGATTCTGATGCCTTCACAACCTTCAACAACTGTTGGTACTATGCCTGTTCCAAATCCACAGTATCTAATATCACCTTCCCTCAGAATTCCTCCTCCAAATACACAAATTTCAACAGCAACTACTGAATCAAATCCACAGAATCATACAAAAATAACTGTCCCACAGAATACTAGTTCAGTGAATGAGAAACTACTCAAGATTTGTAATTTGAAGAGCAAATATTTGGAGAAAGATCCAGAAGCTAGTATAACGATTGATGATGATCCTATCAGGGAAAAAGATTCGATTGAAGAAAATCGTAAAACAAAAAGTGTGATAGTAAAAGAAAAACCGATGGAGATAACGAAAGTAGGCCGAAGTTTGAAGGAGATACCCATGGACGATGTTGAACACCAGGAAGTTTTAGAGAAAATAAGAGAACTTGAGCAGATGAGAGAAATCAGTACAGCAAAAGTCATCCCGGAGCATTTGGAGAAGAGTCCGGATTTTCAACTCTTCAAGGAGATTTTGAAAGAGGAGGATAGAGACGTGTATAAGAAGGTGCTGAAGAAATTGGTTCGAGTCAAAAAGGATACAGCTAGAGCTGCAGTTATTTTGATTGATGATGATGAAGGTAAAAACGAATTAATTTTATTCTTCCATTCAGTAGTTTCAAGAATTTAGAAATTTTACAAAATGTAGTTGATTTTAAAGGATTCACCATTTTTTTTATTGCAGATACTTCAATACGTAAAGTGCGCACCGAAAATCAACCATATTCGATTGACCTAACAGAAAAGAAGAAGCTACCGCCATTTTTGATTGATTTGACAAACACCAGATCAAAAACCAGTAAAAGCTCAAACGAACCTCCTCGAAAAAAAATCAAGAAGAATCTACCACTCAGAATCTTCAATGAAATTTTAGTTATTGATGATGATGACACATCTAAACCTGCAAATAAAGATGAGAATCAGAATTGTATAGAAAAAAATAAAGAAAGCACAGAAAAATGGTGTCCTATAATAGAGGATATTTCAGATGACGAATCTCAATCGAATCCACAACAAATCCATAATGAAAATCCACTAGAAACAACCAAGGAAATTATCAGTAATGAAAATGAGATGGAAACAGAAGGCCAAAAACCGTGTAGAAAGAATATTATCACATCTACAAGAGAAAATAACATCAACGCTATCAACAATGAAAAAGACACCGACACAGCTCATAAAGAAACTAAAGAAATCAGTTCGGTAGATAAAACTGAGCACCAAGATGTCAAATTCATGTCTGCCCAAACAAAACCGTCAACGAAAAATATCTGTACTGCCTCAACAACTGCTCAAAAAAATAGTATTGACACATCTAAAATACCTAAAAGTGATGTTGCCAATAAAGAAATTTTTTTAGGAGATAACGATTCAGAGTCAAGAAGCAATATCATTTCCCTAGCCCTGACTGAGACTGATTCGAAAACAAATAAAGATACGAAATCGAAACCAATAGCTGAAACTAACATACCTATCGAAAAAGGCACAGAAACCAACTTTCAAGTAACACACGAGAAAGATATGGATTGTGAGCCAGTACAATCTCAGCTGGAAACATCATCATCAAGCAAAACTAGAATAATTATTATCCATAAAAAGACAGAAGCCGAAAGACCTGAAGACCTCAACACAAGAGACACTTTGCTTGAGCGTCTAAAAGCGAAATCAATAAGGGGTAATATTATCACCCCAACAACTAATGAAACTGAAATTAGCACTTATAAGGACTCAGAAACCTATATGATTGAAGAACGTCTAAAAAATAGGGACCAGCAAACTTATATAGATTCTTTGCCAGCACAAACTGAGGAGCCTATAGAAAAAAATCTAAATTCATCATTGATAACAACCAATACTACCAATAATGAAGCACGAACAAACGGAACTGAAGAAACTGATGATGATACAAAACTGAGAACGCACAAAACTTCCATACCTCTCATTCCTAAAACTGTCATAAGTGCTACTAAGGACATAGTTAATGCAGACAAAACCCACTACCAAAACATACAATCGAGAAGAAAAAGTGTAATTTCACCTTCAACCACACACACTAACACATGTACTAATAATGCAGAACAATTAAAACCCATGGTTTACAAAACCAAACCAGACGACCTCAATGTAGAACCAAGAGAAGATAATATCCTCTCATCCCCAGAAACCGACACCAGTTCCGTTATAACAAACGGTGTCATTCATATAAGACCTGAAGACATATCCCAACCCCTTTCAGTCATATCGAATACGACACCCCTAACTGAAACAGCAAAGCTTCATGCAAGACCTCGAATAGCTCAACCAGCTAACAAAACAGACTCAGATTCTGAGAGACACAATCAGGAGACAGGAACAGTGATACATCAAACGCAGCCTGAAGCATCTTGTTTGTCCAGACTTTCGAACCCTGCAAGTGAAGCAGTCTTCCTCCAACCAACTACACAGGAGGGCAACGGCGCGATACCAAGAAGTGCTTCAGCCGGAAGAGATACATTCACCCCAGATGGTCACAGACAACAGTGGTTCCACAATGGCCCCTCGTCTTCAAGGTCCCACTCGGTACCGCTAGCATGGCACCCTTGGCTCCACAACGAGCAAGGCAGAGGAGCCTCCACCAGCAGAAGACAATCCGTGGAGACCATAAGCAATGCTGGAAGCGACTACAGCCCCACTGTCGCCCCAGAAGCCACAGTTTTCGAAATCAGGCTGGACTCCAAGTGGTACCGAATTTCCAAGAACCTCTACGACAAGATCCCCAAAGGTATTTTTTATTTATTAATCAAACATATCTTCCAGTCAGAACAAGTTCTGGTATGAGGGAGAACATAATTATAAAATAATAAGTGATAAATATCAATGAACCACTACACAAACATGAGTAGAAAACATGAATAATAAATCATAATAAATCAGGATATCACAATAAATCACAATAAAACAAAACAATCAATGAACAAAGAAAAGCATTCTAGTCAAAGACATAACTTACTGATAAATTTTAAACATTTTTCTCAGAAATGATCAGTTTTTTTTATTTTCTTTTTAAATGTGCATATATTTCTGCAGTTTTTAATTTTGTCTGGTAGTCTATTGAACTCGGATAAGGCTGCACGAGTGAAACTTTTTTGTCCGAGTGTAGAACTAGCAGCATCAAGGTGAAATAAGTTATATTGTCTAGTTTAATGACTATGAATTTCAAAGTTTCTTGTCAAAATAATATTAGATTTCAATTTTTTATTCATGATATTATATGAAATTTTCAGTCTCTAATCTGTACAGTTCTTCTGAAGAATATGTTTTTGTTAAGGCATACAGTTCAGTTGTTGGTGTATCATATGGAAGACGATACAGAACTTTTAATGAGTTCCTATATAATGTTGATATTTTATTAAAATTATTTTTAGAACAAGATCCTCAAACATTTATTAAATAGTAAATTCGACTCAGGATATGTGAATTCGCAAATTCGCAATTTTCATATTGAGTTTGGAACAACTTCTCAATGCACAAATAATAGGAGATATTTTCTTTGTCAGAACCTCAAAATGTTTGTCAATTTATCATCAAACCAAATACCCAAATACTTTATCTGTTCAGTTTGTTTCATGAATTCATTCTTTATTCGAAGATTGAGCTGAATTTTCGGTTTATTTTTTTGTTGAAAAAATCATGTATTCAGTTTTTCTGGTATTTATTGATGAAAGGTTAGAGTGGAGATATTTTTCAAATAATTTCAGATCGTTATTCATCACAGTTTATAAGATTAGAGGATTTTTGTTTTCGTATAAAAGCACTGTATCGTTTGCATATATGGTATAATTACTCGCTTGACCAACTTTCGTGATATTTTGAATATAAAGCAGATACAGTATTGGTCCTAAAACAGACCCTTGTGGAACACCCTGATTCATTCCTTGAAAACCAAACTGATTTATATCGAATACCACATGGAAAAATTCCTCTCATAAAACATTCATGTCTTTTGTAATGAAACCTTCTGAATCAAGAAATTTTTTCCGATTGGCAGCAAATATTAATTTTGCTGACACATATCAATCAGCAAAGTGGCTACTTTGCTGATTGATATGTATCAGCAAAATTAATTATCCATAAATCGTTTATAATTTCCTTCATATTTCATTCGAGACTTCTCCGGCAACAAATTCAACTCTATATTTTTTGCCACCTCCCTTATTTCTGGAGGTGTAAGTACTTCCAGGTCACTATCACTGTCCATTATATAATAATTTAAATATACCGATATTTTTTCGCACATATGTCAGAATTTTCATGAATTGTCAAACTATAATTATCATGGACAACTGCGATTTCTATCAAATTTCATTTTAATTGAACACTACAGAAAAAATAAAGAGATTGTGGGAATTGTAATAACTTGCAATTACAATATCCACCTATATCATTATGAACAATCGGAGAAAAAATTATATGTTCAACTCGGCAGCAAAGTAGATTGACTGCCTTAGCTGGATTCCTAGCCTCGCTACGCTCGACTATGAATTGAGCCTCGGCAGTCAATCTACTACTTTGCTGCCTAGTTAACAAATAACTATTTTCAAATTGTGAATCATATCAACGATTCGCTTTTATAGGTAAGCTCCGGTACGTCAAAGAAAATAACGCCTTCGTTCGGTACTGCGATGGATATGAGATGGAGCAATTCGTCGAGAATATCAGTGAAGCGCAGCACAACGAGGAATTGAAAGGACGTTTCATTCGACTTATCCGCCATTGTATGTACCTGGGGCCGGTGCATTCAGGGGAGGTTATAGAGATGAGTGGAGACGTTAAGTTTTCGAGTGACGCTTATGTGTCTGAACCCGAGACGTACTCTGAGGAGGTTTCTAAGGTGGAGAGGTTCATCCCCTCGGATTTTTTCGGGTTCTATTTGTACGTCACGGGGTTTCAGATTGTGCATGGGAACCCACCTATTTCGTTTCACACGTTTTTGATGATGCACAATACGAATCGGACACTGTTGTTGCTCAAGAAATACATTTATAATCTTCTGAGGACGGGTATAGTTAACTTCAGTTTCACCAGTCAAGATTCATAGTATTTTAGCTCTATGTATTTAGTTTGTCCAGTTTTCGATACTTTTGCGCAATACCGGGTGTCAACGAATATATTAGACACGTCATAACTTCTAGACTCTAGACCATTAGGTGTATCAAAATGAGATTTGGTATTGGTGAATGGTATGTGAAGAGGAGAGTTTTCACATATTTTCCACTTTCCGGTCACTTCTGGTTTCACCGGAAATGGCTCCGGTTTTGAATCTTTAAATGGAACACTCTGTATATTGTAACATTTTTGGATTTCTGAGACGTATACGTATAATACAGTGGCGTATTGAATTTCTTTCTGTAATCGTTCATTTTTAGAAAATGGCGCCAAAATAATTTATTTTTTCAAATGAAATAAACTATCATATATTTTTGATGCGCAAGAAGAAATCTGAATCGAACTGGATAGAAATATACAGGATGTCCCATTTGAAACAAAAATATTTTGGCTTTATTTTCTGAAAATGAGCTTTTACAGAAATAAAAAGAGTACACCACTGTCTTGTACGCACAAAGTTATATTAGGCTCCGTTCCCATCCTGCCGATAAGTTGAAAACTGACCAAGATACGGGAGGTGCTCAAATAGTGATAATTTTATAGTTCGCCCTGTATCTCAAAAACATGAAGGACTGTGAAAATTTCGATTGCGGCATTGTTCGTTTCACAAAATCATCGAAAACTAGACACACTGTACAATATGGTACAGGGTGTCTCCTAATATTTTGACTCATACAACTTCAACTATAGGCGTTGAAATTTAAAGAAAGTTCAAGTGTTTTAAAAATGAAACACCCTTTATATTCTCAACTCTAGTAGAAGATATTTCTCTCCTGTTCCAAATATACAGTGTGTCCCGCTTTTCATGAATACACCCTGATATCTCAGTTATTAATAGTGCCATTCTCTTGAAATTTTTGTAGTGATTGTATGTTAGAATGAGGAAGTATTTAGCAGAATGAACAGTTTCATTCACCATTGGCGTGCAATGTTGAGGGGTGCCAAAAAGGCCTTTATTTGGGAAAAGGATTTTAGGACTCATTATGAATAACTTTTTTCATCAGATTCATATTCAGCATCCCCAAAAACCCCTCAAATCATATTTCCAAGATTCCAAGTGCTCAAATAAAATATTTCAAAATACCGCTTTTCATGACAACACCCTTAAATCTTTGTTATCAACGATGCGATTTTCTTGAATTTTTTATGTTGATTGTATGTTGAAAAATTAATATTTAATTACCATCACAGTTTTGAGAAAATCGCATCATTAATGACTGAGATTTTGGGGCGTAGTCATGAAAAGCGAGATTTTGGATTTTTCTTGAGATTTTGAAAATATGAATTGTGGGGTTTTTGGGGATGCTGATTCTGAATCTGATAAAAACAGTTATTCAAAATAAGCCCAAATATCCTTTTTCCGAATAATGGCCTTTTTTGTACCCTTCAACATTGCACGCCAATGGTGAATGAAACTGTTCACTCTGCTATATACTTCATTGTTCTAAAATACAATCACCACTAAAATTTCAAGAGCATAGCATCATTAATAACTGAGATATCAGGGTGTATTCATGAAAAGCGGGACACACTGTATATATTTTGCAAATACAACATGTTATCTTGAGCTGTTTCACACTTATTTATTAGCTCACAATATTGAATCATAGTTACCATTGAAATTCAGATTGCCATGGAGACTATGAAATGCCATAGAAACCAGATAATAAAACAAATACATGGCATTATGAGATGTCAAGGAAAACAATCTACCTAATTATTTTAATGGCATTCCATAGTGTACATGGCAACCAGAATTTCATCGATAATTCAATGTACAGGGTGGGTCACTGTCGATGGTACCTTAAACTTTAACGGAGAATGGGACATAGGATCATTCTGAAAATTTTGTTACTCAAGTATGGTTGCTCTTGATCAATCGATCTAAAATATTTTCAGCAATGCAGCGTCTTGGCTTATTATACCAGAAAGTAGTAGCAACTTTGACATTTCAAATGGAACACCCTGTATTTCATTGCATTTCAAGATTCTGCCTGAAGAGCTGATTTCATCGATGTATCACACTTGGGAACTAGCAGGAATGATTACAGGGATATAGGAAGTTCAAAATCGAGATTTTTTAAATTTAGGGTTTCTTTTGTGTGGAAACTATTCATTGTCTCAATTTTTGGTTTTCTAACATTTATTTGGAACAGATACAGGATGATCAGAACTCTGAATCTTGAACCATCCTGTATGTTCCAATTAAATGTGAGTAGATAGAAAATAAGTTAAGACAGAGACATGAATGCCGTTTTGACCGATAAATAGTTTCGACACAAAAAAATCCCAATTTTGAAAGCTATATAGGGTGTTCAAAATAGGGATTTTTTGTAATAATTCCCGATAGACCCCAAGTGTGAAACATTGATGAAATTTCAGAGAAAATTTAAAAATGCAATGAAATACAGGTTGTTCTATTTGAAATATCAAAGTTGTCACCACTTTTGGGATCAGGCGGAAACGCTGCATTGCTGAAAATACTCCAGTAATATTGTCAGAAAGATCATATTATGTCCCGTTCCCCATAAACGCCTAAGGTATAATATCATCGACCGTGACCCAACCTGTATAGTAAGCTAAATAGGTGGAAAACAGTTTGAGAGAACAAAAGGACTGAAGTTGAAAACAAACAAGTTTCATTAAAAAAAAAAACTGTTCCTTTTAAGTCTACCCATCATTGAACTTTCTTATTTGAAGTTTTTTTCCACCACATACAGTTAGAAACCAAAATATAAGTAGACACCCAGTAACATACCAATTGTTTAGTAATTAATATGTTCAATTGAATTTTGGAATGATATATCTTTTGAGCACTTTTTGAGAACTTATTGAAGTTGGGAGACTTTCAAGTTCTTAGACCTTTTTTATCAAAGCTTTAATTTGGAATGGCTGCTGTTCAAATGAAAACTTTGGTCTATTGGACCAGCAGTTAATCTTGTAGTACCCATATTATGTAAGTTGCTAATAAATCCAGAATTCATAGATCTTCAATGCAAGAACTAAACATGAAGAATATAATCACTCATACGCTTATTTTTAAATACTGACTAAAGATGAAAGTACTATTAACTATACCTATTCATTAAAAAATGAATAGCACTAAAAGATTAGCAATGGTATACCTATTCATTGCCTTAGTTGATGTTTATATTAGGTTAATGTTAATGTGTAGTCATAGGTTCTTTGGTTCTTGAAATATTCAATAAAGTGAATATTCAAGAGCCTATATAATTAATTACTGAGTAATTGATTCATCATTATATGTTTTTGTATATCAACTTTTTTTGGAATAGGCAAATCAATTCATACTAGGTAGTTTACATTTTATTTTATCATCCATTGAATACAGGGTGTTCTGGTATTTTGGAACAACCTTATTTATTTTCACCACTGAACTAGTTGGAGAGTGAATTCAAAGTATAATAAAGACTTTTGTACATGCATAATACTATGTCATAAATATTGTGAATGATAATCAATTATCAAGTGATTTCTACTTGATTTTTGTGTACTTAACAAACATATAATTTATTTATAGATGCTTGTACCTATACCTTTTGTAACATTTTGTATTTTTTCTATAAATAAAATAATAGTTATGTCAAGTTTTCATATTGTTGTAACCAGTAAGTTGTTCTGTGTATTGAATACATACATCATTATTTCTCCTCTACTGAGTGATCCTTTTTTCAGCTTCATCATACAGATATTGGTGTGCTTCATCATAGTAAGGATTGCATTCTTGTCTAACATTCTCAATCCATACTTTGATTTTTGGAAAATCTCTTCTTGGGTCATACCCAGCAAACCCTTAAAAAAATCATTCAGAAATATTCTCAAATACATTGAGGTAGGTAATTACTTGGTTGTTCTATTTCACAGGCAGCCTGTAGATCGGAGAAAGATATTTCATTTCCATGAATAAATGGCATGTCAGAAAGAAATAGCCTTTCAAAATCCTTCAAGGACCTCAGCATGTTCTTTTTATGCCTAGCTGACTCTTCTGCTGAAGGTTCTTTTCCAGTACGTAATGGAATTATCCACTGAAATAAAAATATTTCTGAACAAAAATTGTGATGTTGAATGGCTGAAGAATCTTTATCTTCAGCACTGCATAGAGATATGGAAGATATTTGAGGTGAAGAGTTATTGTTTTCTGCTTCTTTTTATACAAAGAAATATGGGAAATCTCACTTGGTTCCTGAAAAAATCAAGACAAGTCTGCCTTATATTTGAATGATGCCATTCTAAATATTCATCAACTAGTGCTTGCTTTTGACTATTTTTGGGGTACCAGTGGTCCTCAATGGGAAATTCTCTAGCAATGTACCTCAATATGCCAACACTGAAATAAAATGAATTCAAGTACATCTGTAAAACCGAATTTCATTATAAAATATTCACCTTTCTGTTAATCTGAAATCATCATGATGGATGACAGGCAACTTCTTGAATTTGGAACATTCTTGTTCATATTTTTTGGACAAATGTTCTCCTGAAAATTCAATGGATCAATGGATAGAAAGATAGTTGCTTCAACTACAAACCTTTCAATAAGCTCACTGCACAAGCCTCAAATGGCGTTTTGGTAACTTTAAGAAAAATATACAATGCTCTGCCAGGCTGTGAGAGCATATCCAAATACAATTTCAACACCATTTTGCAAAAATTTTGTGATATAACCACAGTTTAGAGCTTCATTTCCATTATTTGTCTCTGGGGTCAGAGTAAACAAAGATAAACTAATCTATGAAATAAAATAATGGAAATCATAATTTTTCAAATTTAAATTTAACCTTAATCATAGGAGTGGCTACTGCACCAACCAGCCAACGAGCTGATAACAGCTGATGAATATTTTTTGGTATTTGGTTAGTGGTTAGATTATATTGAATAAATAAGAGGTAAACAAATTTTTTTTATAAAAAGCTTCGATTTAAACGCTCTAAAAAGAAGAAAATGAAATTTTTCTTAATAATTTTAACTATCAACTTATAACCCCAACCCCAACTTATAACCCCATGTAAAATCTGCTGAGATGAAATTTTTAAAATTACAATTTAATTAAATAATGATCATCGCTATAAGCTTTTATGATCATATAAATTGTGTATAATGAGGTTATAAGTTGATAGTTAAAACTATTAAGAAAAATTTCATTTTCTTCTTTTCAGAGCGTTTAAATAAGAGCTTTTTATTAAACAGTTTTTTTTACTTTCAATTTATTTTTTAATTATTAGTTATCGCTAGCTGAATTTTTTGATTTACTCTCAACCAGCCTTTTCATTTGATACCCATATTGTAGAAGTATATTGAAAATGACCATTCCGCCATCTTGGATGGTCCGCCATAATGGATTTAGAATGACGTCACATCATTTTTTAGTTTCTCTCAACGAGCCCTTTCATTTGATACCCATATATTGTAGAAGTAGATTAAAAATGACCATTCCGCCATCTTGGATGGTCCGCCATATTCGATTTAGAATGACGTCACATCACTTTTCGAGTTACTATCAACGAGCCCTCTCATTTGATACCCATATTGTGAAAGTATATAAAAAATAACTATTCCGCCATCTTGGATAGCCGCCATATTGGATTTAGAATAACCTCACACCTTATCGTGCATTGTCATCCAAACTGAACGTGTATACAAAATTTCAGCTCAATCGGTTGAAGATTTCTACTTCAAAATTGAGTTCAAAGATTCCACCCGAACATACATACATACATACATACAAACATACAATGCAAGTTAAATAAAAGCTTCAAAAAAAAAGAAATTACACCATATACCTACTTATTTGCCATTTCCTAGATGTATGTCTGTGAGCATATTTCACTGAACAACCCTTTTTTAAAAAAGTCACTGCCAAATATTGAAAAATATATTTTTAGGTCCATAAACAATCATCCCTGAGTAGATATAAAACATTTGTATTCCTTTAAACCATTTAAACCAAGGCTATTTATAGCAGAGCATAGTAGGTATGGTAGGTGTACCTAAAGTACCTATAATAGTAAATACTTTCACATAATACCAATATTATTTGATTTATAGCTTGGCCTTAGTGCTTTTTCCACTGCTTTCAGCCAACATATTGAGCATCTCATGAGCTTCATCATAATATGGATTGCATTCTTTTCTAACCAATTCAATCCAGGTTTTAATTTTTGGGTAGTGAACCATAGGATTAAAGCCAGCAAGTCCTAATGAAGACAATCATGAAATCATTTTTGCATTTGGGTAAATAATCAATATTTGATTATGTCAACTAACTTGGTTGTTCTATTTCACAGGCAGCTTGTATATCAGCATAGGATATTTCTTTTCCCATTAGGAATGGTCCATCATCAGACAAAAATAACTCTTCAAATGTGGACAGTGACTTCAACATGTATTTTTTGCTACTATCATATTTCTCTTGAGAAGGTTGTTTACCTGTTCTCATAGGATTCATCCACTAAAATAAAGAGGAATAATTTGTTGAAAACAAAATTAGTAATAAGTGCTCACAGTTGTAATAAGGAATGTGGAACAATTCAACCTGATGTTGAGATGTTGCCATTCCAAATATTCATCAACTTTGGCCTGTTTTTTACTGTCTTTAGGATACCAGTGATCTTCAATAGGATATTCTCTTGTAATATACCTCATAATCCCAATGCTTCAGTTCAGGAATTTAAGATAAGGAATACATGGAATAATTTTCTGGTGAAATAGTATATTATGTAAACATAAATAAATACATTACCTTTCTATCAATTTGAAATCTCCATCATGAATGAATGGCACTTTCTGAAACTTTGAATATTTTTGTTTGAATTCTTCAGTTCTGTGTTCACCTGCAACCAAAATTTATTCTAACATAAAAATGGTAATATAATGAATATAATAATCATTAAAGACCTTAATTTATCATTAGTGATTATGTTCAATAGATCTTCAGGACTTACCTTCCATAAGGGACACAGGACACTGTTGGAAAGGTACTCCATTTAATTTCAAGAAAATATATAATGCTCTTGAAGGCTGAGAAAGAAGATCATAATAAAGTTTCAGAACCATGATTGAAACAGTACAACCTGTATACCATATCAACACACACAAGACGTGACGAGGACTTTAGATTTCCTGTATGATCTGAGGACGAGGACGACTGGACGTGACGCTAATTGGCTAATGGTTAGATTCTTGTTCTTCTCATTTATTCATTGTCCTCTTGTCCAGTAATGACACCCAGTCACGTTGTGTTTCTAAATTCTCCTTATTTACATTTCTTGACCTCTTATTATCCAGAGTTGTACACAGCCATTTCTACTTGTCTTCTTCTGATTCTCTTCCTGGCCTCTTGTCATTAATGATGGAAATAAGCATATAATATCTACTATTTCGAAATAAATAACTCATTAGATACCCACTCAATTTGCAAATAATGAAAATCCCGTCTGAGTTTAAGATGCTAGAACTTTTAGACTTAGAAACGAGAAACTAGAACCAAAGAATAGTAGGTTAGTCATGCTAGAACACTAGGAGGACGAAGAACGAAGAAGAAATAATGGGGTTAGTAATTTCATCTCCAAAGATTCCGCGTTCTTGTCATGTTTCATGTTTTTGTAACATAAATAAATAAATAAAAATACATGAACTTGAGATAAGAATCTCTGATTTTTGTTCTTAATGTTTCATGTAGCTGTTATGTCATAAGCAAACATACAAAAAAAGAAAATAATACTTGGTTTCTCCTTCTACAAGATGTTGGCGAAAACGGGGTTATTGATAATTTCCAATCCTAAGCAAATAGCCAAAATACTGTCTACTATAGAAAGTCAAGTGAAAAATACCCTTTACATTCAATTGTTGTCTGCACTGAGTGATCCATTCGGAAGCTTCTACCCCAAATCATTCACCAGCTGGCCAAAATATAGTCAAACCATATCAAAAATCTATTCACAAGTAAGAAATGTAGTAGGTACAGAAAGTGTTATAAGTGATAACTTTTTCTTCCAGGCAGCACACCACTGCAACAATTTGGACGTCAAAGTACTGCTTTCAGGAATCAAGTACAATATCCCAAAAATTCAAACCCAAAGACCAATAGATTTGATTATATTTGACAAGCCATACTCATCAAATGAAATAAAGACCTTCATCAAATCTAGAATACAAAATATCACTGATGATCACAAAATTGTTACTTTGGACTCTACAGAAATCTCTACCATTGAGGAAGAAACAAATGATCATGTTGAAGTTTTCAAACATACAGTTCTTGGGGGTACATTTGATAGATTGCATTTGGCTCATAAACTTCTTCTAAGTGAAGCTTCTTTGCGTGCCAGCAATAAAGTCACTGTAAGTAAGTACACATTCCAAATAATTCATTAGAAATAATTTTGTTCTGTGCTATATTTCTAATTTTTCAATAGATAGGGGTGACAGAGGAAAATATGCTACAATCAAAAACCTTATGGGAGCTCATAGAACCCATTGCAACCAGATTACTAAATGTTGAAAATTTTCTGAAGGACATTTGTCCAGAGCTTGAATACAACATTGTCCCAATTAATGATCCCTTTGGACCAGCAATCACAGATCCCTCCATGGAAATGATTGTTGTCAGTCAAGAAACTATTAGGGGTGGAGAAAAAATCAATGCCAGTATGTTTCATCCACTTTCTATTTGTTATGTTTGATTTGATGGATGAAGAATATTTGTTTTAGTTAGACAAGAAAATGGTTTGAATGAATTGAAAATAGTAGCAATTGAATTGGTGGATGAACCCAATCCAAATCCAATAGAAGAAGTGAAAATTAGCTCTAGTACAGCACGTATCAGATTGTTAGGGACACTATTGAAACCTGTCAAACCAAATGAAAATATTCCACACCTGCCTTATGTCATAGGATTAACAGGTGAGAATGATTAATCAAGCTTATTGCTTTTCATGATCATGTTTATTTTTTTACATAAAAGGTGGTATAGCAAGTGGGAAATCGGGAGTTTCAGAGCATTTGAAAAACCTAGGGGCTCATATCATCAACTGTGATTTACTAGGACATGAGATATACAAACCAGGAAAACCTTGTCATCAACAGATAGTGGACACATTTGGTGATAAAGTTGTTTCTAATAATGGGGAAATCAATAGGCAGGCCTTGGGTGGTATAGTATTCAATAATCCAGTAAGGAACTTGAACTTGAAAAATTGAAATATGAAGAATTGAGTTATTTTTTTCAGGGAGAAATGAAGAAATTAAATAATTTGGTATGGCCAGCTATAGCAGAGGAAGTGCAAAAAATAATAAAGACCTGTACCAAAAAAGTTGTTGTCATTGAAGCAGCTGTATTATTGACAGCTGGATGGGAAAATCAGTGTCATGAGGTAAAGAAAAATTATCCTCCATATTTTCTTTATGATCCCTAAACAAAATTTTCATTTCAAACTATCATCTATGATCTATGATAGAACAACTTTGCATACTATATACTATCCCATGAGGAAGTGTATTTATTTTTGTCTCATTACATAATATAGTGATTTTCACTCCACAAAAAAAATCGAGCCAGCCCTGGAAATGCAAGTGTGAAAAAACAGTCCTACTTTTCTGATGAGAAGTTTGCTTTCACTTTCAGTCATATTAAAATTTAACCTTAACAAATAATGTTCAACCAACCCAGGAGGAAAATTTCAAATACATTACTTTTGTTTCCCATATCAAAAATTCCATCTCAGACAGAGTATTCAAAAACCCAAAGTGAACTTATTCAAGACTGGTCCTGGATATTTTCAACTATTGGAATACTTATCACTTTCCTAAAGATGAGAGTTGATTGATAATAGTATTGTGTTCATTGAAGAAAATGAAACAAATCAGAGCACCTTTTGGATGACAAAGAAATGTTTGTCAAAATCCAAAAATCATCCTATTCCAATAGAAAATAAGCATAGCCCATCTATCGGAGTTCGTGAAAGTTGTCAAAGCAGCTTGTTCACTTTGTTTTCATTGGTTCACATTCGTTTTTTGTTTGTGTTTATTGGTCACATCATCAAAACAAACCCCTTAGAAATGTTCAAAATGTTGCCGTCAGGTGGGGCGATGTGTTATTTTCTATCTGGAATAAGTTATTAAATCACTGAATAAAACCTCAAATTATCTTCAATGAAGTAATTGCCAGGTTAGGTCTTTGCGTCTTTGTCTTCTCATTTCAGAGGTTACATTCACTTCAATTTATAGGCACTTTTCACAGAACAACAGTTATATAAATGAGAAGAATGCATTTAACAGCATTTTTATGGATATACTTTTAGCTAGTTCCATATTGAAAACGCCATTCAATGATATATTATTATATAAGTGAATTTCAATGTATGTACCTCACAAATTTTGCTTGTCTTCAAATTAATTTTCCATTCAGGCCTTTTCATACATTCCTTCCATAAGATAATGGTTGATATTTCCTTTGAAAAATTAAATTCTCAATAGTTCATGGAATCATATTTCAATTCTGACGTTCATAAAATGTATTGTCAAATAGGCCTTTTCATCTAGATATATTTTTAAGACGCATGCGCTCGTTTTTAGATCCAACACAAAATGCTGATTGGTCATTTCGAATATGGCGGGTATTATTGACGTTCTGTCAAATGCCAACCGCCATGGGCATTCGTCATTGAGAAACAACAATAACAACATAGAATTTTTGTTTTTATATTCCTGGTGTGTATTAATTGTTTTATGGTAATTTAATCTCAAGAAACGTTACTTATTGGTTACTGAGGCGTGTGGTACTGTAGAGTAAGTGTTTCGGTGAAAATGGCCGCCACCGTCGTTGGATGCGAGATGTAAACAGAGATAGTCATTTGTCATCTAAATGAAAAGGCCTATTCAAACAATTTTGAATGAGAAAGCAGCGCGGGACGACCATGGCTATATATTCCAAATTCAACTGGTCAGTACTGTCAATAAATCCACTGACTCTGCTGAAACTCTGTATTCCGAAATATAAAATCAAAAATATTGTACTGTAATTCGGAACACCTTATCATGGTTTTCATCAGTATCTGTAGCAGTTGATCAGCTGATGAAATTGAAATTTGAATCATCATCCTCAGCGTCAATTATTTTGATAGAAGCATTTTCTGATATTCAATATGATATTATTGATAAGACAAGACGAAAAGTTTGAGAAAATGGAAATAAATGTTACATTCCTTCCTCCTCTAAAATAATGACAGTTCACTGAAGACACACTACCTCTCGATAGTCAGCAGTTTCAGCAGAATGTTGAGTCGAATTATTTTGAATGAATAGTTATATCTGCTCACAAGTATCTGTCACTTTCAGTGATTTTTTTGATTTCAATGAAAAATCAGCAGATTCAGTACTGTCAGTTGAATTCGGAATATAGCCTGAGTTGCTCTTGTCACAATGTAAGGTGTGTAACTTGATAAATCAAAACATTCCAAAACACTGACAGTTGTCATTTCTGTGTCCAAACTCTTACTAATTAAATACCATCCAGATGTTGGATAAGGAAATTTGGCTAAAAAAAAAGATGAATGTGGTGACCACCAAGATTTTTTTGAACAGATATGGACCACAGTTATACCTAGAAATGAGGCAGTGATCAGATTACAGAGAAGGAATGGGCTGACAGAGGAGCAGGCCAATAGCAGGATTGAATCTCTGCCTTCTAATAAATTTTATGTCGATTCTGCCAATGTAGTATTTTGTACATTGTGGCCGGTGGAGTATACCAAGGAGCAGGTAGTCAAGGCGTGGGGCTTATTGGAAAAAAGAATGACTTTGTGATAGCAGGGGAAATTGTTGGATATTTAATAAATGTGGAAAATATATTTTTGGGAAGTTCAGGTTGCTATTATTCAAAACTCAACTAACAAACAAGGATCATTTGGAATTAATAAGGAAGTTTCCCTCCAAGGAATGGAGGCTAACAATGCTAACATTTTCAATCGCAACCAGTTGGCGCTACTAAAACATGAAATCAATGTCAAAATTCCCAAAACTTTGCCGGATCTAGTCTGTTTTATCGAGAATATTCTAAAAAAAAATATGTTGAATATTTGAACATATAAAAAAACCTCAAACTATGGAAATTTTTTCACCAATTCTTACTTCGACGGAGAAGAAGGAGCCAAATGATAGGAAAATAAAAAGAACATTTATCAGTTCTACCAACTCTGGCCTCACATTTCAGTGGCGCGATGTGCTGGACAAAAAATGATGTTGGCCTTATTATAGAAATTATACTACCTAGCTAGGTCTAGTGACATTTCTCTATGATAAGTTTCTCGACTAATTTCCTTCACGCCTATGTACCCGAAAATACGAATAATAACTAATAAGAAGAAAGATGTCAGTATGGTCTAACCTGAATTTTTTGGAGAAATCAAAATATCTCTTCAACCTTTCAACAAAAATGCAAATCAGTATGTATGAATGTATGTATAATTTTATAATCGTCAAATATTATGTTATTTTAATATCTATATTTTGTCAATAATTCCCATATTCGGTATCTTATTTTGAGAAATAATCCAATTTTCACCCATACTATTGGTTGAATATGTTATTCAGGTATCAGGTATCATTGCTATTGCTAACTATGATAGAGCGAAATTTCCCCAATCATTAGATTAAACAAGAAGTCTTGTAACACTGTACTGGCGTAAAACGGCTGGCATTTTCAGGCTTTTTTTGAGTAATAATGAGTCATGGAAATGGTGGAGGAGCGGAATAAACTATTATATCCACGATTTTTTTATGAACCCAAATTGATGGAACGAAAAAATAAACAATATATGTTCAATGAATTCTTATAAACTATACAGTGGAACTATTGGAACGAAAATTTGAATGTTGGCAATTTGCTCTAGTCTAGTTCCCTTTTATTAGAATGACAGTTGTTGTCTTTAGAGAAAGGGATATATATTTTTATTTATAAATAACTCAGTTGCTCATAGGGTGAGATTCAAAATATGAATTTAAAAAGCAACATTTTTATTCAAACATATAAGTAGGTAACAAAAATTACAATTTATAATGGATTCTAATTCTACAGTATCATACATACATATAACACAGCATAATATAAGCCCATTCCCAGGCATTATAGATATCACAACTTATGTCTAAATATTATGTAGGTAAAATATTGAACATATTGTATATTTTTCAAGGTAATAAGATTATGAATTCTAAATCAGCTGGACTCAAATTCACAAATTGTAATCTTGATGCCATTTGGTGAGGTGGAGCATTACCAAAGAAACATGTATACAACTGTAAGAGACGCATTGAAAAAATGTGTCACTTATTTTGTTTACCCAATACCATTATTTGTGTCTGATTTTCGAATATTGCCTCTGATATGTATACTTGAAATTTTATATAAAAATAACACTTTCTGTTGTTCATCAAAGGAATATTTGGAAAAGGGATGAATATAGAATATTATGGGGTACTCATAAATAGTAAAAAAATAAAGGGACTTTAAAATCATTTGTCACACCACAGCATTAAAAATGCATGATTTTGTTTTCAGGAAAAATATCTTCAGGAAGATAATAAATTTTGTAAAATATTGGTGCTATAACATACATAATAATAGAGGATATGAAAAAGGTGAATTTCTGTGATTCCCCTAGCATAATGATGGATTACTACTTGACAAAGTCACAAAAAAGCCATTTTTCCTCGAACTTAACCACACAATCTCTGACGCAGGAATCCGTTTTGCCCAAACATATGTATAGGGTGGTATAGGAGACCAATTGGAGCGATTTTGGCAATGGCGGTAAATTCAAATCACTGTTATTGACGGTAAATTCGAATCACAAATGTTTTCACATCATAGTTGATAAAAGCCAATCCCCTTAATTGACGCAGAATCAAGTCTACAGAAAATTTCCGGACGAGAGCTTCGCTCTGGGAAGAAGGAAAATATCCCTTCTGTGTAAAGCTACTTTTTTTAAATATTTTACTACTAAAACCAAACAAAAACAGCTGATAAACTGACATCTGTAAAGTTTCACAAGAAAACCGTGACGTCATAATAAAGTTATCGTGACGTCATCATAGAGTTAACTTGATTTGTCTGGTTAGGTTCCAGGAAGAATAAGTGAAGTGCATCCAACAATAATTCTCTAAAATCATGAATTTTCAATGAACAGTTCAAAATTTAATATCTGTCAATACTCAGCATCTGAATATCAATGTGTGTCAATTATGCCCAGGACAAAATAGTGCCAAAGAAACCATTAGGCAATCCAATGATCAGTCAGGCCTTATGGGCGTGTTTTTCATTCCATGGAAGAAAGTGCCCACTGATAGATGCACTTTTTTGTCGTGACGTCACCAATTGTACTGATGGAATTTTTGCTGGAACGATGGAACAATGGAATATACAACACTTTGATGAAAAAACGGATTTCGTTGTGTGTCAGTCTGTCATGTAGCTTCAGAATAAGCAGAGGCTGATACGATTTTATATAGATTTTATTGATTGGCAATAACTACATCTTCTAAAATCTCTCAGGAATCTCGAAAGTCCTCAATATTTTTTGTTTTCAATCAAATCCAAAGGAAGAACAATACTGAATGTGTCACGTGGTGACTCCCGAACCGCTGGGTTGTGGCAAAGGGATTTGAAAGTGCATATTTTCTTACAACAGTTTGAAGGATTTCCATCAACATTCCAGGGGAATTTTGCAACAGTTCCATGGTTTCTTGTGAGGTTTCTTAGATTCATACACATGTTGGCACACAATGAAATTATTGACAGTTATTGAAATGTTTTTATATGCGAAATTCTGTTGGTACCAGAAGTGAAGTCACAAAAAATCAATATAATTGCTCTAGTCACATTATTAATATATTATTAACAATTTTATTCATGGTGCCAACCAGGTGATTCTAATTTCTAACCCAATTGGATTGCCTAATAGCACTAGAACAGAAGGTCAGAAGAAAGCTAGCTGCACCGTTTCATCCTGCATCCAATGAAACTATTTCAAATCACTTACCAACAGAACAAACCCAGCTCCCATCCTACAAATTCCAATACTGCATCACCCGCTCCCCTTTCCCTATAGAAGCCCCCACAGGCTTCTCGAATTGCAGCACTATGAGCTTGCTGAACTTCTTCACCTCCTTGTCGAAAATATCATCCCCAGTATTTTCCAAAATCTGCCCCAAGTCCCACTCGACGCTGGGCAGCGGGGTGTTTATGAACCTGGCCGCAACGGCCACGGAAGGGATCACGTGGTTCTGGAGCGTTTGCAGCTCCCACAGGGAGCTGATGATGGCGTTGGACTTGAGGGGGTCGCGCTCCTCCATGATGTAGGGATCCGTGCTGGCGGCAGCGCAGCCCGGGTTGTTCAGAAGGCATTTTAGGCCGGGGTGTCTGTGGATTCATGTTGTTTACAAGCGTCTAGCTAGCGACCAGCGAATCTTTCAAACATCGAGGTCAAGTGACGTCACCCACAACCATATATCTACTACTCATATATGAAGCATAGTTGTCCTCAAAGCGGGACCAACTTCTGTCTCTATAAGTAACGAAATCGACCAATAGGCGTTGATGCCGACGTAATACGAAACTTGTCAAACCAATATGGCTGTTTCCATCCTTCACTTTCCGTCCTTATAGATTAAAAAAGTACCTCTCATTTTGGTCCCATTTTTGTTGATATATCGTATAGGCGATGCGACATATATGGAAATAGTAGATATATGCCCACAACACATATATCTTCCTTCTTTATATTGAGAAGCTATGACTACAAGGAGTAAAACGATAGCTTAGTGGTCTGTGTATCTGATTTCCACGGTGGTGACTGAGGTTCAATCCCTGCGAGGCGTCAATTTTTTTTTATTCACTCAATTGATAGAGTGGACCACAAGATACTTTTAGAGAAACTTCACTCCCTTGGCTTTGCGGATAATATTGTGAAATGGCTGCGCAGCTTCCTCACTGGCCGCTCTCAAAGAGTTAAAATCAACAATTATATATCTAACGAAATTATGGTTACTTCGGGTGTCCCTCAGGGCTCTCACTGTGGACCTTTACTCTTCAATTTATTCATAAATGATATCTCTGATGTAATCAAAAGTGCAAACTTTTTATTATTTGCTGATGACTTGAAGTTGTTTCTCGTTGTTGATGATATCCTAGACAGTCAAACTCTTCAAAACGACCTTGATAACCTTCATTTATGGTGCGTTCAAAACAGTCTTGCTTTAAATACTGATAAATGTTTTACAATATCGTTCTCCCGCTCATTTAATGCTTCCTCATATAACTACAATATTAACAATACGATCCTTGAAAAAGTAACTGAAATTAAAGATCTTGGAATCATCTTTGATGAGCGTCTCACCTTCAAGAGTCAACTACTGAAAGTATCAGCATCTGCCAATAAAATGGTAGGTTTTCTAATGCGTAATACAAAACATTTTTCTTGTAACACAGTTAATACTTTATACTGCTCTCTTGTACGTTCCTTATTAGACTATGGTTGCATAATCTGGTCGCCACATTATAACTGTGATATCACACTAATTGAACAAGTCCAAATGAGATTTGCCAAGCACATTTCTTATAAAATGGGAACTTACAACAATTTCAATTATACAGATACTCTCAATGCCCTCAACTTAACCAACCTATCTATCAGACGCTTTCGGCTCGATAGTATCACCATGTTCAAGATTATCTCAGGTGTGATTGATTGTTGCGATCTTCTCAATATGATAAACTTCAATGTTCCATCATATTTCACTAGAAACACTGATCTTTTTACTATAAAAACTCATAGAACTAATTATGGGTTCTTCAGCCCATTATCACGTATTTTGCGTAATTTCAACATATTAAACATTGATCCATTTGTCCATTCCTTAACTGATTTTAAAAATAAAATTTGTATAGTTGATCCTGGCTCGATCCACAATTAATCTATACTTTAGTGTTAATTTCTAAAGGTTGGTTAATACAGGAATTTTGTTTTGTATCCTTCAAACCAAACCATATAGTTCAAATTTGAAATTTCAATCAATATCAATGCTATATTATTGTTCTTATGCCATCTTGTCAATCTGTAATAATTAACTATTGTAATGGTGAATCCGTTTATTAAATAAATAAATAAATTAAATAAATAAATAAATAAATTTTTCAAAAATATACTTTTCAGTAAAAAGCATCTTTCAGGAGTTAGATTGGAAGTACTTTCCTTTTTCATGCAGAAGATATATTTTCCTAGGGTCCCTTGATGTGAATTGATGTATTTGTCATCTTAACAGGGTACGGACAGATCCTCGTCTCCTCTCACTCTAAAGTGTTTGTGAAACAGTTATATAATTCCATCTTTATTCAATTCTGGGGATAAACACTACATTTCTGTCATTTGTTGTTTTTTTAGGTTATATTGAGGACATTGGCGTAACACACGCAATTTCCACATGGCATTCCTGATTCAACTCTACATATTATATCCTGTTGATGATCAATAATTTTTGAGGTTTTGATTTTTCAACTCCAGCATAATTTTGGTGAGGCAGTAGCATAAATTTTTCTGGAAGTCAAATATGTTTTACCGTTTTACCAAATGGGACTGTTCTAATGGTGAAAACTCTGTAGGTATTCAATCTAATGTACTCATATGTCACGTATGCTGTATATTCATATATTCATGTTCGGTATATCATATTTGCAGTTTTTTTCGAAAATCTGTATTTTCTGAATGTAGGTATAATTTTTTAAATGGTAAGGCATAATATGCCGCAGCACATCTTACCATACTTCCAAAACTGAATTGAATAATGCCCTATTGAGATTGAGTACTAGTTAAAATTTAAAATTTTGCAAGATTTCTTTAAACGCCTATGGATGTGACGTGACAGCAATGTCATGTCAGGGACGCCAATACACAAAACAAAATAACTAGATCATTTAAAGAGAAAGGAGCTATGATCTGTCCTTTTTTTATCGCTTGGACGCTTTCTACGGTGTTCCAATGATGTCAAAGAGTGAGTGAGTGAGTGTGGCGTCACCCACCAGGCGGATGGCTCTTCTCTGGATGGAATCTAAGATGATCAGCGTATGTTTTGGTGCTGAACCCCATATGTGGGAACAGTATTCTAGGACAGGCCGTATCTGCGCTTTGTAGATTATGAGAAGCTGTTGAGGTGTAAAGTAGCTTTTCGCACGGAACAAGAATCCGAGTTTTTGTGAAGCAGCTTTTGCGATGGATCTGACATGATTATCCCATAAAAGAGTGTTGCTGATGGAAATACCGAGCATAGATATGGTGGGCTTGGTGTTATTCTGTTGAGATGACAAATTGACAAATACGTCAATTTACATCAAGGGACCGTATATTTTCCTTATATAAACACGAATAACCTTCTGATAACCTTGGTCGCCTGTTCTGTACATTGGTGGAATGGTTTGCAAAATTTGGTTGACACAACAGCATATAATATCTACTTTTTCTATATATGGCGCATCGCCTATATGAAAAAAAATGGGACCAAAATGAGAGGTACTTTTTGAATCTATAAGGATGGAGAGTGAAGGATGGAAACTGCTGACGTGAGGATCAGATTTAAGTTAGGTTAGGGTCCTAAATAATTATTTGATCATAATAAAATATTAAAAATCATCAATTAACAGTAATAAATGAAGGTCTTGTCCCTAACCATGTCTCATTTATGCAATCATTTTGCGGCGTTGCCACGTCAATCAGGATTATTTCAAAAAATTATGATACACAGAGGTTGATTCTAAAATGCATGTTGATTTTCATTTTGGAACATTTTCATCCAAGATTATGCATGAGTTTTGATAATACTTTGACAACCGCTTTTATGAAGTCTTAATTGATAGTTATATTATACTTTGTATGGTCTGGTAAGAGATGTATAGAAATTTAACGTCTGGTATATGAAAAATGTCAAAAGTATAATCAATATCAAATTAAATATAATATTTTATATAAAAAAGCTGCATACAAAGGGTCTTTCCAAAATTGGAGGGATAAATCAATCAATCAATCAACTTTATTATTCCCAAGAAACAACATTTGTTTATAGCAGGGAACATGGTGAATACATAAATATATTTGACCAAATAAAATAAAGAAGACAGTAAAATAAGACTCACACTCAAGAAGAATCTTTTTTTTTTCAAGTTCAACTGAAGATGATTCTCAATTGACTCAGCTGTTAGGTACCCAATAGAAAACTATAGTAGTTGTATAAGAAAACTATAAAAATGAGATGTCAATATTACTGGAGTAGATGTTTTGAATTCTTTTTTTTCAAACTGATGTTGTATAAAACACAAATCAAACACTATCACCAAACCACTATTTTTATAGAACATCCAACAACATTGCCAAACTCACTGATACTTCTGGTGCTTCTGAGCCTACCAAAAGCAAACACTAGGGATCTGCTATCAACCTCTGATGGATGATTTGAAAAAAAATAGAATTTCAAGCAAACTAAGTATGTATTTTGAGAATATATGAATTTTATGTTACTATTGGAACAAATACCACCCACACTGACAATATGGTGCAATAATTAGGTATGTGGGAGATCATATTTCCATAAATTTCGTATTTCTTCATAATTTGAGAAAAAAAAATTGAGATATTTGAATTTTCATAGTAACTCACCTCAAGATAAGATTCCCAATGAAATTACACAGAATGATGACATCTTCTGATGGTGCAACCAGAGCTAGTCTGGCCATCCTCTTGGCAAAGGCAGCCACCAGGGTCTCAGGCAAGTGAGTGGAACTCAGAAACAGATCAGACAAATGAAACAGCCTGGCTTTATACTTGGTGTGGAAAATTTCTGGCTCAAACATGGAATACAGCTTGGCAAACAGATTAGGGTAGTCCAAATTGTGCACTTGGATCATAGTGAAGATGCCTTGCAAGGCTAGCAGGCTCACTGCCCCTCCAACATCCAAAGAATCCATGAGGAAATCAGTGAGCAGTAGGGGTTTTTCAAGGTGACAGAGCACTTTTTCCAGGAGCACAATCAAAACTTGTTTGTGGGTGTCAGGAGTATGCTCCCAGTGCATAACACAGTGCCATATTTTGTTCAGGAATTTCTTGATGATGTTTTCATCAAATGTAAAGAAAGCTCCTGATACTGAAATAACTAGAATAATCAGGAATCAATGAATACATTTTCAGAACTTACCATTTCCACTGCCACATAAAAATTTAGTTTCTGCATTCTGATAAACATTCAATTTCTCTAGTAGAATAAGGTAATTCATGATATAAACTTCATTAGGGTTAGACTTGGCAGTCAAAGATGGTAATATTTTCCAGGTGAAAAACAGTACATCATCAAACAACAAATACTCTGTGTATTTGTTGATCAACTGCATATTATTTTGCTTATTTGACAGCAACTTCATCAGCACAGATTTTAGCTTCATCAGTGGCACATAGTTATCAAAGGAACCCTTTGATTCTAATGGGAATCTTCCTTCATGAGAAAGTATATTCATAGCTGTAGCTAGGCCTAAAAACACAGTGAACTCATTTACATGATCAATATAACAATGAGTTTGATCACATTACCTTGCATTTGCACTTTCTGTGAGCTATGTTCTAAACATTGCAAAATCTTAGTAAAGCATTCTTCATAGACATTTCTCAACCATGTTTTAAACTGGTTCTCCTCCGTCTTCTCCACAGGTTTCAACGGCACAATTTCTATGAACATATGCCTCTCCTTCAAAAGGCTGGTGAAAATCATTTCCAATGTTAGTAAACATGAAGGCAAATCTTCTCCAGCATCAAAGTGGTTGATGATATTCATCAAACTATCTGCATTTCTACGAGATGTAAGGAACTCGTGGGCTTTCGATCTCAGTTGCTTGGATATTTTCAAGGGTTTTTCTTGCTGGTGGGCCATTTTTATCCGAAATACGCAACTAAAAGTTGGCACAACAACCCCAGCCCAGTTTTGAAGTTAAATTAAAGAATGAGGTTAAATAAATTCTTCCTCTTCTTATAAATTGTTGATTTCTTCATTTTCTCCTGAATGAAGGAAATTAGTAGATTTCGTTTGCATCTGTCAACATTGTCAAAGTCAAACATGTTCTGTTCTGTGAGTTCTCCGTCAGAGAACTGCTTGTTTTGATTTTTTTATGAAAAATACCAAATATGGTGGAAAAATATTGAAATTGAGCAAGAAAATATGAAAATTAATGAAAAGAACTTATGTGCCTTTGCTGTTTCTGCCACTCCAGTTGATAAAGAAGGATACTTGAATAAACGAGGAGAAGTGAACAAGAATTTTCAGCGACGCTATTTTATATTGAAAGGAAACCTCCTATTTTATTTTGATAAAAAGGGTGAGAGAGAACCAGTAGGAGTGATAATACTTGAAGGATGTTCAATAGGTATCTAATCAATGATAATTCTAATCTTACTATTCTCATCACTAGTGTCCGTAATTTTCAGAACTTGCTGAAGATGAGGAACAATTCAGTTTCAAAATTGAATTCCATGGCATCAACAATAGGAGCTATGTACTTGGTGCAGAATCTCAAGAGTCTATGGAACAGTGGATGAAAGCTTTGGCTTGTGCTGGTTATGATTATATGAAACTTATGGTAGCAGAGCTACAAAGACAGTTGGATGATATTGAAGGTAATATTTGTATTCCAACTTTATTTATGTTTGAATCAAATTCAGACAATTCAGTTGAATGGGTAAAGGCTGAGTCAGGTTAACACTAGTATTTATTATGGTGGATTATTTGTTTCTTAACAGTTCCTTGTTGACAATTTGACATTTATTATCTTATCTAATAAATATGTGCTAATATAACTACTACCTGATGAGGTATGTTTTTATTGATACTGATAAAATAATAATCCTACTCATTATCAGTGTTCTATACTTTCAATGTAGAGCTTACTTGTGTTCCATCCACCTGAAGATGAACATTGAGATGGAATGTCAAATTGACAACTATGAAAGTGGAAACAGCAAATTTTATGTTGTTCTAGAGACTCCTTCAGCACTGACCACATCCCTACCATTGGGTTCTCCTGTACCCCCTCCTAGAACCAGGCACAATCCATTCAACAAGCCTGACATGAACCCCCATCAGAGGTCTCATAGTCTCAGGTCCAATTCTTCAAATTCAAGTAAGTTTCCAAAGGCTTTCTAAGAAATTGTACAGGTTTTTCCCACAGATGACTCTATTTTTGAGCGAAATTTTTCCAAAAATTAATGTTTTGGAAATTTCAGGTCACTTGGATGATAGCAGGTTTTCAGAGAATAAGCAAACTCCAGCTGCATCAAAGATTGTCATAACTTTCAGAGAGCTTCATAACACCTATGGCAGGCCTATTTTGAAGGATTTCAATTGTTGGAAGCATGAGCAGAAGGAAAAGCAGGAAAACAACACTGAGAATCTTATAAGTTTCTGAGGCCAGTCTGAGGTAAAATTATAGTTATACATAGTTATAAGAAATTTGTATATTTATTTGTATTTATTTCTAAAGCTTATATCTGTTTGCTGGTTGAATAAATGTAGAATTTTCACTAACAAAAAATTGAATAATGAATTACCAGATCTAGTAACATATCTCAGGTTAGGTTACCAGATCTGGTAACATATCTTAGGTTAGGTTACCAGATCTGGTAACATATCTCAGGTTAGGTTACTAAATCTAGTAACATATCTTAGGTTGGGTTACCAGATCTGGTAACTTATCCCAGGTTAGGTTACTAAATCTAGTAACATATCTTAGGTTAGGTTACCAGATCTGGTAACATATCTCAGGTTAGGTTACTAAATCTAGTAACATATCTTAGGTTAGGTTACCAGATCTGGTAACATATCTCAGGTTAGGTTACTAAATCTAGTAACATATCTTAGGTTAGGTTACCAGATCTGGTAACATATCTCAGGTTAGGTTACTAAATCTAGTAACATATCTTAGGTTAGGTTACCAGATCTGGTAACATATCTCAGGTTAGGTTACTAAATCTAGTAACATATCTTAGGTTAGGTTACCAGATCTGGTAACATATCTCAGGTTAGGTTACTAAATCTAGTAACATATCTTAGGTTAGGTTACCAGATCTGGTAACATATCTCAGGTTAGGTTACTAAATCTAGTAACATATCTTAGCTCAGGTTACCAGATCTGGTAACATATCTCAGGTTAGGTTACTAAATCTAGTAACATATCTTAGCTTAGGTTACCAGATCTGGTAACATATCCCAGGTTAGGTTACTAAATCTAGTAACATATCTTAGGTTAGGTTACCAGATCTGGTAACATATCTCAGGTTAGGTTACTAAATCTAGTAACATATCTCAGGTTAGGTTACCAGATCTGGTAACATATCTTAGGTTAGGTTACCAGATCTGGTAACATATCTCAGGTTAGGTTACTAAATCTAGTAACATATCTTAGGTTGGGTTACCAGATCTGGTAACTTATCCCAGGTTAGGTTACTAAATCTAGTAACATATCTTAGGTTAGGTTACCAGATCTGGTAACATATCTCAGGTTAGGTTACTAAATCTAGTAACATATCTTAGGTTAGGTTACCAGATCTGGTAACATATCTCAGGTTAGGTTACTAAATCTAGTAACATATCTTAGGTTAGGTTACCAGATCTGGTAACATATCTCAGGTTAGGTTACTAAATCTAGTAACATATCTTAGCTTAGGTTACCAGATCTGGTAACATATCCCAGGTTAGGTTACTAAATCTAGTAACATATCTTAGGTTAGGTTACCAGATCTGGAAACATATCTCAGGTTAGGTTACTAAATCTAGTAACATATCTTAGCTTAGGTTACCAGATCTGGTAACATATCCCAGGTTAGGTTACTAAATCTAGTAACATATCTTAGGTTAGGTTACCAGATCTGGTAACATATCCCAGGTTAGGTTACTAAATCTAGTAACATATCTTAGGTTAGGTTACCAGATCTGGTAACATATCTCAGGTTAGGTTACTAAATCTAGTAACATATCTTAGGTTAGGTTACCAAATCTGGTAACATATCTCAGGTTAGGTTACTAAATCTAGTAACATATCTTAGGTTGGGTTACTAGATCTGGTAACATATCTTAGGTTAGGTTACCAGATCTGGTAACATATCCCAGGTTAGGTTACTAAATCTAGTAACATATCTTAGGTTAGGTTACCAGATCTGGTAACATATCTCAGGTTAGGTTACTAAATCTAGTAACATATCTTAGGTTAGGTTACCAAATCTGGTAACATATCTCAGGTTAGTTTACTAAATCTAGTAACATATCTTAGGTTGGGTTACTAGATCTGGTAACATATCTTAGGTTAGGTTACCAGATCTGGTAACATATCCCAGGTTAGGTTACTTAATCTAGTAACATATCTTAGATACTGTCTGTAGGTTAATCGAGGAGGTGGTACATTCATTATTCCAAATTTTTTGGGATTTCCTCTCCTCGTTTCTATAAAATAAAAATATGGATATTATTTCAATATACATATGTGTAGTAAGGACAAATCAGATGATTTGCCCCAAAATGTCACTGCGTTTGCAATATCATCTGACCAACAAATTTTCAATAACGAAGTCCACCACATTAAAAATGTTCTCCTATCCAAAGAATTTTGTTGATAGGACAATTCATCAAATTGAAAACAAACAGGGTCAACCACAACAAAATCAACCATCAATAACGACAAATATAATACCATACATTCCCGGCATATCTGAAAAAATAAAACGTGTTGGTGATAAATTTCAAGTGAAAACTGTGTTCAAAACTGAAAATACAATGAGATCAATTCTAACTCAAACAAAGCCGAAAAATGAAGAACAATCGTCAAAAAATTGTATTTATAGTATACCTTGTGTTTGTGGAAAGTTTTATACAGGTGAAACCAAGAGACCTCTTTCAGTAAGGACGAAGGAACATAAGTACAATATAAAGAAAAGAAACATCGATAAATCGAAACTAGCTGAACATATCCTTACTGAAGACAGACAACATATGGCAGAGTGGAATAATATTAAAATCATTGGAAAAGAAGATAACAACCAGAAGAGAGAAATAAAGGAATCTGCTTGCATTCTTCTGAACGGAGACAATAGTATTGCTTCTTGTTCAGTTGATATAGACAGAACATGGTATTCACTACTAAAATCTGAACATGAAAATGGTAAATTCAAGATTAATTAATGAAAACATCCTGTAACTCCTTTGATTGCCAACGTCACCAATTATCATTGAAAACTTCAAGACATATTATACGACTTCGCAATTGAAAAAATCTCTTCATGTTGAAAACGGGAGCAGAATCGGTCCCGAAACGTCCAAAGATAAGTGAAAATGTGATATTTTTTCTATATACCTTTATTTCTCTTCTCCAAAAATTTTTCAATACAAATTGTCACTGACAAGCTAGTGAATTTTTCTTTTAGGCTCTCTGATAGGAAAATTCTTTAAACACAGTGACATTTTGGGGCAAATCATCTGATTTGTCCTTACTACACGTATATTGAAATAATATCCATATTTTTATTTTATAGAAACGAGGAGAGAAAATCCCAAAAAATTTGGAATAATGAACATATCTTAGGTTAGGTTACTAGATCTGGTAACATATCTTAGGTTAGGTTACCAGATCTGGTAACATATCCCAGGTTAGGTTACTAAATCTAGTAACATATCTTAGGTTGGGTTACTAGATCTGGTAACATATCTTAGGTCAGGTTACCAGATCTGGTAACATATCTCAGGTTAGGTTACTAAATCTAGTAACATATCTTAGGTTGGGTTACTAGATCTGGTAACATATCCTAGGTTAGGTTACCAGATCTGGTAACATATCTCAGGTTAGGTTACTAAATCTAGTAACATATCTTAGGTTAGGTTACTAGATCTGGTAACATATCTCAGGTTAGGTTACCAGATCTGGTAACATATCCCAGGTTAGGTTACTAAATCTAGTAACATATCTTAGGTTGGGTTACTAGATCTGGTAACATATCTTAGGTTAGGTTACTAGATTTGGTAACATATCTTAAATTCATTATTCCAATTTTTTTTTTTGCATTTTTTTTTATTTTTTTCTTCTCGTTTCTATACAATAAAAAAAAATATTATTTCAATATACTTGTAGTAAGGACAAATCAGATGATTTTCCCCAAAATGTCACTGAGTTTAAAGAAAAGCTTAATGACATTACTCTTGATACAAATGATACTCTTGTTAGTTTAGATGTAGTAAGTTTATTCACAAATGTGAATGAATATTATGAAAATTCCATTGAAGCTGACATGAACGTTTGAATCTTGCTAATTCTGATTAATTTTGAAAAAATGTAGGATGATTATTCTGTTATCAGCTGGACATTTAGTGAGTTGAAGATGCATTTCTTGACTCAATTCATGATGTTAAAATTGAACATTAATAGTTTTTGTCGATATTTATTTATTGATTACATTGGGTCTAACTTATACATAAATATTTACATGTTTTGACAAATCATAGACTAGTAATGAAATTGAATGCTCTGTTCATAAAATTTTCACTTCCATACTGATCACTTTTTGTTTCTTTCCACTTGGAAAGGTCCATAGAGGGCAACTGTTCACATTTGACCAGAGGGTTGCTGAAATGCAAAAAAAAAAACTTATTGAATGGGTCAGTATAATGAATTCACCATTCAAAATAATACCTATCTAAGGACAGGTTGAAAATATTTTACTGAAATAATTTACTAGTGGAAAAATGTTAGTTATGGTCACTATTTATGTTGAAGTATTATGTAGAAGCCTAATTTTCATGATTTTTTATAAAATTTGTTGGAAACTTCCTGGGATCCTGAGACAATCCAAATAAATACAAAACAAAAGATGTTTATAACAAATATGTGCAAAACAATTATTAATGGTACCTGAATATTTTCTAAAATTTTAATTCCATAAAAAATATTCATATTTCTTAGTAAGAAACACATTTCAAGTTACTCTATCAGCAAAAAGTGTTCTTGAAAATTTTGAGAAAAATTATTTCATGGAACATTCCAATTTTTGTGCTATTTGTTGGCAGGAATTACTGTCAAATTGAGATGTGTCTGTTGAATGCAATGTATTTTGTCAATATCAATCATAATAAGTTTGAAAAGCAGTTGTTCTTATTTGAGATGAAAACCAATTCAACAGTTGATGGTCTATAAAAATAAAATAATTTTGACAGCCGGTTTCATTCTCATTTGAAATTCGACATATTTGTAGCCAACCTCACAATACTAAATGTCTAACCCTTGAACCTTTGTGAATATAGTAAATTACTTTGGATTTTCATTTTCATTAAGTATCCAAGGCAAATCAAAATTAAAAAAGATGAGATAATGGATAATATCAAAGACATCTATAAAAAGAAAGGGGAGACATAACATTTAAATCATGAAACTTTATTTGTTTACAATGATAGAAACTTCCAAAGTTTCAAATGAGTTAGAAAGAGATGGCTTTGAACAATGGCAATGCTGTAAACTGTTAGTCAATATTCACACTTTTCATCATCAGTCCCCTAGGTTAAGCGAGGGGCAAGACAATTTTACTACAATAACAAGGCTATTATACTTTTTAGAAAAAGTTTGGGTCTAATCTTTCGATTTTAATACCAAATATCCACAGTTCCTTAGGTACATACCTAATGCTGGTCCATCGTTTAGTGGGATTTGAACAAAAAAAAACAGGGTTTCCTGCAATAATTCAGTTGAATAACCACTGCTCAAAATAAAATTAACCTTGGGGTTTGTATGGTGAACTTTTTCACAATCCACGCACTGGCGAACAATAATAGACTTATAATAATTGTCTTCATATAGTTTCATGGTAGGAAAACACTGAAAATCAATTGAAACACAAAAAGTCCTAAAATGGTAACAAACACAGCACATCAACACTGTAACTATAACTGTAACTTATTTCCATAATACATTATTATTTCATGTAATGATGACAATAGGAAAATTTAAGTCATTTCAATAGCACATATTTCAATTAAGGAACAAACATACAGAATGAATATACATGAAAAATGTATATTATATGATTAACTTATGATAAATGCTTCCCTCAATTTTAAACACCGGCGGTAGATCTAGGGCAATCTGCAGACATTTGTCATCATTGTTTTCTACTGAAAACAATGATGGATCGGGACAAAATGAAAACAATAATTGCGTCTCTCCTCATTCAATATTTCTATGGATAATATGTTATGATGCTTCCAGTTAAACCCAAAGAAGTGTCAGTTTTTTTCTGGTTTGAGTACTCAAAATATGAATCATCTACATACCCTTCAAACAGCTTCTCAAACCCTCTCGGCTGCATGTACTCCACCCCAGTGTTATCACACAGCAACCTCGAAACGCTCGCTTTCCTTATCTCGATCAGCTGTCGATCGGAAAAGCCGGTTTTCCCGGCATTTTCGTACCAGTACCGGTCGCCCCTACGCGTCCTTGAGAATTGCTCAATGAGGATGCGCAGGAAGGTGGGGCCCACCAGAGCCCCAGGGGCGGGCCTCTCGAGGGACCCGCCCACCGAGAGGTCGACGTCTTCGGGATCGGCGTACAGCGTTGCCAGTTTGCGGACGTTCTGTAAAGGAGGTTAGGGCTCATGAAACCTGAGTAGAAAAAAGCAAGATTCAAACTTATTTGGGTGGATGCTGGTTCGTTCTTTCTCTCTAAATTAGTTTTTTCAATTGAGGCTGTGTGAAATAGTGAGAAATAGGGAGAATTCAGAGTGTGAGTGAAGTGGACTAAGTATTTCAATAAATTTCTTGGCGCTAGGTTCACCAGAAAACTATTGGAATAGCTTTTTTGGATTCAATTCCAGAATGGAGTTGAAGGCAACAAAACGAACATAGGGAGTGTTAGTGGGAGACTGAATGAGTTAGTGGGAGACTAAATGAGTTAGTGAAAGAATGAGTTAGAGGGAGAATGAGTGATAAAGAGAATGAAAGGTGAGCTAGAGGGTAAGATAGATAATCAGTCAAGATAGTGAGTAAGTAAATTAGATAGAGAATTAGTGAGATATAGAGTAAGTGCGTTAGATAGAGAATTAGTAAGATAGAGAGTTAGAAAGAAAATTAATGAGATAGAGAGTAAGTTAGATAGAGAATTAGTGAGATAGAGTAGAGAATTAAGTGAGTTAAGTAGACAGTGACAATAGTGACTTTGATAGTAAGTTAGTTGGATTTTGAATCAGTGAGATAGGGAGTCAGAGAGTTAGTGGAGAGTGAGCTAGTGGGAAGTGAGTAGGTGAGAAAGGGGGAAGTAGATTGAAAAGGAAAGAAAATTGAAAGGGAAAGAAGATTGAATGGAAAAGAACATAAAAAGGGAAAGAAGATTGAAGAGAGAGAGGCAGAGAGAAAGTGAGAAAACTATCGAACATGATTGCTTAAAAACATATTATGTCGGTCAAACTAGGAGACCCATTGAACCTAGGTTGAAGGAACAAAGTAGATTCAAGAAAACGGTATAAAAAATATCCAGTTTCAAAGGAACCATGTTAGGAGCACAAAAATTGATTTGAACGCAGCAGTGAATTCTGCGCATTCTTCTCCATTTGAGTATGGTTGATGATTATCTTATTACCTCTTCGCTGATCCAATCTAAGAAATCCTCGAATCTACGAGCTCTCGGTAAACCCCACAGTACTCTGAAATCGTTGTATGTAGCCAGTCCGTGATCTCGCGCTCTCTGAATGTCGAAGGCTTTCAAATCTATTCCGAAAGTTTCATTGTCACCTCTGAATAAATATTGGGTTATCTGAAACCAAACAAAAAAATGTTTCATTCTGCTTTTTTTTTCCTCCCAGTATATGCCTCACCTCACTATCGTGGTACTGATCAGAGGCGGATTGAAGTTGGGCTGATAATCCACGAGTTAGAGCTTCGAATCCGTGTTTTTCTTCTAGAATCTGAGGGCGTCTGAGCACGTCACTCAACCGTATTCTTCCCTGTGATGTTCTATGTTCACTGACCAAACTGAAAGTGAAAGAAAATACCTTCTATAAAAGGTTCATTCGGGTTCGAACTATTACGGTTCTAGAACTGTCAGGAGTTTGCCCAGTTGAATCGGAACTGTTCTCTTACGCGTTCGGGTTTTTCCAGAATCGTCCTGAGACGGTCCCAGAACTATCCGAAACCAGTACCTGCTTTCAAGCATGAACCGTTCTAGGATTAATTTTTGATATATTTTTGTTTATTCAACTGTTTATTGCTCTTTTCACTATTTTCTCAATATTATGGAGTTAGTACATTCATTTGATAGTAGTAGTTCTTCATCTTCAGGAAGCAGTGGTGAAGGAGTTCCTTGCTGAAGTTGCTGAAAATATTGTTCCTAATCTGATAATTCTTAAATGGAGGATTATGTTAGGGATACTTTGCCATTATATTCAGATACACAATTCATTAAACAGTTCAGGTGGGTGTCGAAACAAAACATTGAAAATCTAGCTACGAATGCAATGATGAAATAAATTCACCATTCCTCTACAGAGGGCTTCCAGAGATATTGTGAATAGACTCAAAGGAGAGTTTGAAGCTTCAGAATATTATTCGATACAGGTTCCAAACTATTCAACTGCTAAATCTCATAACTAAGAGATCTAGGATGAACAGAGTTATGAGATTTAGCAGTTGAATAGGTGGTGGAAAAATTCCACTCAAGTATGTCAGGTAGTGCCATCTGTCAGCAGAGTGATTTACTTGTAGTACCACTCTGTAGCGTATAGACGTAGGGGTCTGTAGGTGTGACTATAGATGGCAGCGCCATACAGTGTGTGTCGCGATATCTGTATCCTACCTTAGAGCTTTGCCACAAGATGGCTACAGCATAACTACAACTTTATGTTATACCCTACGTCTTCCAAACTATTGTTTTTTCGCAAATTCTGAATAGAGGTTATGTTCACTAGTTCTACGCAATCGCAACCCGAATAAACTTAATAATACGACTTTTATCATTATTGTTATCGCATACTTGGTCTTTATGCACTGGGTGATTCAGTTTTTGAATTAAAATCGTTCGGAGCCGAATTCAAAAATTGGTTGTACCTCGAAAATGGATAGATTTGAAATCTTCATGTTATTTTACGTTAGATTTAATCAATCAATCAATTTATTAGTATTAAAATACATAGTATTTATACAAGTCAAATAGAGAATAAAATGTTTAAACAGTACATTTAAAATGCGTAACATATATCGATAAAATAAAAATTCAAATTCAAGAATGTTGATAGAGGAGAACCCTCCAACATCATGTCAACCAAATTTTCTCCTACCAGTCCCACCAAATGCTATTGCCTTTGAGCCCAGTAAAAATTTAGGAATTTTTGATAACTGTAGAAAGCATGATCAATCAAGATTTTCTTTACATTTGATTTGAATGGTTTTGTGATGGGTAGATCTTTTACCTCATCAGAAAGGTGATTGAATATCACAACTTCTTGTATATAAAGGTAAATTTGTCCTAATATGCAGTAAGTTTTGTAGAATATATATACAGAGTGTCAAGATTTCCATCGAACTAAAAATATGGCGACAAATACAATACACATGAGTAAAATTGGAATATAAGCAAATTTTCTTAGTAAACTTTTTTGAAATACGAACAAAGAAGCCAATTTTCAGCGATTAATTACGTCACGTGACTCCGACCGAGTTTGAAGCAAAACTTAACGCCCAAGTCGAAATTCAAAATTAATTATTATTAAAAGATGTTCTCTTTGATGCCAACTTTATGAATGACACTGTATAATTGCTTCCCCCCCCCCCCCGTAAAATCGTTCAACACGGTCGGATCAACTTTCTCATCGTAATGGGGGAGACCACTGATTTTTTAAAATGACATTATCGTGAACTCTATACTGAAAAACTACCAGCGAATTAATTTTGAATTTCCTCATTCATGCTAAGACGATGAAAATAATAAATTAGAATATGTCCATTTCAAAACACACAATTTCTGTGCCATTTGAAATTTTGTCAGTTCATTGGTGTGACTGGTGCGACGTCTTATTCCCAACACGCCTATTGTCCTTGAACTGGCCAATCACACTGCAACACTGCAGAATGACCAGGTATCAGAGAGAGATAGCCACAGTTCGGGACTAATACGTCACGACTCCACCATCATATTTGGCTGTTTGAAATATCGAATGAAATATGCTGATTTCAAAACGATATAGATACGATTTCCTTCAACTTTAACTCATAATATTGATTGTACATCAAACGTAAATCATGATTCGTCGATTGAAAGAGGTTTGCACGGATTTCTTCTCTTAGTGGTCTTCCCCATTGTCCCAGTGACCATCTACGTCATAAATCAGCTTGGCGCCCAACGTGGGGGGGGCCTGCCGACAAAATGCGGCAGCCACTCGTACTACTCGTAGTAGAAGTGTATTTGCTAAAGATACTGATTTATAACTGATTTATGAACAGATATGTTTCTCGGGGTAATAAAAACAATCAATCAATCAAGGTAAAATGATCAATTGAATATTTATTAAGCAAAATACTGGATGATAATTCATCAATAACCATCAATCTGATCAGTTTTTCAGAGACCAACATCATTTTAAACACAGCCGTGGGTTTTGATCAAAATGGAAAGTGGTAAATTTTTTATGAAATCTTTCATTTCTTCAGGAAAACTGACCTCAAAGTATTAATACTCAAGGTTCATATGACCCCCATATGTGAATTTTCATATGTTTCCAATGAAGGGTTTCGAAAGAACAGACATCCAAACAGCATTTTTATGAACGTTATAATTATTTACTCGGAAACAGCGAGTTCAGCATAAAATAGTATATCTTGTCGTTTCTTTCAGATCACGATTTTCTACCTACCGGAGCTATTTAACGTTTCAAATTTTACAGTTAGTTTGAAAACACTTTTTTTTCGAGGCCAATCTTGTTAATTCGAAATGATTCTTTGCATTTGCTAGGTTTGAAAGCATATAAGAAACAATAATATGAACATGGTATTTTTGTAAACAAATCCTAATAGCTGGGATATAGGGGGGGGGGGCGTTCAAAGTGAGACACGCTGTATAACTGCCCCCCCCCCCCGTAAACTTACTGTAAGTGGCCGACAATCATCGAATGAAAATGCCTGAAGGCGGCAGTGGCGTGCTCGTTCAACACGGTCGGATCAACTTTCTCGTCGTAATCGTCCACGTGATCGTCTACGTCATAAATCAGCTTAGCGCCCAACGCATATCGTCTGCCGACCAGATGTGGCAGCCACTCGTAGTAGGTGACGTGCTGGTAGGCGGCCATGTTGATTTTGCGGGCCTCTTGGAACACGCGCTCGTCAGGCCAATGGGGATTGAGTGCGGAGAGCGAGGCGGCCAGACGGTTGTGCTCCCGGACGTAGATGGTTTGCAGAAGGGCCAAGTGGGGACTCTGGTTCACTCTGCTGTCGCCTGGAAGAGTATTCGAGGCAAATGTTTGTATTTTTTTCTTCAAATGTACTGGGTAGTGTATTGCCAAACCCCAGTGCAGTATAGAGCAATCAGTGTTTTCGAGGCTATGCATGTGACGATCGCACATTTGGTGTTGGCAAACCTCCGTGCTGTGAATCACTCGGGGCTTTGCGTGTGACAACGCTTCATTTGGTTAGACGAAATCCAGTGTAATACAGAGCGATATAGCAGATACCTACCTAACAATAGTAGATTGTTTTATTAGGATCAAAAGTGACACTTTGTTTGACAAGCGAATTTTGCATTTGCGAGGCGGAGCGTTTAGCGAAGCCGAGCGAAAGCAAAATTTGCGAGTCGAACAGAGTCACTTTTGATCCGAATGAAACATGCTATTTTTTCTGCAACCGAAACAATTAACTCAAATAAACTTGTGAAGTAACCACCAATGCCGTGCCATATGTATGCAATGCAACAAATATTGACAAATAATCCGTGTGATGAGAAAATTCTACCTGCATTAACAGCAGGTTAGGTTTTCAAGGATGTTCGAATTGTAGTTTCAATATAAATACAACCACAGGGTGGCATATTTGTGTATGGACCAGGTGCTCTAATGGCAAATACCGCGCCAGTGCCAGCTATAGGAACAAGACGTGGAAAATGTTAGGTTAGTGAGCATATCAACAATGATAATAGTGATTATTTATTCCTCTCCATACTACACTGTGTTTGACTTGATAATCAAATGAAGCTGAACAATATCGTTGTTCGAGACAAAAAACTATTGCTTGCCGTGATTATTCTAAAAACAAGTTATCCATCCCGAGAATAACGAATGAAATATAGATCAAGCAAGTATTTGAATCTTGAAGGCTTCCCTGATCAAAACAAAAATACTAAACTGAGACGATTATAATTCCAATACAAAACTATAATAAGGTGTATTTATATCTCCAGCATGAGTATATGAAATGCCAAATCTGCTGAAATCGGAAACAAATCAGGTATGCGTCTCAACCCAAATAACCAACCGTCACAATGTTGTTTATTCTTGATGACGTCCAGTACATCCTTTTTAGTTCCTAGGAGCTAAAGTTCAACTTTACCTCCTAGGAACTAAAATTCAACTTTAGCTCCTAGGAACTAAATATGTTGCCTAGCAACATACCTATTTTTGTGTCAGTAATAGAAACGTCAATTTAAGAGCTAATTTTGGTATCAATATAACTTGTTCCATCTTGACGCCGCTAGCTCCCTAATCGGACAAAAAAGATTCACTCATTTAGCCTTAACTGAATTCAATAAAATACCTGATAATATAAAAAATTGCAGAAATATAGGTATATTCAAAAATGAAGTAAAAAAACTGATTATTTTTGAGCGGACTGGATAAAATTAATCATGCCATTTTTCTTTTTTTTTCTTTTTTTTTACAAATATTATTCTTTGTTTGCCAATTTACAGTTGTTGATATATTTTGAATGATGCTATGTTTACCTATAGGTATATAATTATGTACTTCCTTATACCAGAGCCTATTCTGTCTGGAAGTTATTTGTTCAATAAATAAATAAATAAATAAAATAATAAATATATATAAAATGGACGACTTTTGTGTCGGTTGCAGAAAAATATTTTTTTATACTACTGCTATGAAAAGTAGCGCATTTCTCATAGCTGGAGAATCAACAAGAATCGACCAAAACTTGGCTGCTGTTCAGCTTTGAATAGGTGTCACAACTGTCAGAAGAAATTTTTTAAATTCTTTAAGGTAGTTCTTATTAGTGTTCTCGATAGAAATCGCATTTTCCATCAAAAAGTATTCCAACAATTCATAATAAATAATGATGACATGATGATGACATAAGAAATCTGCAGCCGCCTCTCCTACTATAAGTACGTTTTTTTTTTCTTCTACTATCAAAAATAACAGAGTTACAGGAGCGATACTTTATAATGTGCCAGATATTTGGGTCAGAAAAAACCCTCATATTATTTTTGTGGAATAAATATTTATAATACTCTACCCAAAAGAATAAAATCTATTAGTTTCGTCATAAAATTTAAGAGTGAACTGACGAAATATATTTTATCAATTTTCCTCTTTTCCTTGTATCAAATAATTCTGATTGAACTGTTCATCTTTCATTGTATTGCATATTTGATTTATTTATTATAGTTTTTCTTGTTTATCTCTATTAACATTGTATGTTTCTTGGGATCAATAAATATTATCATTATTTTTATCTAACTAGAGCTGTTGGTCTTTACTTCCTACCTGCCATATAACAAGCATCTTTTTCATCTAGTAATCTGCAAGTTTGTGAAGCATTTGTGGCTCTCGGAAGCCACTGCTGACCTGATCTGTGCTCGGTTCTGAGACGGCCATTTTGGAATTGCCTGAGCAACCTGCTGGTCTTGGCATCGTTTCCGTACACTAACGACAAATCCAGATAATGGTTGACCGAAGTCAACTGAAAATTGAAAAATAACCGGTGACACAGGAGACATGTAACAAACAGTCTGTAGTTTTTCTATTTGAAGAGATAAAAAATTTAAATTTACAAGGGTTATATTATCGATGATGGCGCTTCCCTTGAACCCAATGACAATTTTCTTCTAAAAAAAAAAGTTGGGTCTTCTTCCGATCGAACAGGTGGTTTAAGAAAATTGTCATTGGGTTCAAGGGAAGCGCCATCATCGATAATATAACCCTTGTGAATTTCAAATCTTTATCTCTTCAAATAAAAAAACTATACATTCTGTTACATCTCTCCTGTGTCAAGTGTCACCCGGTATACACCAGTAATTTAGGTTATGTTACCTGGTCTGCAGGGGTGGAGTCTTCAACGCAATTTCTGTCTTTGTTGGTGATGCTTCTGTCAAAACTCATGCACTTTGTTTTAGTTTTTGAATGCGCGGGATCGTTGTCCGGTAAGACGATAGGGAAACAGTGATCTGGTGATTCTGCTAGCTCCAGAAGTTGACCTTCTGGCGAACAGCACCTGGTTTTGTAGTGCCCTAAAAATATTTAGTCAATACATTCATCTTTTTCATTTTTCACAGAAGGTTTATGCAGGCAAGCTAACTTTCGATCAACAAGTTTATTGAACGTTCTGCGAACAACACCTGGTTTTATAATGCCTTGAAAATATTTAGGCAATTAATTTACTTATGTTCTTCTCCCACAGATGTTTCATGCATGCAAGCCAATTTTTGATCACCAAGTTTATTGAACGTTCGTTAATTTTACCATGCTATTGAAAACGCATACGGGGTTGATTTGATTTTTTATTGGTCGAATTATTACACCTTAGTGCTATGTTCCACGAGGCATATAACCTCCAGAAATTCAGGAGGAACACCAATGGGCTTAAATCACAAAAATAATTATTTCATAATTCGATAGAACTCACCCAAACTAGCTCACCACCAAATTTATTGGACTTATCACCGTGTTTATTGAACTTATCACCATGTTTATTGGACTTACCATCAAGTTTATTGGACTTACCATCAAGTTTATTGGACTTATTACCAAGTTTATCGAACTTATCACCCAGTTTGATGGACTTATCACCAAGTTTATTGGACTTATCACCCAGATTGTTGGACTTATCACCAAGTTTATTGGACTTATCAACAAGTTTATTGAAACTATCACCAAGTAGCAATAGTTTATTGGACATGTAATCAAATTTATTGAACATACTCCACTAAATTTATTAGACGGAGCGTTTATTGAGCGTATAACCAAGTTTTCTGAACGTATCTTCGTAAATATGTTCATGTAAAACAGAAAAACATGAGTGAAACAAAATGTCTAGATACGGTTTCAGTCTCATACTCCCCACAATGATGGAAGTAATAAGATATGGTGCGCGCATTCGGCCATTATTACGTATTGAAAATTTCAGAAAAATCACTCGACCGCCTACTATGATTTCTCTACGTCACAACGAGCGAGACGTTGATTCTACATTTTCCTGCTAGATGGTAATGCTGCTATTGCACCTGTGTGACGAGTGAAAATAAAATGGCGAATGGCATTTTAGGTACGCGGAACATATATGTAACAGTGGGATTATTCAACTCTGAATTCGAAAAATCTGCGACAATTTCAAAACTGACAGATATCATAATTGTGCAATGTCGCCATCTATTAGAAGATCGACGAAACCATTGCTCTCACTGTTCTCGATAGGTCGAGTAAAATTTCTGAAACAAAAGCGCATCAGCGATCACCATATCTTACTTCCATCATTCTCCCCACTTACTTGTTTGTGAACTCCCTATGGTTCTACTCATATCGTGGGTGACTATTTGGCTGTACTGCATCAAGTTGAGAGTGTAGATGGGATCAAAAATTGGAACGTCTGGATAAAGGGCCAAACTGACAGATCGAGCCAAGGGGAGAGCCCTACCGCCCTTAGCTGTTGTTGGAAGGCTTATTCCTGGAAATCAAATACAGAAATAAATGCAGTCAAAAAGTTACAGGACTATAACTTTTTCAATTCAATTGGTGACATTTCCTGATCTTCTGGCTACTTTTTGGTGGTGTGTTCATTTTTGGAGAAGTGTATTTATGTTTCGGAATGTTGGCATGAATTTTAGTTCCCAAGAAAAGCTGAAGGCTTGATCATTATACAGGGAAAATCAAACAGTTACTCTTTCACCTTCAACTTCTTAATGCCTTGTGAAACTTAGCTTTTTTATTTCTTGGATTGAAGTGTGATCCCTTCTTAACACAATGGTTTTTGATTCACGTCGATACCCATTATTTAAGGGAAGATACAAGTGTTTTAGAAATTATGGCATAATAGTATATTATGTAACAAGTGTTATGAACGATAATTTTAAGCACGAGCGCAGTAGAGCGGAGCGAGTGTTTAATAAATGACTGTCTAGAATAGTTTATAAACGCGTTACATACTATACTTATTCTACAAACTCATAATTTCCCATTTTTATGTTCTAAATTATTGTTAATGAAAATTTAAAAAATCCTTGCTTCGTCAAAACTATTGTATCTTCTCTTGAAAGGAAGATATCGACGTGATTGTTCAATTCAGAACATAATGATGCTGAGTTTAAAACCGCTTTTGCCACATGGCGTTATAAGAAGCTAAGGGTATGCAAGAGTAACTGTTTTTCCTTGTATAATGATCAAGTCATCAGGTTTTTTTGGAAACTAAATTTCAGGCAAACATTTCGGAACATTAATAGCTACGATTTGGTAGAAATTCTATCAAATTTGAACAAGAATTGAAAGAGTGAGTGAATTATGCCTGACAATTCAATTTATATATGAAAAAACCAAAAAGCCGCGTGATTTTGTCATTATGACAGTGAAAAAAGTTTGCCCTAACTTTTCCAGCGACAATGACGGAACCTAACTTTTGAAGGCTTGACAACTAATTCCATGTCAAATAGCTGTCAGCCGATATTTCACTGCTATGGTAATTATCATCTGCATTTATCACAACCATATCTACCAAGATTTTCAAGTTATTCGCGGGAATCAATGTTACCAGGTGGCGCTCGGTTTTCATCGTTCCATGTCAAAGCAACGTCAAAACTGGGGGAAAACAAACTCAATTCCATTAGTGCCATTAGCTTGTTCACTATGTACTGATAAGAGTGATAAGTTTTTAAATTAATTGACATTAATTGTCAATATTCGATCGAAAACGCTGATAATGCCTGTTGTAGATGTTCTTTTGGCAGATATTTTGCTCTATTGAAACGGAAAATGCCGACCAGTAGTGGAAGGAAAGGCAATTCTCCGTGCTAATCATGTGATTTTGTGTGAGGCAGAAGACTTCAACAAAAGGCACATTTTTGCACTTTGTCTACAAACTTCGGCGATGAAATATTCCCCACATGAAGTAAAATTGAAGTTGGGGTCCAGAGGAACTAGTTTGAATTGTTTGAACTATCTCCAATTCTTCACCCGTTCACTGTTCACTAAACTAATAAAAATGTAATAAGGTAAAAAAATTAACCAACTCAATCATCATCACTACCAACAGTGCCAACACTTTATGTCATAGACAAGTTTGACTACAGCTACAGCAAGCTGAATGCAATGTAGTCTATGCACTTTATTCATAGACAACAGTTTGGTTTTCCCCCAGTTTGAAGTTCGTATTATGTAACGTAGATGTCGCCCACTTCGTGAATCTCGTGAATAGTGACAACAACGATGTGATTCTTCCCGACCTAGCCCGGGAAGTATCACAAGTACGTACAGGGTGGGCAAAATTGGGCGTTTTCGCCGTCTATCTCAATAACTAGAGGAGTTATCGAAAAACCGATATACATGTTCCGGGTTCGATTTTGGAGAAACCTCGAAATTTCGATATCTTCATTCGTTTTAGAGATACAGGGAGAAATTGAAAATTTGCCGATTTTGATTTTATTTTCTGACTACTTTACGGTGAGAGGTATCAAAAAATTTCAAACGTATATTTATACAGTATGATGCGTGGAATCCATTGGCATCATCAGAAATTTTATACAGGGTGACGTTGAAAAGATACGGCAGCCAATTATGTTTTTTCTAATTCTTTCTAATTCAACACCCCGTATATTTTGGCACAGTTGAATAGTCCCAGGCGTTCTCATTACAAATATATATATAACCCTACCTTTTCCTTTCACAATTTCAGATATATTCGCAACAATATATTCAGTGTGTCACATTTCTTATAATTGAGGTAGGATTCAAAAATTCGCAACTGTCAGAAAGATACAAATGATACACTCATGGAGTCATGGACCAAGTGGGATCATCTCCAATGATAACACTGCTCGCCAGCAGCTATGGAATCATCGATATTTCTGGATAATGCTATCAACAGGCAGAATCGAGGTTGAAAATGACACTCTGTATATATTCACCAAAGGTGGAAAATGAATATGATAGGGAATGTTATTTCCAGACAAATGGATATTTGGTGAGAAATAAAATGGGAAATTATTCGATTTGATATCATTGTTATCAAGACATTTTTGAGATACAGAAATAAGACCAATAATTTACTCAATTAGGAAATCAGTAGGTTGCGTTGAAAAATATAGCCTTATAGAAGATGTCCAAATTCCAGATACAGAAGATACGGGGGTGTAACCATAAGAAATGTGACACACTGAATATATTTTTGCGAATATATCTGAAATTGTGGAAGGAAAAGGTAGGGTTATATATATATTTGTAATGAGAACGCCTGGGACTATTCAACTGTGCCAAAATATACGGGGTGTTCTATTAAAAAAAAACAGAATTGGCTGCCGTATCTTTTCAACGTCACCCTGTATAAAATTTCTGATGATGCCAATGGATTCCACGCATCATACTGTATAAATATACGTTTGAAATTTTATGATACCTCTCACCGTAAAGTAGTCAGAAAATAAAATCGAAATCGGCAAATTTTCAATTTCCCCCTGTATCTCTAAAACGAGTGAAGATATCTAAATTTTGATTAAGCCATTCGAGGTTTCTCCAAAATCGAACCCGGAACATGTATATCGGTTTTTCGATAACTCCTCTAGTTATTGAGATAGACGGTGAAAACGCCCAATTTTGCCCACCCTGTACTTTCCGAACCAGGCCGTACAAATACTACTTTCTAAAAAAAATCACTCGTCCTACGGAGTCGTAATTTTTTCAGAGGCAGTTTTTTTCGTCAAATTGCCAGGCAACGAAATTCTTATTGATACAAGTCAAGTTTACTTCGACAACAAAAAAGCTCGTGTAATTATAAGTGATAGGTAATAATTTCGATGAGTATAAAGAAAAAATCAACTTCCTGAATATTTTCCTTTCAGTGGAAAACGCAGATTACGTCAGTTCTTACCATCTCCGTAGTTTGCAGGCAATAATCTGCGATAGGGGGTGTTGGGGATTCCCCAAATGGGGTTCCTCAGGTTGTTGCAGGCCCCGTCGTAGCTTCTGTATATGGCGTTAGGGCCACAAGAGTGAGGGGGGGTACCGCAACCGAGGGTTCTCGGATCTGGAGTGGTTGAAGTAGGGGGTTGGAAAGTGAAAACATCGTTGTAGTTGCTCAAAGAATTCTCGCTGAAAATGCTGTAACAAGAGGGAAGGTTGATTGATATCGAATTGAAAATTTCACACCTAACATTTTTGACTAATTAAAAGCATGTATTTTGTATCGTTACCAAGGCAACTGAATAAATTTCTGGTAATTCATTATATAAGTTGATAAGTTCCTTGGAAGAAAATATATGTCTACCAACTAAAGCTAATTGAATTTATAAAAAACTAGGGGATTGAGCTACTACCTACTATTGACTTATTTTTTATTTATGTAAAAACTTCACAAACGAAATTGCACCGAAGACGAGATTTCAATGTAAATGGTGCGGGGTCCTTTACAATTGACCGACTTCGAAAATAAGCCATAACATTTTTATTTTTGTATGAAGAAACTTTCTACAGGCACTTTTAAACATAGAATGAGATAGATCAGCCAAAAAAAATTCGCGATTCAATTGTTAATTTGTTCTGGAAATAGAAAAAAAAATGACAAAATCAAGGACACCCTGTACCTATAACCCGAATATTTTGTAGTATTTATAGTATTACTTATCCTAGATTTTCTAATGAACAATGATTGATTAAAATACTCAGGCAACTGGTAATTTTTTTGATATCATCAAGCTGGTAGCTTCGAAAAACAGGTACAAAAATTTGATTTGAAAAACAAATATCCACGAAAAAATAAGTTGGAACATTGATGTAGAAGATGAGAATTTTGATTTCACTTTTTGATTTTTCAATTATTATGTCACGCATATTAAAAATAACCTTACCTTTTTCTTGAATTCTGGTGTGGTTCCGAGAAAATATCATCAAAAAAACTGTCGAGAGTAGAGGAATCTCTTTGAGCAAGGTTTTCTTTGAATGACAACAAAAAAATTTGGAGAAAAATTGTCCAAATAGTTTTTTGAAGCATTTCAGTGAATCTGCAAAAAATCACTTTTTTCACACTTAAATAGATTATAATATAAGAATCACCCTGTTTCGGCGCGAAAAATCAAATTCTGCACTATTTGTTAAAGGTATTCCATTGAATCAATGAATTCTAAATTACTATCAATTAACACCAACAAATAATAAACACCAATTAAAATCCATGAAACTACAAATTAGATTAGGTTTGTTTCTATCAAAGGACCCTAAAGCGACTGAAAATATTTCGCCAATGCCGCCCTAATTTATAATCTACAAAATTTTTGAGAGAAAGTCTCACATTCTACATTAATACAATTCCCATGGGCTTAGTCAGACATTTTTGTAGAGGGGGCAAAATAGGTGAATACAAACGAAAGTTTGTATACCTTGGTTCTGGAAAAGTATTGTTTTTTTTTCTGTGACGGGAAAAAAGTTTGGCATTTCATATCTGTTGGCAGGTTATAAAATGTCACTTTTCATAAATTACTTTTTTCCCGTGGGAAAAAAGTGAGTACTTTTTTCCCGGATATATATCACATATACAGTGTGACCCACTTCTAATGGAACCACCCCTGTATCTTACGTAATCGTTGGGTAAGGATCCTGAAATTTGCTGGAGCGAGATATACCAAAAATGCACTCTATGAGTGATATACACTGCTCGCCAACAGCCATGAAACTACCCCAATTTCCGGAAAATGATATTAGGAGTCAAAATAGGTCGAAAATCACTTCAGATTTGGAATCAGGACGCCCAATTTACTAACTATTCTTCTAATTTTTCCTGGAAAATTTTCAGTTCGGAAAAATGAAATTTTGTCGCATTTTTTATGGAAGCACCCCCGTATCTCACGTTATTATTGAGGTAGGGTTCTGAAATTTGCAGGAGGAAGAGAAAGTCCAAAGATAAAGTCAATTACGTGAGATACGCTCCAGCAAATTTCAGGAACCTTATCCAACGATTACGCAAGATACAGGGGTGGTTCCATTAGAAGTGGGTCACACTGTATATACACTGTTGATGGCTTTTGTTGTGCTATAGTTCTGAAAAATGAGTCATAAATACCGTCTCCGAGAGAAAACTGCAAGTCCTTTTATCTTCCATTCGACTTCGCGGTTAAGTATATTACTAAAGAACCACTAAATTCGCAATTTTTTGAAATCAAATCACAGAATTAGACTGACAGAATTGACATCAGATATTTGATTACTTCAAAAGAATGATAAAGTTGCCTACAACGCAGGTGTCCCTACTGTTAAAAACTTAAAATTTCACGTCGATAATTTTCAGATTTCAAAATAATGTAATATCTTCTCAATATTGATTCGTCCTTTCTTCTGTCACAGAAAAAAATAGTGCATTATACACGGGAAAAATATTAGATTTTAGCTCTCGTTTTTTTGTCTCGGGAGACAACAACAACCTGGAGCTAAAATTTACTACTTTTTTCTCTTGTATAATTAATAACTATTTATATTGTTTCGTAAGGTCACTCACAGTGCCCATATTACATCGACAATTGCACTAGATTTGTTGATAGTACAATAACTTTTGGTCAATATTTCAAAAAAGATGCATTGAATGAAAATAATTTGGAACGAAGTAAGGTTAACAAAAGGAAACATTTGCTTTATATATTACCTTCAGTGGTTTCAACACCTGTGCTAGATTTCAATAGGGTATGCAAGAATGATAAAATGAATTCCATGAGATTAATATCAGGTATTTTTTTCTAATTAGAATTAATGATTTTTTCTTGTGACTAGACATTTTCCTTTTCTACGCCTATGGAAACACGCGACTGGATCTTTCAGACAAAAAAGTTAGTGCTGTTGGTTCCAATTTAAATGGAAGTATATCAAGAGCACCTTGACAATTCAAATGTATACGAGTTATACTTTATGTTTACGATCGACCGATCAAATTAACAAATTGGGTGTAAAAATGTGTTTGGTATGCATGGGCCAATCAATGCGCTGATCAGCTCTATGAACCGATCACAAAAATTGTGACGATAAATTTGTGAGGCAATCATTATACCGTGTATGATATGTTCAATACAAGAATAATCTTTATTGATGTAATAAGTGATCAAGTCTATTGACAATTCAATTATATACAGGGTGTCTGTAAAAGGTCGGGACATAGCTCGGCTGTGGACTCCTGGGATAAAAACAAGTTGATTTAAACCAACTCACCTATATCCAAAATCGTCTCGTTGAGTTGATACAAGGCGTGAAGTATTTTTGAAAAAAAAATAATTTTGCTCATAAAAAGAGTATAGGCTGATATCGATTTTCATAATTTTTGGCATGGCATAATTTGTGGCTGTAAGTCATGTTTTGAGATGTTTTTCATCATCATCAGTGACCTGCGAGTGTTTCAAACAAACATGTTAAAGTACAAATTTGGTCATAACTTTTCAGAGGTCACACTGGAAACTTCCAGTTTTTTTTTCCAGAAAGATATTTCCTTCAGGAATATTTTTTGTATCGTGTTAATTTTTGATAAGTCTCGAGGTTCATTTGCAAATAAATAATTTCTGATCTGAGGCATCTTACACATTTTTCAGAAAAATAATCTGGTTGGGACATGGCTTGACTGTAGACTCCTGGGAGGAAAATGAGTGGATTTTAGCCAACTTACCTATATCCAATTGACCACCTGTATTAAAGCATTTTGACTTGATATTAATTGCGAAATATCATTTAATCAGTTACATCATAAGTTGAATGAGGTTGTCCTCTCTTTCGACAGTTGTAGGAAAAATATTGTATGTAACACGTGCCTAAAGTGTTTTCTCTACTACTGCTATGAAAAGTAGCGTATTTTTCATAGCCTACTTTTAGCTTCAAAACCATGTATTGCTAATACTGTGAGAAATATTTTTTCTCACGGCACTTTGCCAACACCACATACATTTCCATGGAGAATCAACAAAAATCGACCAAAACTTAGTTGGCTGGTGTTCAGCTTTGAATAGTTGTACAACTGTCAAAAGAAGTTTTTAAAATTTTCTAGGCGGTAGTTCTCATCAGTGCTTTTGATAGAAATCGCAATGTCCATCGAATATATTCTAGGAAAACTTTGAATAGTTAGTAACTTGGGCGTTTCAACCTATTTTGACTCCTAATATCATTTTCCGGAAATTGGGGTGGTTTCATGGCTGTTGGCGAGCAGTGTATATCACTGAAGATGACCCCACTTGGTCATAGAGTGCATTTTTGGTATATCTCTCGCTCCAGCAAATTTCAGGATCCTTACCCAACTATTACGTAAGATACAGGGGTGGTTCTATTAGAAGTGGGTCACACTGTATATGAAGGCTGTTTGATGAAATAACGCCTCTCTCCATAGCTTATCTATTATAAGATTCGAAATGAAGTATAACGACTATCAAAAATGAAACGCTGCTGTCGGGTCTACGATATATTCTATATTGAAAAAAAACTGAACAGGAGATTTAACTTATTGAGTTCATTTGGCCCTGGCGAAAATTAAACAAACTTCTGCATCTTCAGCAGATATCAGATTTCATATACGAACTATCGCTATAATGATCTCATTGAAATGAAAGAAAGTGCTCCTAGACCTAAATTAATAATCATCAATATTTAGAATAATATATGAACAATAGAATCGAACACGTGTGCTATATACTGATGGGTCATCACAGAAGGCATCGTAGACACAATTTCAACACTCAAACACATATTTATTCACTCAGGACGGCTTGTACAAAGATGACCGTTCTGATGCTACGATGCTAATGACTGAACCTTCTTCAATCTTCGATCACACGATGATTACGAATACCGATGAATCGTCGAGGCCGCTTGTAATAAGGCATTCTTTAGGCGTTCCTCTCAAGTACGGGGTGATTTGTACAGCGTCGCTAACACTTTATTTTTCGATTTCAAAGAATAAAAAACAAAGTAGATTTTTGAAACACTATAATGCTCGCTATAATGTAAACTGAAACGAAGTTTGAACCTCAATAAAGTTCTTTTGCAACAAAAACATTTCACTTTTGCCGACGTTTCAAGCCGAACCAAAATCCCCCCTCAGAACCCAAATAGAACATACTCTTGGCGAGAACTATCGGAATAGTCGACTTCTCAACTGGCACTATATCAAAATTTGCCAAAATATAAAAAAACAGAATCTTGACTTCCAAAAGGGCGAATCTCGACCCTATACAGTTCCTCGGTCCCAAACCAAAGGGCAGATAGGAACAGGGCTTGATTTTGGCTTTGTTTTCGTCGTTGAATCTTTCAGGGTCGAAACGTTCCGGGTCTGGATATAGTTCTGGATCGTGTTGGATACCGTATTGGGGGAAGAAAACGTAGGTTCCTTTTTCTAAATGGACCGGTCGCTCGTCTGGCAACACTGGTTCTATGGTGTAGGGCTTGGTGCATACTCTGTCTGTTGCCATGTTGATGGGCCATTTACGTAGAACTTCTAGAATTTAAGGAAAATACCGAATTGATTATTCGAAATTGGTTTGAAATTTTTTTTAAGGTATATTAAATCGTTCTTTCCAAATTGCATTCCTCCCGAGGTTATATTATCGATGATGGTGCTTCCCTTGAACCCAATAAGCTACAAAAATATACAGGGTGCCATCTGAAAAAAAAAAAAGTTGGGTCTACTTCCGATCAAACAGGTGGTTGAAGAAAATTTTCATTGGGTTCAAGGGAAGCGCCATCATCGATAATATAACCCTTGTGAATTTGAAATTTTTATCTCTTCAACTAAAAAAACTACAGGCTGCTACATAATATCTCCTGTGTCATCTGGTATAGAGCCATTCTCTTTCTCTAATCTTAACCTCATTTTATGTGTGAAAATCAAAGTGAAAAATTGATTGGATCGGTAAATGTTGAGTTTTTTATAGGTATATTCAATCATTTTTTCCAAATTGCATTTCTCCCGAGGTATGCAAATCAATGTATTTACATCCATTCGATCTTTTTCTCTCATTTTAACCTCACTTTTTGTGTGAACATTTATTTTTTCAAAGTATGAACATTTAATTTTTTTAAGTGTGAACATTTATTTTTTTCAAGTATCTTCAATTGTTTTCCTCATTACTCCTCTGCCAAGGTATGTAAGTCAAAGTTCATGAAGCCATCCTTATCTATCGTCCTTACTTATTTTTCTGTGTGAAAATCTAAGTGAAGAAATGATTAATTTGAAAATTTGATTTTTTGACCCACTAGGCAAAGTTGAAATCTATGTTGATGTAATGTTGCAGCAATTACTGAAATGGAAGTTCACCAATATCGCGAAGGTGAAGTTTGATATGATGTAGCGTTGCAGCAATATTACATGTTGCTGTGACATTTGCAATATTGCATCCACATAGCTTCCAAATTTGCTTAGTGGAGAGGTATTTTCAATTGTTTTTTCCACATTACTCCTCTCCCGAGGCACAGCCCCAGGTATGTAGGTCAATGTTTATAAAGCCATTCTTTTTCTCTCGTCAAGACTTATTTGTATGTGTGTAAATCTGAGTGAAGAATCGATTGGTTTGAAAATTTGATTTTTTGAGGTATTTCTATGGTTTTTTCCACATTACTCCTCTCATGAGTCAATGTTTATACAGTCATTAATTTTCTCTCATCTCAACTCATTTTTCTATGAAGAAATCTCCCAACTAGCATTTATAGTCGCGATTACGTAATTACGACTATTGGGTCGACTATTAAGTAATATTTACTAGTTGCGGTTACGTTATAATTACGTCGTTACTACGTATTTACGACCAAAATGGGGAACAAATCACGAGTAATTATTACGGTTTGCCGACGTAGCGGGAACTCACACAATTACGTAATGCTTACGACCCGTCGACGTCGAAATTACGTAAAGATGTAGTAAATTTTCCTACCTGACTTTCTATTTCTTTTCCACTTCATAAAAATATTATTTTCTCTCTTTATTATTCTTCATTTCATCCATGAAGTTCACATTCACGAAAAATGAACAAGTCCAATATGCCTAACCATTCAATAAATAATACAAGGACAAACACGCGAAATAATTGATACTCGAACTTGAAAAATTCGAACAACATTCAGTTTTTCGATAAATGTGATGATTTTGCCTCGAAATTCAAGATGCGCCCACAAAATACGGCTCATTTCACCAAAAATATGGTTTTATTTCATTCGGCTATTTTTCAAAAATCATCGTAAATCATGTTAATTTCCATTATTATGCAATTTGTGATCGAACGAATGCTATTATTCTTCATAAAATGATGTTTATCAACAAGAAAAACCAAAATTATTTCCTGTTCAAATGGTTATCACATCAATCAATATGGCTTCCAATCGAAAATGAATCAGAAAGTTACTTTTGGAACTCGTCAGTTATGATAACCTATGTATTGGTAACTTCAACTGAATATAATTACCGAAAAGTTGTTTCAACTATGAAGGAATTGTTTGAGTAGGAATTACCAATATGTTACTTGAAATATCACCAAGAATTGACTAAATTATTAGGTGATCGATCAAGTAACGACAACGTCGTAGAAACCTAATTGGTGACCATAGAGTAATTGCAACTGTGAAGCCTTCTTGGGGTGGTGAGCGTTACCGTAATAATATATCCAAAGTTCCGAAACCTTAAGAGTAGTTTTGAGGAGTGTGAGTGACAGTTTCGAAATAGTTACTTCGTAATAAGCCATGAGAATTTCTCACTTTGAAGTTATTATCTAGTGTAAAAACTACGTAATTTTCACTCACTAAATAACTATCACTGACATTTATACTATGAAGTTCTGAAATAAGTGATAAATACGTTATTATCACTAAATATAGGTAATAGTTTCTTGAACCATGGTGCCTGTGACTGAAAATGCTAGTTGGGCTAAGTGAAGAATGGATTGGTATTTTCAATCGTTTTTTCCAAATTGTTCCTTTCCCGAGGTATGTAAATCAATGTTTATACGCAGTCATTCTTTTTCTCCCCTCTTAACCTAGAGATGATTCAACTATTTTTGGTTTCTATTAGTGTAGACACTTTTAAATATTATAATGAAGAATGTCTTAGATAAACATCAGTAAAAAACAAATGAACTGCATCAAACAAATGATCCGCACTAGGTACCTACTGTAGATAGATGTACTGTGTACTGTAAGATTTTTCCCGTTATTCAGATGAATTATGTAAGTACCTACGTGGTCTTACCTGAGACAACCATGTCCATGTACTTCATATTTACCAAAGCTTCGTACGTCAGTTTGCCTTTGCATATTTCCAGTGTTTCTGAAATCTCTTCTCTCAGCTTGTCTTGTATCTCTGGATTTGCTACCAGTTCATATGCCAAGAAACACATCATATTAGAAACAGAATCGAACCCAGCGAAAAAAAATACCAGAGCCTGTGCTGTTATATCTTCGTTGGTCAATTCTCTAGAAATCTTTCCTAAAATATTCAACGAAATATTATCATTCTCGTCACTCAAAGTCTTTGAATAATGTTCCTCAATAAATATGATGTAGTTTTTTTACCGTACCCAGATTGGCTTCTTCTACTGTGGCAAAACCAGTATCAGCAATGCCTTTCTCATCATTTTCTTGGATACCTTTCCTGGCTTCCATCAACAGATGTATCATGTCATGCCTAACAATACCTTTTTCCTCTCGTATCTTGATAGTGTCATCTACCAAAGACCTGAAGAAAGTCCCTACATCATCTTCGAATAGTTTCAGCCCCAAAAACTAAAATACCAACGGAATTTGGTTGCGAGGTGTTTCCAATAAACGTATGCTGTCAGTGTATGTGGACTCACCCTGTATATGGTTGGGCTCAGAATATACCCTATGAACCTCATTTGTTTCGAAAATGACCTCAAATCGGTAGCTTTTTTTCCCATTCTATAAAATTCGTTATCCGGCTGGTCCAAAGAGTTGACCTCGATACCGAATGACGTCGTCGCTATGACGTCATTACAATATCTCGTCATGACGTCCTTGATTTCGACCGTGACGACGTCCTCGTTTTTGTCGAGAAAATGACGGACGAAAGTTTCGGCGCAGTCCTTCATCAGGAAGAACATGCCCTTCATTTTGCTGCTCGTGAACGAAGGACTCAAAGTTGGCCTCATTTGTCTCCATTCCGTCCCTGTTTATTTAAAAAAAATTCATTTTGCTCATCGGTTCAATAACGTTCTGGAATAATATAGAATGATCTTGAATGTTCTAGAACGATCTTGAATATTCTAAAAATGTCATCAATGTTCTGGAAATTTCTGATAAGTTATACAGGGTGGGCCACCAGTAACGCCTCGGTCTCTAGAAGGCTAACCACTTATCTTCTTGGAATTCTTCCTCTCTAGGAAGTTGCATGTCAACATAGGCTACCATTTGAAATTATTTTGAAACATAAAGGATGTCCCCAAAAATCACAAAACACTGAAGTTGAACTTTTTTCAATCGAACACCCTATATATTATTCCATTTTGAGATTCTCCCTGATGAGCTGATTTCAACGACCCATCATACTTGGGGTCTAGCAGTTATAATTACTGAGATATAGGGTGTGAGAAATCGAGATTTTCCAAGTTCAAGAATTTTTTGTGTCTAAACCATTCATAATTGGTCAAAACGGCTCACATGTCCCTATCTCAACTTTTGATCAACTATCTACTGACATTTAATTGAAACAAATACAGGGTGGTGCAGAATTCAGAATCTTGATCACCCGGTATATGTCCCAATTAAATATCAGTAGATAGTTAATCAAAAGTTGAGATAGAGACATGTAAGCCGTTTTGACCAATTATGAATAGTTTCGACACAAAAAATTCTTGAACTTGGAAAATCTCGATTTTTCACACCCTATATCTCAGTAATTATAACTGCTAGACCCCAAGTATGATGGGTCGTTGAAATCAGCTCATCAGGGAGAATCTCAAAATGAAATAATATATAGGGTGTTCGATAAAAAAAAGTTTAACTTCAGTGTTTTATGGTTTTTGGGGACACCCTGTATGTTTCGAAATAATTTTAAATGGTAGCCTATGTTGACATGCAACTTCCTAGAGAGGAAGAATTCCAAGAAGATGAGTGGTTAGCCTTCTAGAGACCGAGGCCTTACTGGTGGCCCACCCTGTATAATATACAGGCTGATTCACGGTGGACGGCACATTAGACGTTTCTGGAAAACGCAACATAGTATTATACTGATAATTTGGTTTCTTGGATTTGTGTTCTATCGACCTACAATATCCTCAACACTGCGATGTTGCCGCTTATATTGAAAAGTAGCAACATCTTTAATTTTTTGAATGGGACACCCTATATATTATTCCATTTTCAGATTCTTCCTAAAGAGCTGATTTCATCGATCTATTACACTTGGGGTCTAGCGGAAATGATAACAAAGATATAGGGTGTGAAAAATCGAGATTTTTCATCTTCAAAAATTTCTTGTGTCGAAACTATTCATAATTAATCAAAACGGTTTTTATGTGCCTATCTCAACTTCTCATGTACTATCAATTGATATTAATTGAAATAGATACAGGGTGGTCAAAAATATTGATAGAAAATAAGAAGTTGAGATAGGGACATGAGAACCCCGTTTTGAGAAAAAATTGAATAGTTTCGACACAAAAAAGTTTTTTTTTTCTGGTTCTCAGTCTCACGAGAAGGGATATCTCTGTAATTGTCACTGCTAGACCCCAAGTGTTATGGGCCAATGGAATCAGCTCTTCTGGGAGAATCTGAAAATGGAATAATATACAGCGTGTCCTATTCAAAAAACAAAAGTTGTTGCTACTTTTCAATATAAGCGGCAACTCTCTCGAATCTTCTAACTCGTCAGTGATGTTTTGGAGGTGTTTCAGAATGACCTTGGATGTTTTGGAACTTTTGAGATTGTCCGGGAAATTCAAGGATTGTCCTAGAATGATCTAGAATGTTCAATATTGTTCTAGAACTGTCAGGAGAGTTCTAGAACGTTCTTAAGTGTTCCAGAATGTTTCCGAATATTCTAGTATTATCACTACCGTTCTCATATGGTCTAATGTTCTAGAATATTTCTGAATGGTTTAAAAATTTCAGAAAAATTCTAGAATGTGAAATTTTGTGCCCACCTGTTAGAGCGAATAAATTTTTGCCCCACAAAGGATCTAAGTCGGCTGGTACGAACGTCCTGTGGTCAGTGAAGTGATCGAAATCTTTGATCGTCATAAGTTTGACCAGCTCAGTGTCTTTCACCATCAAAACGGGAACGTTGAATTGGTAAAGTCCGATATATCTACGGAGAATAATGCTTTCATTCGTTATCGTGCACGAACTCGGTATATTTTATTTTTGTCTGTAACGGTAAAAAAGTTTGACATGTCTTCCCTGTTGAAAGGTTACAAAATGTCACTTTCCATTAAATTTGTAATCGTCGTTTTTATATACATATATAAATCTAATTCTTTTTTCCTCTATATAAGAAATTACTATTTCTCACCTCAAATCTGGATATGAGTTGTACCAATTCTCTATCACATGGGCTGGACTTTTGCGTTGAAAAATCGAGAATAAGTTGTAGAAGTATGCAGTTAGCATCGGTTCCTGTTTCACACCTCTATTTTTCCAGAAATACAAAGGTTTTATGGTGTAGTAATAAATTAACATCATCAGCGTTGTTACCAATAGAATCGTCCACATATTGACTGACGGATATATAACTGGAAGAATAATATTAGTTAGTATACTATCTTTTTCCAAAATCAAACTATACAGGGTGAGTCTCAACTATTGGGGCATAAAGGCTAAAGGCGGATTCTTTGAACCGAAATATGGCGATAGGAACAAAAATGCCTTGATAAAATATTGCTGTGGAAATAGATAGGGTTGAAGTTGAATTTAATTTTTCGTTTCTCTCGCTAATAATTTCACTGTATATTCATCATTTGTTGCAATCTGCATAGAGGCATAATTTCATACAGAGAATATTATGCCACGTAACATTCTACAGTTTGTTACAGATTAATAATCAGAATAAAACTTGCAAGTTGATTCGGTTTCATGAGTTATACTTCTGTTTCACATGATAATATATGAGTATCCATGGTTTAGAGAAGGTCTGGGAAAAATGGACGTCGACGGGACGCGAATGATTCCTGATGATGAAATCGGCTAGTAACTTTTTTGACGAAACTTTTTAGTGATTTTGATAGAAAATATGACATAAACGTTATCTCTTCCTGCTTGAGCACGATATTTTCATCCATTTTCTAGAAAAAACGCAACTGAACAGTTCAAAGTCTCGGAAGGGGATTTCAAAATGAATATCATTTCATTTATAAAGAGTGTGCATTGAACTGTCAGACAATTGTTGCTGATAAACCACATTTCTTGTCAGTGGATGAGTTTTGCTGCGAGGTTATAGTCAATACTTGTTCGATTGAAATGCCCTGTATTTTTTTCCACAGCAATATTTTATTGAGGCATATTTTGTCCTATCACCATCTTTTGGTCCAAACACCCTGTAAGTATATTCTTTTCTAAATTTGGGAAATAATCTTGAGAAATATCCCTGATGGAGCTCATGATCTATAATGAATATATTCTCAGTGACTATTTTATTTTAGTATTGGCAGTGATGGTAAAATCAGAATTTTTCCTTCTCCCTAATACCTACCTACAAGGTGTTCTCCATGTGCAAATACTCATTCACCCTGTATGTATAACTATTAATTATTTATTAATATCAATTGTTTGAACAATTTGTGGAGATGACTTTCTGTCAATTAATTATATTACGTATTCCAGATTTTTTGGGATTTTCTCTCCTCTTTTCTATGTAATAAAATATGAATATTATTTCAATATACGTGTTAGTAAGGACAAATCAGATGATTTGCCCCAAAAAATGTCACTGGCGTTTTTTCCTTTCAGAGAGCCTAAAATAAAAATTCACTTTGTCAGTGACAATTTGTACTGAAAAAGGATTGGAGAAGAGAAATAAAGGTATACAGAAAAATATGAAATTTTTACTAAGTTTTGGACGTTTCAGGAACGAATCTGCTCCCGTTTTTGTATCGCAAATTCGTATTTGTCCTGACACTTTTCAGTTCTCAGTGACAATTGGTGACGTTGGCAATCGAATGTTGAAAACGGGAGCAAATTCGTTACCGAAACGTCCATAGCAAAGTAAAAATTTGATATTTTTGCTATATAACTTTATTTCTCTTCTCCAAACTTTTTTTCAAACAAATTGTCACTGACAAGCTAGTGAATTTTTCTTTTAGGCTCTCTGATAGGGAAATTCTTTAAACGCAGTGACATTTTGGAGCAAATCATCTGATTTGTACGTATATTGAAATAATATTCATATTTTTATTTTATAGAAACGAGGAGAGAAAATCCCAAAAAAATCTGGAATGAATAATGAATGTACAGGTCATAAAATGCTTTTGAGGGAGACAGTTCGTTTCTAGGCAATGAATAGTACATGTGCTTAGACAAAAATATTTCAATTCGCTCAAGAGTCGTTACTTATTTATTGGGACCCACTGTACCACCTCCACGATTAACCTACAGACAGTATAATTATATTCCATTTTGATAATTTTGGCTTTCTGTAGATGGATTATTAATTGTATCTATACTAAACAAATTTAAATACGAATACTCACAGGTTTTAGAAAACTAGATTGAATAACCTCTCTTTCACCAAAAAGCTGTAAGTACAAGTGCATCGGTTTACAACCTTGATAGAGGTTTTGCGTTTGAAATGTATATCTTTCCATCTGAAAATAGATGTGGATCAGTTTGTTTATCAGATAATTATTCAATTAACTCGACCGGTTGAACAGTGACGGAATATGACTCTGGATAAAGGGATTTTATACAGAGGGTGTGTCATAATTATTGGGACATATAGGCTAATGGCGGATTGTTTGGATCAAAATATGGCGATAAGACTAAATATACTTTTGGGTGTATGATAAATTGACATTCATCATACAGGGCGTGGAAAGAAATTCTGAATTAAGACTCTATCACGAATCTGCGATTAGAGGTCTATAAAAATCACCAAGTTTCCATCGTTCAAGTTTGAACCCCCTGATTGGGTATGAAAGTGTTGAGAAGGAATATTCTCAGATGAATTATGAACATACAAAAATGGATATAAATATATTTATATAAAGCAATACATTGAGGATTCGCATTCTCTATATGTGATGAGTCCTTTCTATTTTTGGTCGTAGAAGTCGCTGGTGGAGTTCGGCATGGTAAATTCGGGACACCCTGTATATGTTTCTTGAACAACAATAATTTGACTTTCCTTAGGCCTATTTTCATTTAGGATCCCCATATTCAAAAAAATTGGTCGTAAAAATTTATGAAAGCGTATTCATTCAATAACTCTAGTATTTCTATTTGAAAGATATATATCTATCTTTTTTATAGTCAATAAAAAATAACGTATAATCAGTCTTTTGGGCAAAATGAAATAAAAAAACAGTCAACTATTTTTTTTGTTAAATTTATTTATTTAGTCGAGCTCATATTTGTAAAGAATTTCATACAGCAACAAATAAATAGTTTCATATGACAGTATCAGCAACACAGTTCTCACTAAAATTAACAATTAATTCATATAAGTTTGATACTATAATTAATACAACATCACTAAACTATATTGATTTCCATAAATATGCACCTAAGTGATTTAACACTTGTTTTGTGCAGATCTTCTTTATCATTGTAACATTTTTCCTATACTATATTAAATAATTTCATAATTATAAATTACAAGTGAAGTAAATTAATGAATGACGGCTAATATTTTCACTCTCACCAGTTGGCGCTACAAACGTGAGGTCAGTGTCAAAGTCAAAAATTCGAAATTTTTGCCGGATAGCCCTGAAGGCTATATATGGCCTGTTTTAACGAAATTATCTGAAAAAAATGATTTAGAATATTTTATTACTTTTTGTAATAAACATAACCGGAAAAAAAATTCGGAAAACTTCCACCATCAGTATTACAGTACAAGTTATTTCGAATCTACGATCAGATCAATGATGATTGTTATACTAGGGCAGTTATACTTACGAGAACATGAAAAAGACTCATTCCACCCCTGATATATAAGTTATTTCTTCAGTTTGTCAGGTTATAATAGTAATTCTTGAAATATTACCACGAGGTAATCAAAGACAATAACAACAATTATGTCTTGGTTTCGCAAATATTTATTAGATTTCCATTTTTGCTGATATTTTATCCGACAATTAATGAGAAAAATTGAAATAATACCTATAATTTATTACGGAATGACTGAAATTGTGCCAGAAACTATCTCAACAAGTTCCTATAGTATTTTTCCCGTAGATTCATAATATGCCCTCAGAATTTTGATAATCATTATATAGGGTGAGTTATTCTCAAAATAACTCAACATGAAAAAAAATATAAGCCGGTTCTGATATCGGTTTCGTTCAGAAGGCTACTTGTTGCAGATTTCGAGTTTAATTCATTTACCAAAATGGAACCCAATCGAGTAATTCCTGTATTTGATATGGCAGATGGAATTTTTGTCAAAATCCAAAAATCACTCTGTATGTCAGTAACGGAGCGGCTTTGGACATTTGTACATGGCATTTTGCAATAATATTGCCAGGCCCTATATCTCCATAAATTTTGTCGGTTTATCTGGACACCCCACCCCGTATATTAACATTGACGCATCAAAGCTATGTAAACTGCTATTTTCTTTACAACCGCACCGAAGCATATAAACTAGGTGATCAACTTCTTTACAGGAACAAAAATTCTACTTTTGCCGACGTTTCAAGCCGAACCAGAATCCCCCCTCAGAACCCAAATAGAACATACTCTTGGCGAGAACTATCGGAATAGTCGACTTCTCAACGGGCACTATATCGAAATTGGCCAAGACATTGAAGAACAGAATCTTGACTTCCAAAAGGGCGAACCTCGACCCGATACAGTTCCTCGGTCCCAAACCAAAGGGCAGATAGGAACAGGGCTTGATGTTGGCTTTGTTCTCGTCGTTGAATCTTTCAGGGTCGAAACGTTCCGGTTCTGGATATAGTTCTGGATCGTGTTGGATACCGTATTGGGGAAAGAGAATGTAGGTTCCTTTTTCTAAATGGACCGGTTGCTCGTCTGGCAACACTGGTTCTATGGTGTAGGGCTTGGTGCATACTCTGTCCGTTGCTATGTTGATGGGCCATTTACGTAGAACTTCTAGAAATTTGAGAAAACATCGATTTCACAATTCCAAAAATACAGAGTGGTCCGTATTTGTGTAGAAATTGAATTGGCAGGCTTTGCATATGGAACTTCCTGTAGGCTTTTCCATATTCGGTCAAGTTGAGAATTCATTATTTCTTGGTTTTTAAAGGTAGTCACTTTTGATTATTATAATAAAGAATGTCTTAGAAATAAACTACCCAACACTAGTCTTGTCGCACCCCAAAATTTTGCATCTGCTGAAATATGAATAACTTTTTTCTGCTTTGAACGATTCGAATTCGGATCACACTGTTCGCTATAGCCCAGTCCTTCAGCTATAATCTCTTAATTCTTAAAAACATAAGGTTCTTTTCATAAAATCGCTACAGGGTGATACCTGAAACTGTGCAAAATTTCGGAATATCCCAAATGAAGGAGCACTTCTTTTTCCAACTTTGACAGTAGAGGCATGTAG